CAGTTTACAGGGAGAATAGGTAGATAGAAGACGCTATAGCCCTCATGCTTTACACTACACTGGAGCATTTGGAGTTGAAAAACACTTATGTCTGTATGATTTTCATCGATTTCAGTTCTGCATTTTATACTATCCTGCCAGGCAAACTTATTACAAAACTACTGGACTTAAACTTCAACATCTCACATCAACTACATGCTGGAAAGCACCAATCGTCAACACTAACCATCAGCATCAGTGCCCCACAGGGATGTGTACTCCGTCCAGTGCTGTACACACACTACACACACAACTGCTCCCTCTCCTACCTGTCAAATTCTATCTTTAAATTTGCCGATGACACCAAGGTGCTCAAACTCATCACAAACAACGAGTCTTCATATAGGAGGGAGGTACAAAATCTGGCAGTTTGGAGTTATGACCACAATTTAAACCTGAACATCAGAAAAACTAAGGAGATGATTGTGGACTTTGGGTCAGAGATCGGGTCAGCACAACCATCATCTGCTCTACGTGAACAGTGAGAAAGTGTAACGGGTCATCAACTTCAAGTTCTTGGGCCTGTCAGCGCCTAAGGAACCTGGGATACCAACACGGCCTTTGAAATCGAGAAAGCCTAACAAATGTGTCTTTTTTTCTGAGGAAACTAAACAATGAAAACCTGCCACAGAAGCTGCTGATCAACTTTTATCGTTGTGCCGTCAAAAGTGTACCGACATATTATGCGTCAGTGTGGTTTTTCAGCTGCGCAAAAGCAGAGCGGGCAGCCATACAGCGGGTAATTAACACGGCAGGAAAATCATTGGAGTTATGTTGCCGGACATCAACATCATCTTCACCTCCCGCTGCCTGAAACGCTCTCTCTGTATCCTCAAAGACTCATCACTCCCCGTCCACCACTTTTATATATACTATAACTATCTGGTAGAAGGTTCAGATCCTCCAGATTGGCTAACAGTTTTATACCTCAAGCAATAAGACTGCTTATTAGCTCTCCCATGCCCCCAGTACCCCTTTATTAAACATCCCTTTGACAGAAGTGTCACTTATTCCAGCACAATTTATGTGCCTTATTCACTTATTAATTTATTATTATAGATATGTCTATTCATTAACTAATCATTGTTCTTAATTGCGGAGATGCAATGATGTCCCGTTGTTTTTAAAACAATGACAAAGACCTCTGACCTTGAATTGCGGAACCGAGGCATAAAAACGAATTTCAGATATAAAGATGGAAATGTGTAGAATTTGAAATATTAAAGACATGTTCTTGTACTGTTCAAAAACTGTGAATTTGCTCTTTTAGCACCTACAAATCCTGAAATACGTCTGTCTTTGTACATGTATAATCACGAACATCACAGTCTGAATAAATTAACTACCTAGCTAGTGGGAGTGGGAATAATGTTGAAGAGACTAGCTTCAGGTACTTTTCTACAAGTTTTGCCAGCATACTATAAACTGATCACAAAAAGATGCTTGCAATGACCATGTCAAATCCAAAACATACCTCAAGAACAAGGCGAAATCAAACTCGAGTATGCCCTTCCAAGTAACAATAGAGGAAACGACAAAATCACATTTCACAATTAAACGCTGCAAACAAAGCAGTACCAGAACAAGAAAGCAATTCTCATTAAACTTACTTGCCCCAGGTCTTTGAACAACACCTGGATGTAGTTCTGCGAAGGATCCACGGAAAGAAAATCTCCACTGTAGTTAATGAAACTACTAATAACAGACTTTTTCAACACTGTTTTCGGCGAGTTTGGTTATCCAGTACTTATGTTAACTCCAGACTAGTTGAATGTGCTATATTTGATTAACTGAACCGATTTACAAATTAAATATATACATTTAATGAGTAACAGACTGGTGTATGCCTTACATTGGGTGAACTACTTCATTCTAAGAAGGTTCCTCATTATGGTATCGGAATTGGTATCGGCGAGTACTAAAAACATGTACTCGGTATTGATGCATCCCCAATTTTTTGTATTCCATGTTTGTCTTGTATGTATGCTGCTGGAACATTATTTCCCTTTGAATGAAGTGTTATCTTAACAACACTGCAGTGTGAATATACAGTGTAGATGGTGCAGTAACATGTGTGGAAACACTGTACACAGTAGGATATTATAGTACAGTGTAATGCTGAAATATAAACATCGTTTTGGTGGACGTTTACATCACACCTCCATCAGTCAACACGTACTTGGATTATTGTGAAAATGGGTTGAACGACATGAGTGAGAGCCACCAAACTGGTCACCACATGCAGTTAACATTTCCATTAAATTACAGTAACTGTTACTGGTGCACAGCTCCGTTTTCCGTTCACACGAACCAAAAGATCCAGAGGAACCAGTTTGTAATTAGGGCTGCGCTCCGGCCCAGTGCTTACATACTAAGTCCTTTCACGTGAACATATTTAACCCTACATTTACCTCTATTATCTCTCCATTCTTTCCTATACAACAGTGTATCAGAGGGTGAGGTGTAGAAGATCCTCACCTTCAGCAGCTCCTGGTTCTTCCGCAGTTCTGTGGAAGCTCTGATGGGTTTGTTTGGAGCAGGTCCTCTGGGTTTGGCAGAGCCGGTAAGGCAGCACAGAAAACAGAATTCAGGTAACGGGTGAGAGGAGTTCAGGAGGCAACAACAGGAAATTTTGGGGTGAACTGGACCAAGTTGTGATGGGCTGATCGAATGGGAGCCGCAATTTTCTTCTTCTCCGCTTTACTGTGAATCAAGCACCGCTAAATAAGCGCCCCCACCTGGCCTGCAGGAGCGTCACACTGGAACCACCTGATCACAGAGCCTGACGGAACTGTCAGCCCTGCTGAAAAAGGGACCATTAGAAACCATTAGGATTAAAACCTAATGGGTTTTAGATCCCATTAGGAAACTATCAAATGCATTTACATTGTGTATCCTTTACAGCAGGCATGGCAAACTGGGCCAAAGTGCTGTGGAGATCAGCGTTTACCCTCATCTAACGCTCTGAATTTACTTCATGAAGGTCTTGCTATAATTAGCTGATGAGCAGAATCGGGTGTGTTTAATGGGGCAGTGTGCTGAAGTCTGCAGTGTTTTGGCCCGTGAAGACTGGAGCCTGACACGTGATATAAACCCATCAAAAAGGGTCTGTCTGTGGGCTCAGACTAGCCAACAGATAAACCTGTACTGATCCGTTGTGAGTCAGTTCACAGCGGGTCCTAAAGGGTTTCTCTTTGGGAACTACTCTACCACAGATAACCTGACACAAGCCCATGGTGGGTCACTCCACACTGGTTCCACATCATTTAGCCCACTGTGGACCCTTAGATATGAATGACCAGTGCAAATTTAGGCTCCAAAATATCAACAGGAATTTCAGTGTTACTATGACATAGATTTCCAGCCTGTGTCAGTGTTGGTACACCAACATCATTTCAATCTTACTGTGACATCAAGGTACTGACTTGTCCTCAACATTGTGTTACGACCATATGGGCCAACAGTAGGGGAGTAAGTTGTCGACTTGTCCTCTGCATTAGTATATCAAAATAAATTTGACTTTAAAACACTGTAAAAAAATGTGAATATAAAAATAATTTAAAAATCTAAATAAAAAGCTAAAAGGAAATACTTAAAATATGAAAAATAAAATTGAAACAGAAATAAAAAATTAAAATAACAACTAATTTGTAAGAAACAAAACAATCTAAATTTACATATAGGTATATTAGTTCTATATGTAAATTTAGATATTTCAGGGTTTTTTTCTCATTCTAATATTTCACTGTATTAGTTTTGCCCTGTGATAGACTGTCGATCTGCCCAGGGTGTTTCCTGTCTTCCACCTAACGAGCACTGGGACAGGCTCCAGCACCTCCCCCACCCAGAAGGATAAGCAGCTTAGAAGATGAATTAAGTGAATGAATATATTAGCTCTGTTTATTTATCAGTCTGTACTTAAAGGACAGCGAAGAAGAAATGTTAGTGAGATTACATGAAAAATAAAACCACATTCTAACATGGCAATATAATTATTTTCACTCTGTAGTAGTTTAACCCAATACTTTTGCAAAAATTTGATCTGAAGGTCGTTACAGAATTTCTTTGTAGCTAGCCCTTCTGTCTGCTCCCAGTTTTGTTAAGATAATAAGATAAGGATTCAGTAAAATAAGGTTCTGAAAGGAGCCAAACCTTATCATTTGGATTGATACCGATATCTAAATCTCTGATTCACTGTGCTGACCCTAATGGTGGAAGTCCCAGGCTGCGACTGTATTCTTTAAGCAGGGAGAAAAGTTGGGTCAAGATTTCTTTAATTATTTTTTCCTGTTAGTTGTATGGAATGTAACTATTTTCCAGAGCAAAGACCCTGTTTACACCTGGTCATTTCATGTATCATGAGTATCAGGAATTATATCTGGATGAGGCCACATAAAAATGCAAATGTAAACCCACCTACACATACAAGTCCGATCACTCAAACCACTTCAGGAGGTGGACTGAGACACATTCGAGCCACACGTTATATCAGTGTAAATACATCCATCTCTCCAAGACACATTTGACAACCGAAACTCCTCCCAGTAAACCAAAACTCGTGATCCGTGTCTGTGAGGAAGATCATCGTGGAGGACACACATGATTGGGAACAAAACCAAATGTTTAATAGCAATATGGACACTATTGTGCAAAACACACTGAAGATGAAGATGCTGAAAGGATAAACAGTTGGTAATTGGCTGCCGCGTAACAAGCAGATTTGCATATTCCGTCCCACACAGCAATTGGATTTCAGTCCAACTAACCGGAGACACATTTGACTACCAAGTGTAAATGCATGTGGCTAAAATCTTATCAGGAAACAATCCAGATACTAGACACATGAAGAGACCAGGTGTAAACAGGGTCAAAGACTATGTTCAGACTGCCAGCCCAAATCCAATTTTTGTCATACCAAGATTGAATCCAGATAGGTTTTTGATAGTCTGGACATCAAAATACACGATATGATTGCAAATCAGATCCAAACCACATTTGAAGTCCCAGTATCGGATTTCAAAGTGTCTTTTGTGTCATTTGTAACGTGACAAACAACAACAATGTCAAATCCAGAGTCATGAAATGCTGGGATTCAAGAAGAGCTCCAAAGATTCATGATTATGAAGAGAATTCTGAAGAGTTTGGAGGGCGAGATGATGCTCCTCCAACTCTCCTGTATCCGCATTTGAAATCCGTGTCAGCAGCATAGCTACATAGTCAATGACGCCTGCGTCATTAGGCTGGTAATGTCTGGACACACAAATCCGATCTGACGACTTGTAAATAACAGTGCGGACAGTCGTCTCAAAAGACCCAATTTGAAAATCAAATCCAATCTGCCTGCAGTCTGAACACAGCCAAAGCAATCAGACAAGGAGAATAGCAAAAGGGTGTCTTTTCCAGCTGAAACACTTTAGGTAAGTCCTTCCCTTTTTGCATATTTGGTCTTTATTATTTTTTGAGCTTGCTTTGTGGTGTGTCTGGGAGCTCAGTTCTGCTACTTAAATAATCACACAATTCTACATGCATGTGAACACACGCTTTGATAGGTCAATAAAACAGTGGAAAAATGGAAAACAACTTATCTGGTTCGACCCATGAAGACCAAGGATATAATCCCACAGTCATACAGACATAGAAATCATCTAAGAGAGAGATCTCTTTTCCTTACAGTTTTTTCTTACAAAATATCTGAAACACAGATTAAAGTTAACTCAAAAATAATAAACATGAGAATCATTGCTTTGAGCATCACCACGAGTGAGTTTAATGCACTTGTGTGTTTTTAAAGTGCTTGAATGTCTGAAGCTCCACCCACACTCTGCGCAGTAATACGGTTTCTCTCCGGTGTGGATCTGCTGGTGTCTCTGGAGGGTACTCCTGTCACCGAAGCTAATCCCGCACTCCGAGCAGTCGTACGGTTTCTCTCCAGTGTGAATGCGCTGGTGTGATCTGAGATTACTGATCTGATTAAAACTCTTTCCGCACTCTGAGCACTGATACGGTTTCTCTCCGGTGTGAATGCGCCGGTGTAATTGGAGGCTGCCTTTGTTTCTAAAGCTCTTCCCGCACTCTGAGCAGTCATACGGCTTCTCTCCTGTGTGGATGCGCTGGTGTCGTTGAAGACTATTCTGACTGTTAAAACTGTTCCCGCACTCTGAGCAGTAATACGGTTTCTCTCCGGTGTGAACGCGCTGGTGTAGTTGGAGGTGACACTGCTGAGTAAAGCTCTTGCCGCACTCTGAGCAGTGATACGGTTTCTCTTCCGTGTGAGTGCGCTGGTGTCTTTGGAAACTGCTCGGATGATTAAAACTCTTGCCGCACTCTGAGCAGTGAAACGGTTTCTCTCCTGTGTGAATGCGCTGATGCTGCTGCAGATGACACCGCTGAGCAAAACTCCGGCCGCACTCTGAGCAGTGGTGAGGTCTCTTCTTTTCTGCGTTTTTCTGTGTTCGTCTGCGATATGTGGGAGTGCAGAGAGCACCAGAGAACATCTGCTGAGTGCTGGAGCTTGCGCTGGGTTCCATATTCTCACATCCAGTCTCTCCTGATTGCAGCAGTGTGAGGTATTCCTCTTAGAGCTGATTCCTGGCGTGTTTGTGGAGGTAAATTTAAACTGTGCAGGCAAGTTGACACTAGGAGCATAAGAAGGCTTGGACCAGGACGTCATACATTTCTGGAGAAGGAAAGGGGAAAAAACATTAAATAAGCACTGTGTACTGCAGCAAAAATGATGACACACAATTGAGATATTTATCTAATATTCAGAAAAATCAAACTTCAGAGAAAGTGTCTGTTGGGGGGGGATCCCTGGATTTTATCAGGAGTAAAAGCGGTGTGTGTTTCACAAAGCAGTTTTAAAATGATTAAGCCTAGCTGGATAATTTAGCCAATTTTCTCATCACCAATTTCTAACTAATTGTCACATTTCCTCCCCCTGTATGATGGCTTTAATCTGCTTGTTCAGTAAAAAATGTAACACTTAGTATCTCTAAATTGAACTGAAGATGGAACGTTGTAATTCTAAACCCGACAAGTGGACTAACAGTACATTATCATGAAACATTCACTCAATGTAGCAGCTGCCGTGATCAAATGATGTAGAAAAATAAAAATAAACACAAAAATGAAGATGCTTTTCATTGATAATGATGATATACTCTATATATACTACAGCTCTCATTATTATCATTATTATAATAGTACTCAGCCCCACAGGCTGGAAAAGTGGGATGATTATTCTTCTTTATTTCTGCACTACAGTTTAGAGCTGGGTCATCCTTTGCTGTCCTGATTAAGCTGGTGAAGGCAGGAGACCAGATGGCGAATTTCACTGGTATTATGCTTGAAACAATGTTTTTAAAAAATCCAGCTGTTGCAGTTGTAATTATTCATAACTTCTTCCCACCCTTTAGTGCGCCATTAGGAGGTTATCCTAATCCGGATGGAGTGTCCAATTGATTACCATGATAAATACAAATCCATTAATGTTTTTTTTTTGTAGGTGACCCTGCTGAAAAGACAACATTAGACCAGCATGATTTCCAAGCTGGTCTAGAATGGTTTATGTTGGTTACGCTGAGCTGGTGCTGGTTTAGCTAGGTGACAAGTATCCAAAACACAACATATGCTGGTTTCACTGGTGACCTGGAGGGGGGTATTTCTCAGTAAACTGGGTAACTTAGGCCAAAAGGTGAGGAAAGTTCCTTAGCTCTTCTTCTATTGGACAGGCTTGTTTTTTGGCCCAGTTGAGAAATTCTGCTCTGTGAAACACACCCCCAACTGTACTGGTCTGTGCAAAATGTAAATAAAAACAAAATGCAATGATGTGTAAATCATTTAAACCCTATACTTGATTGAAAATAGTACAAAGACAACATATCAGATGTTTGGAATGTGTTGTCGGCATCAATTTCAAAATGGGCATATATTTTTCAAAAAACAACAAAATTTCTCAGTTTCAACATTTGATATGTTGTTTTTTGTACTATATTCTTTTAAAAATATGGTTTACATGATTTGCATATCATTGCATCCTATTTTTATTTACATTCTGCACAGCATTCAAACTTTGCTTTGGAAATGGGGTTGTATATTTCTTTCCACTCTACCATCCTTAACTGTACATATTGTAACCACAGCATCGCTTATCACAGTTACTTTTCTGCACTTTGTACATAAATAATACTGTATTAGATGCTAATTGCATTTTACTGGCTCTGTACCTGCACTCTGCACAATGACAAAGTTGAATCTAATCTAATCTATTCGAATCTAAATATTCCAACTTTGATATAGTATTTACTATCTATGAAATCTGAAATCTCTGCATCTGACAAAAACAAAGCAGAAAACATTTTCAAAAGCTATAAAAAGGTGATCAAACTTGCATACTGTAAAGTACACGCTGGAAAATGATGGTTCTTTAAGGATTCTTTACGAAAGCCAATGGTTCTACAGAACTATGAGTTCTACATCTTTAAAAAAAGATTGTTCTTAAGATGTTTCTATATAGAACCATGAACACTCAAAGCATGTAAATGATTCTCTGCATGGTGAAATCGTTCTTAAGATTGGAGAACGTGTTGTATATGGTTCTACACAGCACCAAAAGGGTTCTATTGCCATGATATCCAGCTTGTAGTCTAGAAGAAACCCTTTTTGGTACTATAATGAACCATTTTCAAGACATTTTACCATGCAAAAATAACATTTAAGCATGAAATGGTTCTATATAGAACTCACTGCCTGTACTGAAGCCTGTTTTTCTAAGCGTTTGTGTTCTTTTCGTTGTGTTGTTTTCACATATATTTACTATAACAGACCATCTCTCCATCCATTCCTCTGAGAGTGTATTAAAACAGTGTATCAGAGTGTGAGGTGTAGAAGATCCTCACCTTCAGCAGCTCCTGCTCCTCCAGCAGCTCTGAGGAAGCTCTGAGTTGGGTTGGTTTGGAGCAGCTCCTCCGGTTTCGGGACAGCCCGTAAGGCAGCACGGAAAACAGAATCCGGGTAACGGAAAAGGGGAATCTTTTCAGGGAGAAAGAAAGCAGGAACTTTTGTGAATTTGGACAAGGCCGTGAACTGCTGATCGGAACAGGATTTTCTTCTTCGCCACTTTATTAGTGTTGGAGAACCACAATTACAGGATTAGCGCCCTCCCGTGGGCTCCAGGGGCTCACACTGCAACTGAAGCCCGACGGAATTCGCGGTGTTTTTTTTCTTCAAAACCCACCCGTATTCCGACAACCCCCTCCTCCGCGCTTGGTTTGGCCAGTTGAGAAGTCATTAATTCACCATAGCAACCACGAGCATTTTGTAGAGCACTATTTTAAAAGATGGTTCGCCAAGGATTCCTTAGTAAAGGGACTGGTTCTGTTCAGAACCATGAGTTCTTTGTAGAACCATTCCATGCTTAAGTGGTTCTTTGCATGGTAAAATCGTTCTTCAGGTTGAGGGACAATGTGTTATGTTTGTAAAGCACCAAAAAGGGTTCCTCTGTTGTTATGATGTCAACTCTTTTTGGTGTTATATACAACTATATACAACATACTCTCCATCAATCTGAAGAACCATTTCACCATGCAGAGAACCATTTGAGCATGCAATGATTCTACACAGAACCCATGGTTCTACACAGAACCATTCCCTTTACTAAGGAATCCTTGAAGAACCATCTTTGTCATCTGTTGGGCAATTTTCAACTTCATTCTAGTTTGGTGCTCATCTCTATTCCTGGACATCCATTCAAAACTTACTCATACACCAATCAGGCATAACATTATGACCACCTCCTTGTTTCTATGCTCATTGTCCATTTTATCAGCTCCACTTACTATATAGGTGCACTTTGTAGTTCTACAGTTACAGACTGTAGTCCATCTGTTTCTCTACATACTTTGTTAGCCCCCTTTTACCCTGTTCTTCAGTGGTCAGGACCCCCATGGACCCTCACAGAGCAGGTACTATTTGGGTGGTGGATCATTCTCCGCACTGCAGTAACACTGATGTGGTGGTGGTGGTGGTGTGTGTTGTACTGGTACGAGTGGATCAGACACAGCAGTGCTGCTACGAGTGGATCAGACACAGCAGTGCTGCTACGAGTGGATCAGACACAGCAGTGCTGCTGGAGTTTTTAAATACTTAAAACAACTTTTAAACACTTTGTCCACTCTCTGTCCACTCTATTAGACACTCCTACCTTGTCAGTCCACCTTGTAGATGTAAAGTCAGAGACGATAGCTCATCTGCTGCTGCACGGTTTGTGTTGGTCATCCTCTAGTCCTTCATCAGTGGTCACAGGATGCTGCCCACAGGACACTATTGGCTGGATATTTTTGGTTGGTGGACTATTCTCAGTCCAGCAGTGACACTGAGGTGTTTAAAAACTCCAGCAACACTGCTGTGTCTGATCCACTCAGACCAGCAGAACACACACTAACACACCACCACCACATCAGTGTTACTACAGTGCTGAGAATAATTCTCCACCCAAACAGTATCTGCTCTGTGAAGGTCCATGGGGATCCTGACCACTGAAGAACAGGGTAAAAGGAGGCTAACAAAGTATGCAGAGAAACAGATGGACTACAGTCTGTAACTGTAGAACTACAAAGTGCACCTATATAGTAAGTGGAGCTGATAAAATGGACAATGAGTGCAGAAACAAGGAGGTGGTCAGAATGTTATGCCTGATCGGTGTATGTGTGAGTGCAAGAGTAATTTTTTAAACATTCAATATTATAAGACTGCAGTTATAATTTATTTATTAAGAAATCTACATCTAACTTCTACAGTATGCTATATATACGCAATATCAGTTGTTAAAACCCATAACTCAGTTTTGTTTGAATGTTGATTAATATGCCTTTAACAAGACAAGTAATTTAAAAGCACCTAAAAGTAATCAGATTTTGTGAGTGTATTCTTTGGATTAGGTCATTTTTAACATGTAATCAGTAATCAGTACTGGAATACATTTTAAAGCCTCCCAACCCTGTTAGTCATATAATGCAAAGTAGAACTGTTTACCAAGGCTGCTTTGTCATGTCATTGGGAAAGATTTGGCTGGCAAAATTAGATTGGAGACAAAAAAAAAAAAGGAAAAAAGATATTTTATGATTGATTTGCAGACAAACAATTAAACAATCTTGCAAGCTAAAACTGTTCAGCTGGTGCTTTTCACAGCCTGCTTTCAATTTACACTCTTTTAAACAGATACACAACTAGAAATATACTTACTGTATATTTTATTGTATAATTTACTGGCCTTTATAAACATGTAGTATAATTTGTATAGCTTTCTTTACCATTCATACTGGCTACCCAATGAGCTTCATATAGCATCCTTTCTTACAAACGCAGACTGTTTTTAGTACCCACTATTATGCATATTATGCATAGTGCCCACTAAGATGACACAAGCAAATTTTCAACGTGTGCAAGCTTTTGAAACATGGCTTAAATTAACTACTTGTTTTTCAACTCAGATTAAAAATAATCTTATTTGCATGTGCATACATGCTCTGAAACAGCGGTGCTCAATCCTGGTCCTGAAGGATATCTGGATATCCACTCTGGATAGTTCCGATCCAACACTTCCTCTAATTCCGATCCATCTTCCTCTAATATTTAGATGCTCCTGAAGGCCTTCATTACCTGGATCAGGTGTATTAGGGTGTTTTCACGCTAGAGCTTTTTTCCGGACCCAGGACCACTTGTTCTGTGAGTTCTTGTTCTAGTACGTTTGGTCGAGCGTGAAACCCGTTTTCGAGCTCAGGAGCGGAACAAAGAACCGATCTCTGGTCCTCCTGAAATCAGTGGTCTCTGGTGAGAGCTCTCCTCCCCCAGCGCTGCGTGTGGGGCTGCGTGATTGGTTCATTTTGTAACGTTACTGCTTCAACTTATCGCATCACTTCCTTTTTTCGAGTGTGGTGATGGTGGAGAGGACTGCCGTGGACAGAAAGAGCTGCTCTTCACCACTTCGGTATTTGTATCCAAAGAAAATAATAAAAAGCTGCGCCGATCATTCTGCAAACCTGCACACAGAAAAGTGATGTGTGGAACTGCACAATCGATCCACAGTTCGGAATGAATTACTGTGTGTGAAAGCAAAACAGTGATAATGAGCCCCTTCCCCAAACAAGCTCAGAATCAGTCCTGGGTGCGGACAAGTATTCAGGGACATGTGGGAAGACACCCTTAGATTAGAGCTTAACTCTGCAGAGTAGTAGATCTCCAGGACCAGGATTGGGCACCCTTGCTCTAAAGCATAAGAATGAGGCGGTGTACAAACAAAAAAATTGTCTGGCTCTACCCAAGAAAAATAATTCTGCAGAAAAACTACAAATGAGCAATTAATCTAGAAATAATAAACATGAGAATCATTGTTTTGAATATCACCACGAGTGAGCTTAATGCACTTGTGTGTTTTTAAAGTTCTCAAATGTCTGAAGCTCCACCCACACTCTGCGCAGTAATACGGTTTCTCTCCGGTGTGGATCTGCTGGTGTCTCTGGAGAGCACATCTGTCACCAAAACTGTTCCCACACTCTGAGCAGCCGTATGGCTTTTCTCCTGTGTGAATGCGCAGGTGTGTCCGGAGATTACTGTTCTGATTAAAACTCTTTCCGCACTCTGAGCACTGATACGGTTTCTCTCCGGTGTGAATGCGACGGTGTGTTTGTAGGGAACCACTGTCTCTAAAGCTCTTCCCGCACTCTGAGCAGTCGTATGGTTTCTCTCCGGTGTGGATGCGCTGGTGTCGGTGGAAATTATTCTGACTGTTAAAACTGTTCCCGCACTCTGAGCAGTAATATGGTTTCTCTCCGGTGTGAACGCGCTGGTGTAGTTGGAGGTGACACTGTTGATTAAAACTCTTTCCACACTCTGAGCAGTGATACGGTTTCTCTTCCGTATGAGTGCGCTGGTGTCTTTGGAAACTGCTCGGATGATTAAAACTCTTGCCGCACTCCGAGCAGTGAAACGGTTTCTCTCCTGTGTGAATGCGCTGATGCTGTCGCAGATGACCTCGCTGAGTGAAACTCTTCCCGCACTCTGTGCAGTGGTGAGATTTAGTCTTTCCTGTATTTGTCTTCATTTGTTTGCGAGATGCATTTGTGTGGAGAGAACTGGAGAACATTCGCTGAGTGCTGGAGCTTGCACTGGGTTCCATATTCTCACATTCAGTCTCTTCTGACTCCAGCAGTGTGTGGTACTCTTCTTGGTACCGTTTCCTGATGTGTTTGTGGACGTAAATTTACACTGTGTAGGCAAATACACAGTAGGTGCAGGAGAGGACTTAGACCAGGATGTCATACATTTCTGGAGGAGGAAGAGAAAAAACAAGAACACACAGTGTCATTGATGTGAAGCACTGCTCTTATAAAGCATCAAAATTTTCAGCCTGCTAAATGTTAGTGAGCAAGTCACAAGCCAGGTCCAAAACATTCTTTGCATCTAAAAAAAAATAAAAAAAATCGATATTTAATAGCAAAAGCATAATATAAAATTGGGATTTATATCTTAAAGCCCAGTGAGTTGCAAAAAAAAATAGATACAATTAGAACAAAAAAAGAAAATTTAGTCACTACCAATGTCCAACTGCTAACCAAGCACCCCCCCACTGTATGATAGCTGCCAACCTGGGAAGTTGAGGGCTGGCATGTGTTTCATCCAGGACATGTAAAACCAGCCACCTCATTATGCAAAAACATAAAACAACTGAATGTACTTGGAGGAGGATCTAACTGCCCTATTCTGGATGTGTGACCTAAAAACAAACAACACTAGGTTAGCATCACACTAAACAACAGAGGATGCAGGAAAGGAGGCCATCTGGCCCATCCAGAGAGCAGGGCCAACAACATGAGCCACGGAGATAAGAACATGTCAACACTGCTGCAATTGCACGTAAAAGTTGACTGACTGGATCAGATGAATCATCTTCCATCCTCTCTACATTCTACAGGGGGCAGTAGAAAGTGTCCTGACAAGCTGTCTCACTGATTTGGGAACTGCACCATCTTGGAACGCAGGACCCTACAGTGGATTGTGGGGACAGCTGATGAGATTGGGGTGTCTGTACCCACCACTGTCACCTCCTACCACAAGCGCTGCATCCACAAGGCCGCCAGCATTGTGGATGACCCCTCCAACCCCTCTCATGGCCTTTTCACCCTCCTGCCATCTGGCAGAAGGTTCCAGGAGATCCACTTCACCACCACCAGACTCTAGAACAGTTTCTTCCCAGAGGCTCCATAATCTAGACCCTCTCCAACATCCACCTGCACTGATCAAGACCCCCTCCAACATCCATCTGCACTATTTTAGATCCCCTCCAACATCCACCTGGACTAATCCTGACCCCTCTCCAACATCCACCTGGACTAATCCTGACCGCTTTCCAAAATCCACCTGGACTAATCCTGACCGCTTTCCAAACATCCACCTGGACTAATCCTGACCCTTCTGCAACATCCACCTGGACTAATCTAGATCCCTCTCCAACATCCACCTGGACTAATCCTGACCCTTCTGCAACATCCACCTAGACTAATCTAGATCCCTCTCCAACATCCACCTGGACTAATCCTGACCCTTCTGCAACATCCACCTGGACTAATCTAGATCCCTCTCCAACATCCACCTGGACTAATCCTGACCCTTCTGCAACATCCACCTAGACTAATCTAGATCCCTCTCCAACATCCACCTGGACTAATCCTGACCCCTCTCTAACATCCACCTGGACTAATCCTGACCCCTCTCCAATATCCACCTGGAGTATTCCTGACCACTTTCCAACATACTTGGTGCAAAAGACGGGGTTAATATAAGTGTGTTCACTTTAGAAACCTGACGTGCGTTTTTTTCTTTCATTCGTAAAAATCGAACTCTGTGTGAAAAAGTTATAAAAGTCAAAAGGTCTGTATTTCCATCTAGAGCTCAAACGAGGAACTACAGGGTCCTGTAAGTATGGAGGCCCAGATTTGCCAAATTGAAAAATAAATTTAAAAATAAGAATAAGGCTCAGTAAATTAATAAAAAAAAGTATTTATTGCTTATTGTGATTGTAATTATACACGTATTTCCTTTTTCTGCAGTTATATATCTCAATTCATTTATTTCTGTATTATTTATTATTTTATTAATGCCATTTTTATATTTTTTTCCATATCTATATTTTGAACAATTGTTCACTTTATACATTGATTCGTGTATTCATTAATTTTTTTCATTAATTTATTTATTTAATTCTGTATTTCTTTGCTCATATGATAATGAGGAGGCGTGTTTTTCACGTTCAGGCTCAGCAATCCAGCCCAGGAGGAGAAGAGCTGATTAAACTGTTCTTTTACTCCATAAAGAGCTGCAATGCCACGAACAGACAAACCTGCCGATAAATAACTCTCGATGTCTCCACAGGCCGTATGTGAGAAGGGTGTCCAAATGTCTGAGTGATCTGAATTTTACAGAAAAAGACGATGAACCACCTCCTCTAAAGTTCTAACACTACGGGTCAACCTCTGTATCAGCAGAGGCAGCCAAATGGAGCAAATTGTCCCCACAGCCTCCACATGGAAGAGTCAATCATTGACTGACAGCCCCTTTATTAGCATAAGGACAAGGAAATACAGAAATAAAGAGAAATTAATAGTTATGGAAATAAATTAATAAAATAAATTAATAGAAAAAACAAAAAATGTTAATAAAGAAACAAATAATTAAAAAAATAAATACAAAAATGAGTGAGAAGGGGAAATTACTAAATAGATGTAAACAAATGCAGACATTATGTAAGCTTCTATTTATTAATATATTAACTGTTGTGTATATATATATATTTTTTTAGATTTATCATAATTATTCTTTGCAATTCTACTTCATATATTAATTTACTAAGTCATTTGTTTTTAATTTTATTTATTTTTCAATTTGGCAAATCTGGTCCTCCATAGTAAGCAACGAGCCTCACGCAGCGCTACAGCAATGACGATAAAGACCACCTTACACTGGACTTGATCAGTGTATGGTGAGCATGTTAGACGCAGACTGGAACCAAACTCTAAAGCAAAGCGGATCTCCAGGAGAAGGAGTAATGGAGACCACTGCCCTAAATGAATGACAACGACTACATTTAAACCAATTCCCAGCCCCACAGGGTGGAAAATGTTATTAATAGTAGAGAAATAGCTCCAGTTATGACACAGAGAACTTTAATAGAACAGGCTGCTGTTTACATATGCCCACCTCTACTGACTGAACACGACCACCAAACACTGTTTCACCAACAAGGACTGACTGGCATTTGGCCGACGCCTCATTCTGATGCTGAACTGGCTTCTAATGATGGGAAACTGGGTTCAGGCTTGTTGTACACATGATACAATCAGTGTGTGAGGTGTAGATGAGCTCCTCACCTTCAGCAGAGCAGCTCCTGCTTCTCCAGCAGCTCTCTGAAAGCCCTGAGGTGCCTTTGGAGCAGCTTCTTCATCTCCTCCAGTCTTGGAAAAGCCGAAAACATAATTCGGGAAGGGAGAAGGTAAGAAAAGGTCTAAATCGGGAGAGAAGAAAGCAGGAATTTTTTAGGGATCTGGAAGACGCCGTGAGCAGAACGGGTCCTCCTTCTCCGCTGTTTAGGGTTAAAGGTCCAGTTATAGGATTAGCGCCCCCACCTGGGCTCAAGGGGCTTCATACTGGAATCTGGAGCCTGGTGGGAGTCGAGGTGTTATTATTCAAATCCCACCCGTATTCCGACAATCTGTTCATTCGAAGTCTCCTGATTGGTCCGCTGAGAAATCATCCATATTACCATAGCGACCATGACAGAACTCAGGGGAACTTAAACAGCATCCAGCGGTTGAGAACGTGGGCTCCATCACTGTTTCTGGTTCTGAAATTAATTCGCATTACAGCAATGTGTCAACATACAGTTGTATGCAAAGGTTTGGGCACCCCTGGTCAAATTACACATACACTCATCGGTCACTTCATTAAGTCCACCTCCTTGTTTCAGCTCCACTGACCATATAGTTCATTCGTAGTTCTACAGTTACAGACTGTAGTCCATCTGTTTCTCTGCATACTGTGTTACCCTGTTCTTCAATGGTCAGGACCCCCACAGAGCAGGTTCTATTTATTGGTGGGTCATTCTCAACTGACATTGACGTTGTGCTGGTGTGATTGGATCAGACACAGCAGTGCTGCTGGAGTTTTTAAACACTGTGTCCACTCACTGTCCACTCTTGGACCTTGTCGGTCCACCCTGTAGATGTAAAGTCAGAGATGATAGCTCATCTGCTGCTGCACAGTTTGTGTTGGTCATCCTCTAGTCCAGGGGTGTCCAATCTTATCTGCAGAGGGCCAGCATGGCTGCAGGTTTTCACTAAAACAAAGCAGGAGGTGACCTGATGAAATGTTTGAAGAGTAAGACTGACCAAGCAAGTAGAATCAGCTGTGCTTCAGCTTGTTTGGAGGGAAAACCTGCAGCCACCCCTGCTTTAGTCCTTCATCAGTGGTCACAGGATGCTGTTGGCTGGATGTTTTGGGTTGGTGGACTAATCTCGGTCCAGCGGTGACACAGAAGTGTTTAAAAACTCCAGCAGCAGTGCTGAGAATGACCCCCCACTTAAATAATACCTGTTTTGTGGGGGTCCTGTCCATTGGAGAACACAAGGTTGCTGTTTTATCCACATTATGCAGAAAGTTGGCTTTATTGAATAAATAGATAGATTGAACAGAAGTCAGCAAACCACCTCAAGACCAAGCATTTCAAGCTATTCATACTGTTTAGCTGGAGCAGAGCGTCATCCGGGTATCTTTGACATACTGGAGAAATTCATGTTGGTCACCCTGCATGCTGCTCACTACTTTCGAGCAGAATCAGTACACGAGCAGTGTGTAGTAGGATATTTGCAGCATTTATTTGTTGGGTTTTTCTTTAAGGACTTCTGAAGGTAGGGCTAGCCGTGGCTGTGTTCTGTGTAGAGTAGGAAGTATTGATAGAGAGGAGAATTACCGCTCTGTACTGTCTTCTGGGTTTCTTAAACGCTAGAGGGCGCTCCCGAGCGAGTCCAAAGTAAATGGGTTAATGTAGAGCATTTGAGCAAAATCGGTTTAGAAGTGCTTAAACATTTTTAATATAAAATAATTCATTTCCAGAACACAGAACAGCATAAAACATTTTAACACCGCTGTTATATTTTTAAGAGCTTTTGAACTCGAGTTGTAGGAGTCTAAAACGGCACCTCATGTACCTTCATGGCATCAGTTGATTGCAAACAGCCTATTAGCTGCTCTGCTCGACAACCAATCAGCACTCAGTAGCAGTAACACTAACCAGTCACCACTCAGTAGCAGTAATGTTAGCGTCCTGCTGCCTAAAACCCAACTGCTGTAGGAAAAAAGGAAACATACAAGTGAGTTTTATTTGCTTTTTTTTAGTGAAACACATCCTTCTACTTTCTAAAATAAAAGTTCTGTGTAAGTGATTAGAAACTATTTTAACATTCCTTTTTAGCCGTTTAGCTCCATTTACCCCCATTCATTGAGGTTTTTGATATAATGGGGGAAACAGGAAGAGGCCAGATTTCGCTTTAAACAGCTCTGGTACTGAGACAGTCTGACGCCGATGGCAGAGGGAGCAAGACACAGAGAGGCTTAGAGAAAATTGTTAGACAAAACTCTCCTTGTGTACGGTGTGGCTGTGGCCAGCTACAGCCTTCTAATAAAGCACAATGACTTGTGCATCAGCTGTTCCTTCTTTAATAGCGGTAAATGCTACAATACCTATATTTCGTAAGGGGAAATTTCAGGAGTCAAGTTTATATATTGTAAAAAAAGGTAATTTGTTAATCTGAGTACAGATAATTTATCTTCACATTTTAACTTTTTCCAAGAGGGTATATAGGCCAGCTATGTAACTTTACCGTCATATAAGTTACTTTTCTTCTGTTTTTGGATTTGACTAATGGAAAAGCAGACTGCATACAAGAGTCTTTTCAGTCTTTCACATACTAACATGAAAAAGAGTGAAGGCAAAAAGCGAGTCACTTATGAAAGTAAAAACTCCGACAATAACGGAAAATATAGAGAGACGACAGACTTGCTTCCCACAAGGACAACGCTCCAAGTGCTGGTTTTGAATCGTCTACTGTGCTTTTCATCTAAAGTACAGTTTGGATGGGATTAGTTTACAGGGGGAGAGGCAATGTAATTCATCCCAGATTATCTCTGTGATTTTAGTCTCGTCATATCTGAGAAATGTATGGATTGCGGCTTTCTGTGTCTGTAAAGATCACGGAAAATTCGACCTACTATAAACTGAACTATAGAAAGACAAATTTACATGTTGATAAAATAAACAGAACACTTCAATTAACAATTTGAATTTGAACACATTCTGCAGATGTGGATGCAGATACAGTGGTTTTAAGGAACTAAGATACAGAATCAAAACCTTACAGTAGGAAAAACCTGCCTGCATGTGCATACAATCCCAAAACTGGCCAAGCCCAAAATGGCAACATGTTAAGCTTAATACTCTTAAATACAAATTATTAATCAATAAATCAGCAACAGTTAAACAAATAGCCGCAGTAATTTAGTGTGAGAGAGCTTTTCCCGGCGATTTCATCAAATTGATGTCTTGTGGGCAAACTTGGAGTGCTTTTACATAAAGGAGAGTCAATATTTTTCCACTCAGCTTTGATGGTTTCAAACAGCTGAAAAAAAAACTGCTGAGCTAGTTTGTGTTTGATGCAAGAACGAAAAACTCTATACAGGGTTTAAATCTGGACTCTGACCAGCCAAAACCAAATATATTTAAATTGGAAAAACTACAGACTAACAATTAAAAGTAATAAATATGAAAGTCATTGCTTTGAATGTCACCACGAGTGAGCTTAACGCACTTGTGCGTCTTTAAAGTGCTTGAATGCCTGAAGCTCCACCCACACTCGGCACAGTAATACGGTTTCTCTCCTGTGTGAATCTGATGGTGTCGTTGGAGATTATTGTGACTGTTAAAACTGTTCCCGCACTCTGAGCAGTAATACGGTTTTTCTCCGGTGTGAACGCGCTGGTGTAGTTGGAGGTGACACTGCTGAGTAAAGCTCTTGCCGCACTCTGAGCAGTGATACGGTTTCTCTTCCGTGTGAGTGCGCTGGTGTCTTTGGAAACTGCTCGGATGATTAAAACTCTTGCCGCACTCTGAGCAGCGAAACGGTTTCTCTCCTGTGTGAATGCGCTGATGTTGCAGCAGATGACCTCGCTGAGTGAAACTCTTCCCGCACTGTGAGCAGTGGTGGGTTCTCTTCTTTCCTGTATTTGTCTGCATTCGTTTGCGAGATGTTTTAGTGCCGAGATCACTGGCGCTTCCGCTGGGTTCCATATTCTCACATTCAGTGTCTCCTGACTCCAGCAGTGTGTGGTACTCCTCTTGGTGCCGTTTCCTGACCTGTATGTGGAGGTTAATTCAAACTGTGTAGGCAAATGAACAGGAGGTGCAGGAGAGGACTTGGACCAGGACGTGATACATTTCTAGAAGAGGAACAGAAAAAACAAGGAAACACAGTGTCACTGATGCAAAGCACTGCTCTTATAAAACATCAAAATAGGGCTTCCCTTGTGGAGTCCAAGAGGTTCTTCGCATCTAAAAATATTTATATAATTCAGCAAAGGCATGATATAAAATTGGGATTGATAGGTTACCGTATGCCTAATAACAGATATAAGTAATACACAGAAGATTTGGCCAATTTTCTCCCAATTTACTCGTTATCGGCTTCAGCTAGTTTACTTTCCCCTACTGTACAATACCTGCCAACCTGGGAAATTAAGGGCTGGCATTTGTTTCATTCAGGACATGTAAAGCCAGCCACCTCATCTTGCAAAAACACAGAACAACTGAATGCGCTTGGAAGAGAGATCTGTCTGCCCTATTCTGGATGTGTGACCTAAAATAAAAACATTAGGTTAGCATCACACTAAACAACAGAGTATGTAGGAAAGGAGGCCATCTGACGCATCCAGAGAGGAGCAGGGCCAATAACATGAGCCACGGAGATAAGAACATGTCAACACTGCTGCAGTTGCATATGAAAGTTTGGGCACTCCCAGTCAAATGACGTTTTGCTGATTTCCTAAGTGAAAAGAAATTCAAAAGTGTCAACGTCTGATGTACGCCAAACTACACTAACATACAACCAGAAGCATTTAGGAATCAAGTGCTGCAGACTGATGAAGTAAAAATGCAACTCTAAGAAAATCTTTCAAACTGTTAAGCACTGGGGTGGATCTATTATGCATTGTTTTACAGTCAGGAAATGCTGTGGGGATAGACGGAAGTAAGGATCGCCCTAAATGAATGACAATTTAGATCTGTAGTTCTTATAATTAAACCAATCACCACAGGGTGTAAATTTTCATTAATGTCACAGAACTAGCTCCAGTTATGGTGCACATGCAGAATTTTAATACAATAGATCATTTATCTACAGGCTACTGTTTACATACACCAATCAGGCATAACATTATGACCACCTCCTTGTTTCTACGCTCATTGTCCATTTTATCAGCTCCACTTACTATATAGGTGCACTTTGTAGTTCTACAGTTACAGACTGTAGTCCATCTGTTTCTCTGCATACTTTGTTAGCCCCCTTTTACCCTGTTCTTCAGTGGTCAGGACCGCCATGGACCCTCACAGAGCAGGTACTATTTGGGTGGTGGATCATTCTCAGCACTGCAGTAACACTTTGCCCACCATTGACACCTCCTACCACAACCGCTGCATCTGTACCAGCAATGTCAAGCACTCCTCCCACCCCTCTCAAGGACTCTTCACCCTCCAGCCATCTAGCAGAAGGTCCCAGAGCATCTGCTCCACCCTCTCCAACATTCCCCTGGACCAATCTAGACCCTCTCCATCATCCAACCAGACTAATCTAGACCTCTCCATCATCCACCTGGACTAATCTTGACCCCTCTCCAACATCCACCTGGACTAATCTAGACACTTTCCAACATCCACCTGGACCTGGACTAATCTAGACTGTTTCCAACATCCACCACAGACTGATCACACACCCTTTATCATCACTGCACACCTGCACTTCAAACTCTGTAACTATGTGACTCAGTCTTTCTGTACAGTTTACAGTGACAGTGCTTGCAGTAGTTCCTTCATCACCAACATGCTGCTCAATTTCAATCCATATGTATGTATGTGTATTTACATATATATGACGTCCATTTATATATACTATATTGCCCTGAGTATTTATTGTTCTGTATATTTATTGTGTGGTGTATTTATTCCCTGCTGAAAAAAATCATAGAAACCATCAAAAGGTTCTGCTGGTTCCTGGTAGTGTTCAATAGTCTTTAATGGTATTGTGTTTTCTTGATGGGTTGATATCACACTGTAAATAACTCCAATGGTTTAGCAAGTGTTCTAATTCCAGATGTATTTTATGGTTCCCTAATGACATCTAAAGGTGTTCTACAGGAAACCAGTGGTCTGTAATGGTAGCTATTGAGCCATTTCTAATCAGAAAGCAAAGCCATCAGGTTTTACTCTTAATGGTTCTATTGGTCCTACACTCTGTGTAGTCCCGTTTAATGTGCTGCTGATGTGTTTTTGGACCTGAAGAACCTCATTTCGTTCCAATGCTTTCAAGCTGTGCTGAGCAATGTTAGTAAAGACCACTCGACTTGACTGACGCCTCTGAAACTGAGCTGTTGCTAATGCTGGAACAGGAGGTTCAGGCTTGTTTAACATGCATTACAAACAGCCTGTAAAGTGTCGAGCATCTCACCTTCAGCACTGCAGTACTGGGACAGTCGGTAAGGAGGAACGGAGAACGCCGTTCCGGTAACTGTGGAGAAGATCTGCACCGGGAAAGGAGAAAGCAGGTACCTTTTGAAGGGTTTAGAAACCGGGTTCTTCTTCTCTGCTTTACGGGGTCGAAGATCCACAGTTGCAGGATTAGCGCCCCCAAGTGGACTCCAGTAGAGAGATACACAAACGTGTTTTTTTAAATTCAGTCAATATGAAAGAGGCTCAACAAAGAAGAATAAGAACAAGAGCTTACATAAAACGGACCTCGGGGTAAACAGATAAACAAAAAGAAAAAAAGAAATGCAAGGCATTAATATTCAAAACACAAATGTAATAATGAGCACAGTTTAAGGGCATTTTTACTACACGTGAATTTTAAGGATTTGTAAAACAAAGCCAATTGGCTTTGTTTTACAAATCCTTAAATTAATGAATTAATAATTCATTAAGCAATCAATCAATCAATCAATCAATTAATTAATTAATTCTGCATGTATGTATGTAGTATTTAGCCAAAATTATACTATTGGTAACTAAAAAGTCTTAGAATTATCTTAAAAAATACCATGTTTCATAAATTGATATGCCAAGTCAAGTAATTGTGATCTTGTTTTTAGCCAAGCATAAAGATCATTCCAAAACCTTTTATCGCTTGCATGAAAAAAAAAACAAATGTTCCAATGATTCTGTGTCTTCTTCACAGAAAGTTCAAGCATTACAATCCGTATTAAATACGTGCCTCAGGAATTCATTGCATGGATAAATCTTGTTTATAGTTTTAAAATGTATTTTCTTCTTTTTGGGTGAAATAGGAAAAGAAAGATATTTTGTTTGAATTTTAACAATTTTCACCTTTGTACAGTCTAATTCCAGATCTCTCCTTCCGAGTGGGGATGGAAATGAGTCTGTGGATAACAACCGTGTTAAAAACTTATTACTTTTTTACCTTTAGAAAATAACTGTAATCAGTTATTAATCTCAGTGTTACTGAGCTCTGCTAAAGCCTGAGTGGACTGATAAATCAATGTGATCAGTTATTAATCTCAGTGTTACTGAGCTCTGCTAAAGCCTGAGTAGACTGATAAATCAATGTGATGATCAGTTATTAATCTCAGTGTTACTGAGCTCTGCTAAAGCCTGAGTGGACTGATAAATCAATGTGATCATTTATTAATCTCAGTGTTACTGAGCTCTGCTAAAGCCTGAGTAGACTGATAAATCAATGTGATCAGTTATTAATCTCAGTGTTACTGAGCTCTGCTAAAGCCTGAGTAGACTGATAAATCAATGGGATGATCAGTTATTAATCTCAGTGTTACTGAGCTCTGTTAAAGCCTGAGTAGACTGATAAATCAATGGGATGATCAGTTATTAATCTCAGTGTTACTGAGCTCTGCTAAAGCCTGAGTAGACTGATAAATCAATGTGATCAGTTATTAATCTCAGTGTTACTGAGCTCTGCTAAAGCCTGAGTAGACTGATAACGTGATCAGTTATTAATTAAAGCGTTAATAAACACTTTTGAGGGGTGACTGAACGGAGTACTGCACATATGCTCGAGTGAGCTTAGCTTTGGTACTGTTCTGGACTTGTGCCTGCGATGTGTTCTGTGGCAAATTACATACCTATCATTAACTGAAAGTCACACAGCTACTCATTTTATAGTCAAATTTGTGAGATCTTGATATTGGAATATATTGAACTGTTGGTTTAGATCATGAATGGGCAGTGGGATTGTGGGAGCAGCAGTGGCCTGAAGCAGGCCATGAAAGAGAAAATAACGTTTGGTATTTTGGAATTTGGTATTCATCTGAATAACTGAAATTTCATGAAACATTATCAGAAAAATTACAAAACTGCCAACCAGGAACAGCGAGGAACAGCCTGAAATAAATACAGATTACAGCAGATTTTTATCAATGTGTGTTGTAAATGTATTCTGAATATTACATTTATGTACTGTAACTAGAAAATATTACTCAATACATTTAGGACAGTGTTTTTTCAAAGTATTTTGCCCAACCCTGCCAACCATACAGTCATATCTGTACATAAACATCACACAAACATGAGAGAGAAACTTTCTGAGTGCAGTGATCTTTAAACAGTGTAGTTTTGGACCGTGTCCTTATTACACTGCCACTCTGTAATGGTACTGAATGCAGTCCAGCGCTGTTGAGGCGCCTGGCTGAACCCAAAGCGCCATCTATGTACTTATATCTATGGGCTCCAGGGGCTTCATACAGGAACTCGGGACTTGATGAAACTGGTGTTATTATTTAGATCCCATCCTTTTTACAACAGTATAGGTAGTTTATTCAAAGTCCTCCCACTGGCCAGTTGGGAAGTCATTCACATTACTGTAACAACCACAACAAAACACAGTGGAACTTAAAACAATGTTCATTGGTTGAGAACGTGGACTGTAACTCTGGTTCTGAAATTTAAGAAAAACATCTCTCTCACATTGTCACAATGGTCATTGTCAGGAATCACCCTGCAACCATGTCCATGGATATTTGAGTGTCATGATCATCATGTAGATAAACCTTATTGATATAATTTAGTAGATCAATGGCAGATCTACAGCGATCAGGCATAACATTATGAGCTGAGCTGCTGTTTATGAACACCATAGAAATACACAGATCAGGCATAACATTATGACCGCCTCCTTGTTTCTACGCTCATTGTCCATTTTATCAGCTCCACTTACTATATAGGTGCACTTTGTAGTTCTACAGTTACAGACTGTAGTCCATCTGTTTCTCTGCATACTTTGTTAGCCCCCTTTTACCCTGTTCTTCAGTGGTCAGGACCCCCATGGACCCTCACAGAGCAGGTACTGTTTGGGTGGAGAATTATTCTCAGCACTGTAGTAACACTGATGTGGTGGTGGTGTGTTAGTGTGTGTTGTGCTGGTCTGAGTGGATCAGACACAGCAGTGCTGCTGGAGTTTTTAAACACCTCAGTGTCACTGCTGGACTGAGAATAGTCCACCAAACAAAAATATCCAGCCAACAGCGTCCTGTGGGCAGTGTTCTGTGACCACTGATGAAGGATTAGAGGATGACCAACACAAACTGTGCAGCAGCAGATGAGCTATCGTCTCTGACTTTACATCTACAAGGTGGACTGACAAGGTAGGAGTGTCTAATAGAGTGGACAGTGAGTGGACACAGTGTTAAAAACTCCAGCAGCACTGCTTTGTGTGATCCACTCAGACCAGCCAGCACAACACACATTAACACACCACCACCACATGAGTGTAGAAACAAGGAGGCGGTCAGAATGTTATGCCTGATCTGTGTATTTCTATGGTGTTTATAAACAGCAGCTCAGCTCAGACAATATATCGGCGTGATGGCACACTCCGCACAAAAGCACATCATTTTAAACAATCATTTTTAACAGTGATTATGTAGTGAGGACTGTAGTGGGAGTGCTGGGGTGTCAGGTGTGGCGATTGTAAAGGTTTACATGGCTCATGGGTCATGTAGGAGGGCCCCTGTGCAGAATTTCCTTTAGGGCCCCAGGGAGGTCAGAACCAGCTCGGTCACCATGACTGAGCTTAATACACTTGTGAATCTTTAAAGTACCTGAATGCCTAAAGTTCCGCCCACACTCTGCGCAGTAATACTTTTTCTCTCCGGTGTGGATCTGCTGGTGTCTTTGGAGGGTACATCGGTCACCAAATCTGTGTCCACACTCTGAGCAGCTGTATGGCTTTTCTCCTGTGTGAGTGCGCAGGTGTGTTCGGAGATTACTTTTTTGATTAAAGCTCTTTCCGCACTCTGAGCACTGATACGGCTTCTCTCCTGTGTGAATGCGGCGGTGCGTTCGGAGGCAACCTTTTTCTCTAAAACTTCTCCCGCACTCTGAACACTGATACGGTTTCTCTCCTGTGTGAATCAGCTGGTGTCGTTGGAGATTATTCTGACTGTTAAAACTCTTCCCACACTCTGAGCAGTAATATGGTTTCTCACCTGTGTGAACGCGCTGGTGTGTTTGGAGATGAACCTGTTGAGTAAAACTCTTGCCGCACTCTGAGCACTGAAACGGTTTCTCTCCTGTGTGAGTGCGCTGATGTTGTTTTAAGTGACCTCTCTGAGTAAAACTCTTCCCGCAGTCTGAGCAGTAATACGGTTTCTCTCCTGTGTGGATCTGATGGTGTCTTTGGAAGGCATATCTATCATCAAAACCGTGTCCACACTCTGAGCAGTGATACGGCTTCTCTCCAGTGTGAATGCGCTGGTGTTTTCTGAGATTACTGTTCTGATTAAAACTCTTTCCGCACTCTGAGCACTGAAACGGTTTCTCTTCTGTGTGACTGAGCTGGTGTAACTGAAGGTTTCTTTTTTCTCTAAAACTCTTCCCACATTCTGAACACTGATACGGTTTCTCTGCGTTGTGAGTGCGCTGGTGTCGATAGAGATTATTACGATTATTAAAACTCTTGCCGCACTCTGAGCAGTGAAACGGTTTCTCTCCTGTGTGAATGCGCTGATGTTGCAGCAGATGTCCTCGCTGACTGAAACTCTTCCCGCACTCTGAACAGTGGTGAGTTCTCTTCTTTCCTGTATTTGTCTGCGTTCGTTTACTAGATTCGTTTGTGTGGAGAGAACTGGAGAACATTCGCCGAGTGCTGGACCTTCCAGTGGTTTCCATATTCTCACATTCAGTCTCTTCTGACGGCAGCAGTGTGCGTTATTCGTCTTGGTGCCATTTGCTGACGTGTTTGTGGAGGTCAATTTAAACTGTGTAGGTGCAGGAGAGGACTTGGACCAGGACCGCATACGTTTCTGTAGGAGGAAAAGAAAAACCAATGAAACAGTGTCACTGATGCAAAGCACTGCTCATATGAAGGGCTGGCATGGTTTTTATCCAAGACATGTAAAGTGCACCAAATAACACTTACATAAACCAGAAGCCTTTAGGAATCAAGTGCTACAGACTGATGAAGTAAAAATTCAACTCTGGCTACATTCAACATGTTTGGAGAGTAAAAAAGCAGCAGCATTTGATGAAAAGCAAATTTTCCCAACTATTAAGATGAGAGTGGATCTATTAGGTTTGGTTTACAGTAAAGAAAGCCCAGCAGGGACTTACTTTATGCAAAAGATAAATAGAGCAAATGCCCCTCTTTCCATCCTCTCTGCGTTCTACAGGGGGCAGCAGAGAACATCCTGACCAACAATCTCACTGTCTGGTTTGAGAGCTGCATCATCTTTGACCGCAGGACCCTAAAGATTGTGAGGTCACCTGGACTAATCAATACCATTCCCATCATCCACATGGACTAATCTAGACACTTTCCATCATCCTGATGCTGTTGCTTCTTCTGTCCTGATCAAGTTCCCCATGCTCGCCAGCCTTCTAGACCGGTTTGACCTCCATGGAGCTTCTCGCTGTACAACGCTGTGCAAACCTCAGCTGCATGAACTGACCCTCCTGATGATGATGCTGTTGCATAGACTCAAACTATTTAATTATAACCATTGCTTCACCTGTTTTTCCCCCATTTCTATATTTTAATAGTTTATACTAACACTATTTGCAATCCAGTGTGGACCAGAAGAGGATGGGTTCCCTTTTTGAGTCTTGGTTTCTCTCAAGGTTTCTTCCTCTTGCATTTAGGGAGTTTTTTCTTGCCACTGTTGCAAGATTTTACTGTAAAGCTGCTTTGCAACAACGGCTGTTGTAAAGCGCTATATGAATAAGCTTTGACTTTACCCTCTCCAACATCCACCTGGACTAATCTAGACTGTTTCCAACATCCACCATAGACTGATCACACACCCTTTACCATCACTGCACATCTGCACTTCAAACTCTTTAACTATGTGACTCTGTGACTCTATGTGAGTCTTTCTGTCCAGTTTACAGTGACAGTGCTTGCAGTAGTTCCTTCATCACCAACATGCTGCTTAATGTCAATTAATGTCAATGTGTATGTGTGTGTATTTACATATATATGACATCCATTCATATATACTGTACTGTCCTGAGTATTTATTGTTCTGTATATTTATTGTGTGGTGTATTTATTCCCTGCTGAAAAAAATCATAGACATCATCAAAAGGTTCTGCTGGTTCCTGGTGGTGTTCAATAGTCTTTAATGGTATTCTGTTTTCTTGATGGGTTGATATCACACTGTAAAAGACTAATGATTCAACAGGTGTTCTGATTCCAGATGCATTTGATGGTTTCCTAATGGGATTTAATAGGGGTCCTACAGGAAACTAGTGGTCTGTAATTAGAGCTATTGAGCCATTTCCCATTAAAAAGCAAAACCATCAGGTTTTACTCTTAATGGTTCTATTGGTCCTACACTCTGTGTAGTCCCGTCAATGTGCTGCTGTTGTGTTTTTGGGCCTGAAGAACCTCATTTCGTTCCAATGCTTTCAAGCTGTGCTGGGCAATGTTAGTAAAGACCACTCGACTTGACTGACGCCTCTGAAACTGAGCTGTTGCTAATGCTGGAACAGGAGGTTCAGGCTTGTTTAACATGCATTACAAACAGCCTGTAAAGTGTCGAGCATCTCACCTTCAGCACTGCAGTACTGGGACAGCCGGTAAGGGGGGACGGAGAACACCGTTCCAGTAACTATGGAGAAGATCTGCACCGGGAGAGGAGAAAGCAGGAACTTTTGAGGGGTTTAGAAACCGGGTTCTTCTTCTCTGCTTTACGGGGTCGAAGATCCAGTTACAGGATTAGCGCCCCCGCCTGGACTCCAGTAGAGAGATACACAAACGCGGCGTCTGTTCTCAGAAGAGGCGACACGTCTGTGCGTCCGCCATGTTGGAGCGGTCAAGATCCGCATGTAAACAAACACTAAGTTATGTATATAAACTAAATACTAACGTATTAAGATGTGTTGAGGATTAATTCTGCCATAATGTGCTAATTCCTACACAGATTTTCACCAAAACTGCTTTGTTATAATCGTCAGACATTCCTGCATGTTGTTTACTGTTACACTGCTGGAAAAACCAGCTTAAATTCTAAGCTGGTCAGGGTGGTCTGAAGCTGGATGACCAGCTTGGCCAAGCTTGTGGGTAAGATTTCAAGTTGGCAGACCAGCTTGGCCAGCTAATCAGAGTTGCTACACCAGTTTGGGTAAGTTGTCAAAGCTGTTAGGCCTATTTAGCAAGTACGAATGATTGCTAAATAACGCTATAATTGTAATTCGCCTCGGTTTCCAACAGGTGGCGATACAAGAGCTGTCAAAAATGAAATGAGGAAGCTGATAACATACATAAAACGTGTCAGAGTGAAATAATATTCAAATTTGCGTTTATCTTGTGCTTACAGGCAGTGATAGCATCTCTCTGCCCTGCTGAAAAAAGGCCATTAGAACCATTATGATTAACAAATGATCGTTTTTGCTTTCTAATGGGAATTATCTTAATGGTTACCATTAGAAACCACTAGGTCCCTAGGGCACCTTTAGATCCCATTAGGAAATGATAAAATTAATCTAGAATCAGTTCTACAACACCTGATAGACCATTAGAATCCTTTACACTGTGATATCAACCCATCAGGAAAACAAAGAGCACCATTAGTGACAACTGAACACTACCAGGAACCAGCAGGAACGTTTAATGTGTTCAAAGAATTCTTTCAGCAGAGAACATAGAGGCAACTAAGATGGTGTGCATATTTTGGTCCGTTTGCTTGGTAAGGTGCCACTCCATTGACTGCTGGTCCACCCTCAGACCACCCAGATTATTGTCCTGCACTCAAGGTCTAACTAGGTTTAAATGCACACAGCCTTTTATTCTGGAAAAGAAACTAAGACCAATATAATAAACAACTGAGAGAAAAAAGGCACATCTATCACCAAAACTGTTTCCACCTAAGCACTGAGATGGCACTTGTATCTCTTCAAAGCTTCTGAATGCCTGAAGTTCTGCCCACACTGACACAGTTCGGCTCTGGTGTGTTGAGATGAACCTGTTGAGTAAAACTCTTGCCGCACTCTTGAGCAGTACTACGGTTTCTCTCCTGTGTGAACGCGCTGGTGTAATTGGAGGCTTGTTTTTTCTCTAAAACTCTTCCCACATTCTGAACACTGATACGGTTTCCCTGCTTTGTGAGTGCGCTGGTGTCGACGGAGATTATTCGGATGATTAAAACTCTTGCCGCACTCTGAGCAGTGAAACGGTTTCTCCCCTGTGTGAACGCGCTGATGTTGCTGCAGATTGCCTCGCTGAGTGAAACTCTTCCCGCACTCTGAACAGTGGTGAGTTCTCTTCTTTCCTGTGTTCATCTGTGTTCGTTTACTAGATTCATTTGTGTGGAGAGAACTGGAGAACATGTGCTGAGTGCTGGATCTTCCACGGGGTTCCATATTCTCACATTCAGTCTCTTCTGACGGCAGCTGTGTGCGTTATTCGTATTGTTGCCGTTTCTTGATGTGTTTAAGGAGGTCAATTTAAACTGTGTAGGCAAATGAACAATAGGTGCATGAGAGGACTTGGAGCAAGATGGCATATGTTTCTGGAGGAGGAAGAGGAAAAAAACAACGAAACGCAGTGTCACTGATGGGAAGCACTGCTCTTATGAAACATCAAAATGGCATTTTCAGCCTGCTAAACATGAGTGAGTGAGTTAGAATTCAGGTCTATGTCAGATGAACTTCTAAAAACATCAAAAGATATAACACTGCAAATGTGTAACATAAAACACACACACACTTTCTAAGTCACTTATCCTTCTGGGTGGCGGGATGTAACATAAAACAGATTTAGCTATTTCTTAGGAAGTTCCAAAATTTAGGAATATCAAAAATTAAAAATAGGAAAATTTAAGTAGCAAATCTAATTCGGTAGCTCCCAGTTCCTGCTGTCAGGGATCCCTGCACTTTTTTAGAGCTTAAAATAGGTGAGTGGAAAAAAAGCTAAACCTCTGCTGTGTGTGTTTCACAAAGATTAAACCTAACTGGATAATTCTGCCAATTTTCTGAGTGGTACTGCAGAAGAAAACAGCACAGACAAGCATGAATTCCCATACTGGTCTAAATTGGTCTTGTGCTGGTTTAGTTGGTTATACCAGCACCCAGAACACAACATATCGCTGCTGACGAAACAAAACCTCCATTTTTGTCATTTTCAGTTTTTGACATAATTTCAAAATGCCTGTTGCTCTTTACATTGTGTGTAAATTTCATGATGAACGGACCATAGGAACGACCCAAAATTACTTGGAAAAACTCTGGTTCCATTGACCTACATTAAAGTAAACCATGTTTTGTCCTTCTCCTGTAAAGTTACCATTTTGGAGATACCAGGTTTTGTTCAGACAACAGCAATATGCTGATTTTGCTGGTGACCAGCCATGCTGGTCTACGCTGTGTTTTCTAGTAAGGTATTACTTAGAGGCATGTTCAAATATGTTTTCCCAGTTTCTATGTGGTCACACAGTCATGAACGTAGCAAAAATCTGCTGAAGCCTGCTTCCGAATCGGCCCTTCTCTAAATTTGCCGGAAGTCCACATTATCGCTCACACGGCCCAGGTGTGTATCGGAATCGGACAGCCCTGTGGCTGTGTGGACCTTCTCGGTAACGTGCAGGTAAAGGAGCGCACGTCCAAACATCAAAGGAGCAACTGACACTACTGACAAAATCCCAGTAGGTGTGGCCTGCACATTAAGCTGCGCACAACTATTGGGATTTTAGCTAAGTTCACATTACAAGCCTGATTGCTCAAATCCGATTTTTTGCTCAAATCTGATCTCTCTGACAGGATGGTTCACACTTGTTTAGGTAAGTGATTCAAATCTGTCATTAATGTGAACGAACCGGCGTCCTGAAATGACCCACATGAGCACATCCTACTCAGTAACGTCACGTGATCATCAGCACAAACTAACGAGCAGAACGAGCTTCGCTGTGGAGATAATCAACTTTGATCAGCTTCATTATTAGAGCAAGACGAAGGAGAAAAAGGTGAGATGTGTTGCTTTTCCACTGATTACAGGCTTTATCTTCTGTTCGGCGTTGCTGCCATGGCAACACTAAAAGATGGCGCACGCGCAGTGGAAAAAAAAGCACATGAATTCCGATCTGAATGTTCACATTAAGGCCGCATGGCCATGAATCGGATACTTCGTTCTTTGCATGGTGAAATGGTTCTTCAGATTGATGGAGAATGTGTTCTGTATGGCACCACAAAGGTTCTGCTGTTGTTACAATGTCAAACTTGTACCAACAGAAGAACCCTTTTTGGTGCTTTATAGAACTAACATCTTCTCCATCAATCTGAAGAACGATTTCACCATGCAAAGAACCATTTAAGCATGCAAATGGTTCTTTGATTGTTCATGGTACTATACAGAACCCATGTCTTTACTAAAGAACCCTTCAAGAACCATCTTTTTAAAGAATGTACAGTAAGCTAGTGGTCTCTGGTAACCATTAGCCATTAAGCCAATTCCCATTAGAAAGTAAAACCATCCAGTTGTAATCCTAATGGTTCTAATGGTCTTTTTTTCAGCAGGGAAAGCACGTCTGTTTATCCTTCATCAGCGGCTTTAAGTTATTTTAGCCACAGTACCATTAGAACCCAGTCTTTTCAGTAACTACCCTGCAGAAAAAAGATCATTAGAACCAGTCGGATTAAATCCTGATGGTCTTGCTTTCTAATGGGAATATTTTAGGGATTTCCAATAGATACCACTAGCTTCCTGTATAACACCTTTAGATCCCATTAGGAAACCATCAAATGCATTTAGAATCAGCAACTGGTCCCCTGTTAAACCATTAGGATCCTTTACACTGTGATATCAATCCATTAAAAAAGCCAAAACACGTTACAAAACCATCAGGAACCAACAGAAACACAGTGGTCTCTATGGGTTTCCCCATGTGTTATAAACTCAGTGTATGAGTGTGTGAGGTGTAGAAGATCCGCACCTTCAGCAGCTCCTGCTTGTCCAGCAGCTCTGGGGAAGCTCTAATGGGTTTGTTTGGAGCAATTCCTCCGGTTCCGGTTCTGGAACAGCCCGCAACACAGAGTTCGGGTCATGAGGGAGAACAAACAGCAATACGGCCAAAGCGTGGACGAGATCTTCTTCTTCTTTTCTGCTTTATTGGGGTGGAAGAACCACAGTCACAGAATTAGCGCCCCCAGCTGGCCTGCTGAGGCTTCACCATGGAACCTGGAGCCCAAAAACGCAACCAATAGATGGTCAGATGTGTAAATGTGCACAAAATGCACAAACCGTTTTCCTTAAAAAGGATGTGAAGGCTACACTTCCTTTAAATTAGCAAAATTTAAAGTTTCCTTTATATTTTGGGGAAAGTGGGACACTGATGTAGTCTGTCTGACACATTCTGATGTCAAATTGATTGAATAATTGCAAAAGTGAAGTCCTCTTTCTCAATACAGAATCTAAGACCCGTATGTCAAACACAAGGTCCGCAGTACAACCCAGGAATTATTTTAAATTTCTTCTTTAAATATTTTCCCACTTCACAGTGCGCTGGACTACAATTCCCAGCATGCACTGAAACAACCTGCTACAGCTCAACGACAGAACCATAAATAAGTCTCAGCCTTGAGGTGTTAGCAGAGAACTTGTAGAGAGGACAATCACCACTCTGCAATGTCTTCTGGGTGTCTCAAACACTAGAGGGCGCTCCTGAGCGAGTCCAGAATGAATGGGTTGATATGGAGCATTTGAGCAAAATCAGTTTATATATGCTTAAACATTTTTAATGTAAAAGAATGCGATCATGAGTCCTCAGAATATTTGCAATTTCTAACCTCAACTCATCACACTGAGCACAGATACCACCTTAAAACCCATTTTACATAATTTTGTTCCATAATTTTTGTTTGAGTTCGGGACATAGAAACGTAACTCGTTGAGAAACCATGTAGTTCACATTCAGCAATGTTTTAGGTCTTCAAAAGATTCTGCAATCGTAATGGAAAAGCATCATTATATTGTATAATTAGAATTCACTTATTATAACCAAAAAGGATAAACAACAAAAAAGGAAGAAATAAGAGACAGAATGTTTTAAGTTTCATGTGAGGCATCCAGTTTAATTATCTGTGAGTTTTAGGAGTGAAGAATATATCCAGCATTGTTACACAATAATTCATTAGTAACTGCAATCCAACAAAAACACTGATGTGCACTAAGATTATAATACAGCATATGGTTCATAATTTAGTTTGGTCTGTCAAGCTTAAACGATTCATTCAGCTAATGCTAGTAAAAATATTGTAATCATTGCTTTACAAAAACATATTTGGGTGTAAATGCACCAACCATATAGGCGAACATAATAATACTACAACAACGTGTTTTTGTACATTTAGTGAAGAACTTGTCTTGCAAAAACATGATTAAAAAAAAAAACAAAATAAGAAACAGATTAAAATATAAGCAAACACCCATCACAAACAAAGTTTATGTCTGATTCATCTCTTGTCTGGGAGCCCAGTTTCACTCTCCACTGCTCTCAGTGTTTGAGGACAACGCCCAGATCAGGTCCAACCCGCAGCTGGACGCCCACCACCATGCAGATTTAGTGTTTTCTCTGCTCCCACCACACCTGATCCAACTAACGAGCTCAGTGTGTTTTAAAGCAGGAAAACGTCAACAAACCTTCAGCACCAGCGTCTGGAAACACTCACCTAAACTGCTGGTCCAGCCTTAATATTCCATGTGATGCCTTGGAGTTGGTGGTTGAATACAACCCTTTGTCTTCCCACCAAATCTGTCCACCTACTTGGAAAATAAGAGTCTGTCTTTTGCACAATGAACCAGGACTCCTTCCTGGGAACCAACGCCAACTCTCAGATAGGCCGCATACGCTTTTTGATTTGATTTGCTGACATTTCTTTCTCTTACAGGAGAGGGGCCATCCTGCCCACCCAGAGAGAGCGAGGACAACTGTGCTCTCTTGGACTCCTGACCATGGACGACTGCAGCATAACCAGGGATCAAACTCACAGCCTCCTGATGATGGGACCAATTTTTAGACAGTTGAGCCATTATTATTAAAAAAAATAAATAAAGCCACCATTCGGCGCTAAAGTGGAACAATAATGGCTCGATTCTGGAGGTGCATATTTTTTGAAACCCCTTATTTTATTACCATACATGTTTGTTGTGTCGTCTGCTTCACATACCCTTTGTTTCATTTTCTTTAGGATATTCTTGTGTTTCATAATTGGCTGTTCTGCTGCCTGGTTTTGATGCTCTGCACAGCAACTCTGAGCTTTGGAAAGGTGAGACAAATAAAATATTATTATTATTATTATTATGAAGATGGACACTCCATTCCATGTTCTGGTCAGAAATAAGGAACTGAATATACAGAACCAAAACTGGCCTGTAAGTAAGATAATCATACATACTCTTACTTGTTTGTGCCATGAAATATGCAAATGAAGCAGTGAAAAAACACGTCAACAGTTCTAGTTACACAATCATATAGAACAGCGGTTCTCAAACCAGCCCTCAAGATCAGTTTTTCCTCACAGCATTAATAACTTAATGACTGATATTTAAATCGCGACAACGCAGGTTAATCTAAAAGTAAAAACAATGATAATCACTGTTTTGATAAACACCACGAGTGATCTTGATGCACTTGTGTTTCTTCAAAGTGCTTGAATGTCTGAAGCTCCACCCACACTCTGAGCAGTAATACGGTTTCTCTCCGGTGTGGATCTGCTGGTGTCTTAAGAGGGTGCATCGATCACCGAAGCTAATCCCGCACTCGGAGCAGTCGTACGGCTTCTCTCCTGTGTGGGTGCGCTGGTGTGTTCGGAGATTACTGATCTGATTAAAACTCTTTCCGCACTCCGAGCACTGATACGGCTTCTCTCCGGTGTGAGTGCGGCGGTGTGTCTGGAGGGTTCCTCTGTTCCTGAAGCTCTTTCCGCACTCTGAGCACTGATACGGCTTTTCTCCTGTGTGGATGCTCTGGTGTCTTCGGAGATGACTCTGTTCACCAAATCTCTTGCCGCACTCTAAGCAGGGAAACGGTTTCTCTCCTGTGTGGGTGCGCTGATGTATCTGGAGACTTTTCGGATAGCTGAAGCTCTTACCGCACTCTGAGCAGTGGTACGGTTTCTCTCCGGTGTGGATGTGCTGGTGCAGCTGCAGGTTAGCCCGCTGAGTGAAGCTCTTGCCGCACTCCGAGCACCGATACGGTTTCTCGCCGGTGTGAACGTGCTGGTGTAGCTGCAGGTTACGCCGGTGAGTAAAACTCTTCTCACACTGTGAGCACTGGTGAGTTCTCTTCTTTGCGCTCCTTTTTTTCGTTTGACTGAGAGACGCGTTGGTGTCTGGAGTGCCAGAGGACGTCTCCTCAGTGCCGGAGGTTCCTCCGGATTCCAGGTTCTCACGTTCAGGTCCTCCTGGTTTGTTTTTTAGCAGTGGGAGTTGTTCCATCTTGGTGGTGTTTCCAGACATGAGTAGAGGTAAATTTAAGGTTTGTAGAAAATGACACTAGGAGCAGGAGGGGACCTGGAACAGGACGTCATTCATTTCTGGAAGAGAAAAAGGAAAGAAAGACATTAAAATGTGAAACTGTAATGCAGCAGAAACACAGCATAATGTTCAGCAAGCTCAGAACAAAAAGACTTCATAGAGAATCTTATTCAGTCTCACTCATCTGAGTGTTATTCCAGGTTAGCAGTGATGGGGCACCATTATAGAACCGTGACACTAGATGACATATATGACTTCCTACACATATCCTCATTCTTTCCCCAAGGTATTCCCAATCCTGGTCCTGGAGAACCTCTTTTTGCACATTTTAGTGTTTTTCCTGCTGTACTACAACCACTTCAACTCTCTGCTCATAGTAGGGGCGGGCGATATGGCTTAAATATTATATCATGATACTTATTTTAATAATACACAATACATATCCCAATATTTAGACTTCATAATTTAAAAAAAAAAGAACCTTTCAATTGTAAATCAGATTACTATGAACCAACCAACACACTGTTTATTAATTTTCATGCTTTAAAATTTTATGTTGTAAACTCTACGTAGAACTTTTTAAAAATGGTTCCAAATGGCACCAAATAGGGTCCTGCTTTTTGGTGCTCCACTGAACCTTTGTTTGGTACTACATAGAACCATCTGCAGCACATTCTCCATCAAGCTGAAGACCCATTTCACCATGCAAAGAATTCTCGAATCATGTGAAGTGTTCATGGCTCTGTAAATGGCAGAAAAGCAACACATCTCACCTTTTTCTCCTTCGTCTCGCTCTAATAATGAAGCTGAGAGCTGATCAGAGTTAATTATCTTCTCAGTGAAGCTCGTTCTGCTCGTTAGTTTGTGCTGATGATGCACGTGATTCATCCACGTGACGTTACTGAGCAGGATGTGCGCATGTGGGTCATTTCAGGACGCCGGTTCGTCACATTAATGACAGATTTGAGTCACTTACCTAAACGAGTGTGAACCATCCTGTCAGAGAGATCGGATTTGAGCAAAAAAATCAGATTTGAACAATGAGGCTTGTAATGTGAACGCAGCTCATGATCCCATTAGGGAAACAATCAAATGCATTCAGAATCAGACCCTGGTCACCTGTTAAACCATTAGGATCCTGCACACTGTGATATCAACCCATTAAAACGACAAAACACATTACAGCACCATCAGGAACCAGCAGACACACTGAATGGTTTCTATGGGTTTTTTCAGGAATCTCTCCGTCCATTCCTCTGAGAGTGCATCAGAAACTCAGTGTGGGAGGTGCAGAAGATCCTCACCTTCAGCAGCTCCGGCTCCTCCTGCAGCTCTGAAGGCGGCACTGAAAAGCAAAACTCGGGTGACGAGTGGAAAAAGCAGAACCTTCCGCAGGATCTAGAACAAGGCCGCGACCTGCTCAGCAGATCGGGATCTCCTTCTTCTCCACTTTTTTGGGGTTGAAGAACCACCGTTACAGGAGTAGCGCCCCCATATGGGCTCCAGTGGCTTCACATTGGAACGTGGTGCCTCCCTCACTATGGGTGAGCACGAAGTCCGCCGATTGGCCGACTGACAAGTCAGTCATTCAGCAAGAAAATGCGCCCAAAATAACGCTGCTATTAAAATGCAGAGCCTGATAGACGCAGTGTTGCTGTCACACCTATGGAGGACCAGATTTGCCAAATTGAAAAATAAACCAAATTAAAAAATAAATGGCTCAGTAAATTAATCAATAAATAAAAAAACTAAAAGTATATATTGCTTATTGTGATTGTAATTATACACATTTCCTTTTTCTGCAGTTATATATTTCTATATATTTATTTTGTTTTATTAATGCCGTTTTTATATTTTTTCCATATCTATATTTTTAACAATTGTTCACTTTATTCTTTGATTCATGTATTCATTTATTTTTTCATCAATTCATTTATTTATTTTTTCAGTAATTCATTTATTTATTTCTGTATTTCTTTGCTCATAAAGAGCTCCATAAAGAGCTGCATCGTCATGAACAGACAAACCTGCTGATAAGTAACTCTCGATGGCTACGAATGTCTGAGTGATCTGAATTTTACAGTAAAAGACGCTGAACCGCTTCCTTTGAAGCTCTGAACACACATATAAATAACAAAAAATATATATACAATAATTAGTAAATTACTAATCAGACATAAATAAATGCAGACATATTAATTTATGTAAGATTTTAATTATTAATGTTAATTGTTTTGTATATTTATTTATTTTTAGATTTATCATTATTATTCTTTGCAATTCTACTTCATATATTAATTTACATCATTTATTTAAGTCATTTATTTTTTGGCAAATCTGGTCCCCCATACACACCTACATTGGTATTTTAATTCCTGCTGATCTCGGACGGTCGCAGTGATCAACAACTTAATATCCAGATGGACGAGGCCAATGGTCACCAACACTCCTCCTGGAGATCTACTTTCCTGCAGAGTTTAGTTCCAACCTGCATCTAACAAGCTGCTCTGCCCCCTCAATTAACTCTAATACATCTGATCAGCCAATCAGGGACTTCTGGAGAGGTTAATTAACTCTAATACAGTTTACAAATTAGCTTTAATACAGCTGATCCAGCCAATCAGGGACTTCTGGAGAGGTTCATTAACTGGAGCAGGTGGAGAAGATTGGAGCTGGAATTGAAGGCTGATCTGCAGGACCACTGAGTTAACGTTATACAATCTTACAAAAGAGGGTTCTTCAGCAAAAGGAATGGTTCTGTTTAAAACCATATGTTTTATATACATGTAGGTTCTGCTGTTGTTAAAAGCTTGACATTGTAAAAACACATGAACCCTTTTGGTGGATGCAGAACCTGTTTCAAAAAGGTTCAGTATAGAACCATATACAGCACATTCTCCATCAATCTGAAGAACCGTTTCACCATGCAGAGAACCCTTTGATCATGAAATGGTTCTATATAGAACTCATGGTTCTAAATAGAACTGTTCCTTTTACTTAAGAACAGCTGAAGAATATTTTTAAGAGTGTGTATTATAAGAAAATCTTGACGGCATCAGTGCTCATTACGGAGTGGTTCTCCTCATGAAACACCTGCTTTAACAGAACCTGAATGGAGCCATTTGTGATTTTGAATGTTCTCCACATCACTTTATGTGGTTCTGCATGTTAAGAGAACTTGCAGGGGAATTATTTAATAGACTGCTGATGGAGATCATCCTCAAACATTTTTTTTAAATTTTCAGACATCTGACATTAAAGGACACAGTTTTGAGCAAGAATTTCTTTTTATTTAATTTAATTAAATAAAAAATTTAATTTAATCCTCCAGTTTATACTTCAGAAAGTAAACACATCCTAACCTGACAATATCGTCATTTGTACTGAATGCCAAGCTCTTTATGTCCACTCCCAGGTATTCTAGGTTAATACAGAACTGCAGAAGGTACTGAAAGGTGTCAAATGTTCTAATTCAGTGTTGGGTTCTCCAAAGGCATCTTAGCCCAAAGATGATTCTGAAATGGTAGAGCGAGCATCACACTAAACACTCTCTCTACCAGCTTTGATGATCTTAACAGTAAGATGGTTTTGGGAAACTGGGCCTGGATTGATTCTGATACCTGAATTCTGATATCACCCTGGTGACCCCAAAGGTGGAGGTTCCAGAATCAGAGGCAGGCTGTGATTGTATGTTTTGTGGATTAAGCACAATGGACCTCATCCATCAACCGTTCTTAAGAAGAAATTTCATCTTAAAACCCACTTAGTTTTTACGAAGACTCTGACTCACCAATGTTCTCCTATTTGGGGTTTGTTCTTAGGTAAGAACTGAATCTACACACACTCAAGAGCACAAAGGTGGGAACGGTTCTGCGCTTTAAGAACACGACAGACTTCTTCTTAGGACCTTTCTCAAGAACACACTTAAAAACAAACTTAGGAAGATACTGGAGAAAGAGGACCAATGATTCTGGACGAGTTGCTGTCTTTTCATTCTGTTTTGTCAGCTGTAAGGAATGTAGGTTCTTTCCAGAGCCGAACCAGTCAGAGTATCATCTTTAGCTAAAAACATTTACTTAAGTACTTAGCTAGGGTAATATTTGGTTTTAATTTGTTGTGAAGACCGTCTTTACCACCGCCAGGAAGGCATGTCAGTTTATTGTTTATACTTTATATGATTCTCCAATTTTACTGACTCTTCTAAAGTCATCTTATGTGATTTAAAAAGGTGTTTAGAAACTTTTCCGTTCTTGTTTATACAATCTACTGCTGTTTTTTCTGCTTGTCTTTAAAAGCTTTGGAAGCGACCGCAGTACTTTACGGCAATTTCTATTGATCTGAACCCTCCATGACTGAAATAACCCAGTAAAATAAACTGATCAAGAGCGAATTATTTCACTCCGTTCTCCACGACTGTAAGATCCACACACATTAACGTGAACACACAAGGGCATAATCTATATCTCATTTATCTTCGTTCTCATTCTTTCAGTCATTACCCAAACTCATGACCACAGGTGAGGCTGGTGATGTACACCGACCGGTAAACAGGGAGCCTAGCCTTATAGCTCAGCTCCCTCTACACCACTAGAGGATGAAAGCCACTGCTCTAATACAGCTGATCCAGCCAATCAGGGACTTGGGAAGAGGTTGATTAGCTGGAGCAGGTGTAGCAGATTGTGGTTGGAACTAGACTCTGCATTAAGGCAGATCTTCAGGACCAGAGCTGGAGACCACACTCACATACACTTAATATAAGTTCTACTGGTTTTGATAGTGGGTGAACATTACTGTGTTTTTAATGCATAAATTACTAAAGGTTTCTGTTCTGTGAGTTTATTAGCTGACTGTAAAGCAGAAATCTGATTGCTGTCTGACTCTTGTAGACCTCAAGTTTCCCCATTATCTGATTACCCAAGAGCATGAAAACACACTGAACCAGTTACTGACACAATCTGATTTTCAGATTACGTACTCGTACATAGTCACACAATCTGGTGCCTAACACTCACAACCTTAAAGACCCCCAAATCTCACAAGTCAAGACCTCTTTTTCTTAGAATATTAGCAACAGGGCTCATCAGAAAACACTTAAAACCACAAATTACAGTTAACCTAAAAGTAATAAATATGAAAGTCATTGCTTTGAAAATCACCCTCAGTGATCTTAATGCACTTGTGTGTCTTTAAAGAACTCATATGCCTGAAGCTTCGTCCACACTCTGCGCAGTAATACTGTTTCTCTCCAGTGTGGATCTGCTGGTGTCTCTGGAGGGCGCACCGGTCACCAAAACTGTGTCCACACTCTGAGCAGTCGTACGGCTTTTCTCCGGTGTGGATGCGCTGGTGTGTCCGCAGATTACTGTTCTGATTAAAACTCTTGCCGCACTCTGAGCAGAAATACGGTTTCTCTCCGGTGTGAATGCGCTGGTGTGTTTGGAGAGTACCTTTGGTTCTAAACCTCTTCCCACACTCTGAGCACTCATACGGTTTCTCTCCGGTGTGAATGCGCTGGTGTCGTTGGAGACTATTCTGATTATTAAAACTGTTCCCGCACTCTGAGCAGTCGTATGGTTTCTCCCCGGTGTGAATGCGCTCGTGCATTTGCAGACTACTCGGATGATTGAAGCTCCTCCCGCACGCCGAGCACTGATATGGTTTCTCTCCGGTGTGAATGCGCTGGTGTTGTTGCAGGTGACCTCGCTGAGTAAAACTCTTTCCGCACTCTGAGCAGCGATACGGTTTCTCTCCTGTGTGAACGCGCTGGTGCGTTTTGAGGGTACACGTGTCTCTAAAACTCTTCCCGCACTCTGAGCAGTGGTGAATCCTCCTCCTTCCAGTACCTGTTGGCATTCGACTGTGAGATGCGTGAGCATGGAGAGTCCCAGGGGACGTTTGTTGAGGGCTGGAGGTTCTTATGGATTCCATGTGCTCACATGTAGGAATTCCTCTTGGTGGTGTTCCTTGATGTGGAGGTAAATTCAAGCTGTGTAGGCAAATGGACACCTGGAGCAGGAGACCACTGGGAAGAGGGCGGTGTTCATTTCTGAAGGAGGAAAAAATCAACATAAAAATGCAGAAAACGACACAAGTGAGGAAAGTACCTAATGGTCAATGAGTTCAGACTATTAAAATTAATTAATAGAGAAAATAAAAAGAACATTCAATTGCAAATCTAATTTGGTAGTTTTCCGTCCCTGCTATGACGACTGATTTGATTCATTTTACTGCAATACAAAAAAAACAGTACATAATTTTCAATGATGAAATTTCATGTTAAAACATGCACCCATATCAAGCTTATTACCAGGGAAGATTCTAATGAAAAGGTCTATTCAGTTTAGCTAATAACTGTTTAGTAATCAATTAACCAATACATTATTTTATTGATGCATACAATTAATCTAAACTATTCACATTTTACTCTGTGTCTGCATATCTCACTCAGTTACTACCACACACTTTTAAAAAAGATGGTTCTTCAAGGTTCTTTAGTAAAAACAATGGTTCTATATAGAACCTAGAATACTAAAAGACCCATTTGCATGCTTACATGGTTCTCTGCACAGTAACATGGTTCTTGAGGTTGATGGAGAATGAGTTATAATATAGTTATAATATAGCACCAAAAAGGGTTCTTCAATTGTTCAAGCTTGCCATCGTCACAGTAGCAGAACCTTCTTGGTGCTATATAGAACCCTTTTCAAAAAGGTTATACAGAACCATATACAACACGTTCTCCATAAATCTGAAGAACTATTTCACCTTGCTAAGAACCGTTTAAGCGTTCAGAGTTCTAGAAACCCTGCTGAAGAAAACAGCACAGACAATTTCATGCTGGTCTAAGCTGGTCTGTGCTGGTTTAGCTGGTCACCCCAGCATGGTCATTATGCTAGTTTTACTGGTGACCAGCAATGCTGGCCTGTGCTGTTTTTTTTTCTAGCAGGATAGAACTATCTTTACTAAAGAACCCTCGAAGAACCATCTATTTTCTGAGTGTATTTAACTCAGCCACCAGCATATTTCATTCAGCAACTGGCATATATAATTAAGTTAATGGCCTGTTTCATTCAGGTACTGGCATATTTCACTTAGTTATTGCCACATTTTCCTCAGTATATCTCGGTTACTGGCATATTTTTTACTTGGTTATTATCACATTTCCCTGAGTATATCTACGGTGCTGGAAAATTACTTCTGTATATCTCTGTTACTGGCATGCACCGATCAGGCATAACATTATGATCACCTCCTTGTTTCTGCGCTCATTGTCCATTTTATCAGCTCCACTTACTATATAGGTGCACTTTGTAGTTCTACAGTTACAGACTGTAGTCCATCTGTTTCTCTGCATACTTTGTTAGCCCCCTTTTACCCTGTTCTTCAGTGGTCAGGACCCCCATGGACCCTCACAGAGCAGGTACTATTTGGGTGGTGGGTCATTCTCAGCACTGCAGGAACACTGACGTGGTGGTGTTGTGTTACTGTGTGTTGCGCTACTGTGTGTTGTGCTGGTCTGAGTGGATCAGACACAGCAGTGCTTCTGGAGTTTTTAAACACTGTGTCCACTCACTGTCCACTCTATTAGACACTCCTACCTTGTCAGTCCACCTTGTAGATGTAAAGTCAGAGACGACAGCTCATCTGCTGCTGCACAGTTTGTGTTGGTCATCCTCTAGTTCTGCATCAGTGGTCACATGACGCTGCCCACAGGACGCTTTTGGCTGGATATTTTTGGTTGGTGGACTATTCTCAGTCCAGCAGCGACACTGAGGTGTTTAAAAACTCCAGCAGCACTGCTGTGTCTGATCCACTCAGACCAGCGCAACACACACTAACACACCACCACCACATCAGTGTTACTGCAGTGCTGAGAATGATCCACCAGAGTGAGGAAAGTACCTAATGGTCAATGAGTTCAAATTATTAAAATTAATTAACAGAGAAACCACTGAAGAACAAGGTAAAAGGGGGCTAACAAAGTATCAGAGAAACAGATGGACTACAGTCTGTAACTGTAGAACTACAAAGTGCACCTATATAGTAAGTGGAGCTGATAAAATGGACAATGAGTGCAGAAACAAGGAGGTGGTCATAATGTTATGCCTGATTGGTGTATTTCACTTAGTTATTGCCACATTTTGCTCCGTATATCACCGTTACTGGCGTACTGCTCTGAGGATTTTGCATGTTCACCCGTTCTAACAATGTCATACTCTCGGTCTCAGATTCAGCGTCACTGTGGGAACATTAAGAGGTCAACTAACACAATGCTGACACTGAAATTTCAACCTGGACGAAAATGATCATTCTGATAAAAAATCAATAATAAAGCAATATCACCCTGCTACCCGGACACTGCATTACTCAGCAAGGCCTGGTCGAAGGCTGTTTCTGTGGGGTCAGTTTAACCTTACATTTCCTAAAGAGATCATCTCTCCATCCTCTCAGTGTATCAGAAACTCAGAGGGTGAGGTGTAGAAGATCCTCACCTCCAGCAGCTCCTGCTCCTCCAGCGCCTCTGTGGAAGCTCTGATGGGTTTGTGTGGAGCAGATAGTCTCCAGCTGGTAAACTGTCATGGAAAACGAGGGAGATGAGCAGAGTCGGGGGGAAGCAGGACCTTTGGGGGAAATCGGACAAAATCATGAACTGCTGCTGTGAACGGGATAATCGATTTTCTTCTTCTTTGCTTTATTGGGGTTGAGGAACCACACGTGTACACTTAGCGCCCTCACCTGGGCTGCAGAAGCTCCGCACTGGAACATGGTTCCGACAGACCCCGCCTCTCGCGCAGCGATTGGCCAGTTGAGAATTCATTCACATCGCCATAGCAACCGCGACAGAACAGGATCTTATCGCTGTTGTCGGAAGAAAACCTCATATCTCCAAAATGGTAACTTTACAGGAGAAGGAAAAAACATACTTTACTTTTAATGTAAGTCAATGGAACCAGACGTTTTTTCCAAGTCATTTTCGGTCATTTCTTCTCGTCCATTCATCATGAAATTTACACACAATGTAAAGAGCAACAGACATTTTCAAATTATGACAAAAACTGAAAAAAGACAAAAATGGAGATACGAGGTTTTCTTCCGACAACAGCGATATGCTAACCATGCACTAGAAGAGGGTTTCTCAACCTGTGTGCCGTGGACCACCAGTGGGCAGTGAAGCACCCTCTAGTGGTCCACGGGTCTGTACTCAGGGGGTAGTGCTCAGTAGTTCGCAGTGGACCGGCAGAGATGTATAAACAGAGAACTTGTAGAGAGGTGAATTTCAGCTCTGCATTGACTTCGGGGTTTCTCAAACACTAGAGGGCGCTCCCTGAGCGAGTCCAAAATGAATGGGTTGATGTGGAGCATTTGAGCAAAAACCATAGTTTATAAACGCTTAAACATTTTTAATGTATAAGAATACATTCATATCCTGAACACAGAACAACATAAAACATTTTAACACCGCTGTTACATTTTTAAGAGCTTTTAAACTCGAGTTTAAAACGGCGCCTCATCTACGTCCATGACGTCAGTGAGCGCAAACAGCCAATGAGCTGCTCCGCTCACCAACCAATCAGCACTCACTAGAAGGAAAAAATTAAATATATAGGTGAGTTTTCTTTGCTTTTTAGTGACATACATTCTTCTACTTTCTAAAATTAAAGAAACGTTCTGGGCGAGTGATTAGAAAAATGAAAACACTGCAGTCGCAGACTAATCGAGCGTTAGCAGTCTGAGACAACACAGCCGCCGCTTCACTCCTTTACTGCAGCTTGTCTTTTTTTTTTTTTTAAATCCTCTTTTTATTGACCTTGACATCTGCCTTAACCACCTCTCAGGATGTTTCTCCTACCTTGTTCGGTGTGGACCGATCAAACTCTTCTTTAGTTCGCTCTGTTTGGACGGTCAACCCACAGGTATTAAAACAGACGCAGAGAAAGAGATGTTTTGAGGGGAACTATCAGTAGTCAAGCTAAGAATTTCACATTTTAGCTAACTGCTAACAAACTTTATTGTGCGAAGATAAAAATAGGAAACGAAGGCAGAGAGCAAAGTGCTCACAAACGGAAAATATACCGAGACAACGGACTTGTTTTCCCGCACAGACAGTATTCAGAGTTCTGGTTTTCAATCGTCCACTGTTATTTTCCTCTGAAGTTCTGTTTGGACTTAGTTTTTATGGGGAGGTGTTGTAACATACAGAGTGCGCCATCTCGAGTCTGTAAAGATTACGGCAGGTTTTTACGAACTGTAGAAATAACTATATCAGTGCACACTGACGTTGGTAGCATAGGACGAAGTTATGCCACTGGCTATAAATGTTATACGCAAAAATACTTCATCGATGGCAGGATTTAATTACTGCAATAACGAAGACGATGAATATTAAAATTTGACCAATTAACCAAAATATTATCTCACAAAGATAATATCATTCCGGGATGAGTCTCAATCTCTTGAGCAAGTTGAGATAAAAGGTTCTTGTCCTTTGGGAATTTCGAGCCGGTAATAATTTGGTAATAAATAAGAAGTTAGTGATCTGCCCCCACATTAAAAAAACATTTATAGGTCTTACAGCAAAATACAGGTAGGCAAACCTAACAGGTGAACTTGGCCAAAGAAAACCATTCTCAAAAAGTTATATCACAACCCCAACAAGCCCACTGCAAAACTTAATAAATGCAACAATGATGAAGCTGAAAGTCAGGATGGAGCGCGGCGATTTATTCTCTGAGGAACCGGAAATACGGATCCCCAATCTGCTGTGTTGTATCCGAAGGCCATTCCATCACTGTTGCTGGTGTTGTAAGCATATCCAAGCATTTGCACTGTCTAAACTCACGTTTTTATAAACAGTCATTCCAGTGAAATTGCAGGACTTAAAAGTATGCACAAAGTTAATATCTGAGAAGAATAAGTTTTAAAAGAGATGCAAAGGAAATGTGGGATTAAACTGTATTTATATTGATTGCAATTTAAAAAAAATATTTGCAGATACTTTTTCATGCATATGTAAAAATAAGATTGAATAGACAATAAAGGAAGTAAAAGTATACATTTTGTGCCGTATTGAAAACATCTGAAAACAGTACTGTGCAAAAGTCAGAGACCACCCTTCACATACTGATATCGTGTGTAGAGCAAGGAGGCTGGATGTACTTGCGAGCAGACTTCAATAAACAAGACAAACTAACAGAAATACAGAGTGCAAAGTAACAAACTGCAAGGTTTCAACAGAGAAACATGAGGTAGGCACACAAACACTAGACTAGACAACCATGGACTGAAACAAGGGCTTAATATACCTATAATATAACAATAGGGATCACCTGGGAGAGGGAGGAGGCAGGGAATACAAACAGGTGAGGATCCTAATAGGGAAGGTGGGGAAAAAGGGCGGAGCAGGAACCAAAACAAAACACAAGCACATGGCTAAAAAGCACACGGCTACCAGGGAAGAAACAGATGAAGACAGAGGGACAGAGGAAACCATGACAACTGAATTTCCAGTTAAAACTGCCATGAAGTACAAACACAGTTTCCAGAAGGAGATTCTGAGGACATGAAATAAGACAATCTACTTGCATAAGCATTAAGGCTGTAACGGTAAACAGAAGTGACGGTTCTGTTCACACCGCCGTTTGGACATCACGGTTCGGTTCGAGTTCAGTACAACAGAAAAAAGAAACTAAAACCCCCAAATGCATGAGGCCGGATTATTTACATTTATTTTGAACAGACGGTAGCACAACTGACAGTGAGTGTGTTTACATCTACTTAATAATCCGATAACTGCAGAAAATCAGATTTTGTCAGTAATCTGATCAACATCTTTTCGTGCTCGAGTAATCAGATAATGGGAAACTCCGGGTCTACATGAGTCAGACAGTAATCAGATTTCTGCTTTGCAAGCAGCCAATAGACTCACAGAAGAAGACGCGAGGTAAACGTAACGTAAAACTCAAACTTCATGCCGCTTTTTTTTTAAATATTGTGCCACTTTACCTGAAAATATGAACATGCATCTTCTAGAAGATGAAGAATATTTAAATCCTTTATTTTTATTTTCCTTTATGTTTGGTTTCAGCATCTCTCCAAGTGTGTTTTGCTGCATCTCGCGACATCCACCGTCTGTTCTCACTCATGCGCAGACTGAGAAAGCCGAAAGAAATCAGAGTAAGTGTTCACATGCACTGAGAAATCTGATTACTGAGCTAATCCAGCCTCTTTATCGGATTTCTAGATTGGAGTATGGTGTTTACATGACCATTTGAATAATCAGTTAAATCCGATTATGATCAGATTATGGAGTGCATGTATACGCACTCAGTGTGTTCCACCTGTTGTCGTATAGCGCCTAGTTTTAGGTGGGACAGCCTGTAGCGGATTATTTATACTTAACGGGGAATGTTAACTAATCTGTGTGCTGACAGTTCAGCTTCAGCTGTGATTTTGTAGTTTGGAGCACAAAACAGAAAAATCTGTATGGGTTCCTGAATCTGTTCAGAGGTTGTGTAGAGGATCAAACTCGCTTCACTCCTTTACTGCAGCTTGTGTTTTTTTGAAATCCTCTCTTTTTATTGACCTTGACATCTGGCTTAATCACCTCTCACTCACCGTTCACCTCAAACTCACTCACGGCTGATCGGGGTCGGGAGTTATGACGCTGCTTTAGTTATGAACCCTCGATAAAGCGGATCATTCGGCGCTACAAAAAAAAGTGGCTCAACCACCTGGAAGAGCTGGTAGACACCAAAACTGCCCCCATCAGATAAGCAGCATTTAAAGCTTTCATCTTTGAGAGAGAGGAGAAAATCAAGCTGCTTCAGATCTGAAAACATCCACAAGAGTTTCTGTCCGTCCTTCCACTGTGAGAAGACCACTCAGCACTATGGGTCTGAAAGGATGTGTAGCTGATCAAGAAGAACCTCACTGAGAAAAGGAGACAGACAGGAGACAAACAAAGAAGCTGAACAATGGACTGACCACCCCAGAGTCCAGACCTCAACACCACTGAATGAGTTTGATAACTTCAGAAAATGATCAACCAGCTTCTAAGACTGAACTTTGGAGGTGTGTCTGCAGATTTCTGCAAGATTGTAAATTTTATAGGTGTGTGTGTGTGTGTGTGTGTATGTATATATATATATATATATATATATATATATATATATATATATATATATATATATATATATAAATTTCCCATGTTGACTGGAAATGAAATAAATAAATGGATAGTTTCTGCCTTTTGCACAATACTGTACTGTATGCTCTGAAACATTTGAATGAGGCAGCCTAAAACAAGAACGAACTTGTCTGGCCCCGCCCACCAGAAACAGCTCTGCAAGCACACAACTGTACAGACATTCACATCACTCAGCAGAAGGCAAGTCAACACTTCCTCTTCCTCACATTGGTCCTCGTTCTCCAACATAAGTTTGTTCTTAACTGTGTTCTTGAGAAAGATCCTAAGATAAAGTCCACGTCAGATTCATGACGTGTTCTTAAAGCGCAGAACCGTTCTCACCTTTGTGCTCTTGAGTGTGTGTAGATTCAGGTCTTACCTAAGAACAAATCCCACATAAGAAACATCGGTGAGTCAGAGTCTTTGTCAAAACTGCGTAAGTGGGTTTAAGAAGAAATTTCTTCTTAAGAACGGTTGGTGAAGGAGGCCCAATATTACCAACTGCCATCACAGAGTATATTTTAATGTTACAGTTAAACTAAAAGTAATAATTATGAGAATCTCTGCTTTCACAAACACCATGAGACACACTTGTGTGTCTTCAAAGTGCTTGAATGTCTGAAGCTCCGCCCACAGTCTGAGCAGAAATACGGTTTCTCTCCGGTGTGGATCTGCTGGTGTCTTTGGAGAGCGCATCTGTCACCAAAACTGTGTCCGCACTCCGAGCAGTCGTACGGCTTTTCACCGGTGTGGGTGCGCTGGTGTGTTCTCAGATTACTGTTCTGGGTGAAGCTCTTTCCGCACTCCGAGCACCGATACGGCTTCTCTCCGGTGTGAGTGCGCTGGTGCTGTTTCAGGTGAGCTCGCTGGGTGAAGCTCTTCCCACACTCCGAGCAGTCGTGCGGCTTCTCTCCGGTGTGGATGCGCTGGTGTCGTTGGAGATTGTTCTGACTGTTAAAACTGTTGCCGCACTCCGAGCACTGATACGGTTTCTCGCCGGTGTGAACGCGCTGGTGGGTTTGGAGACTGCTCGGATGATTGAAGCTCCTCCCACATTCCGAGCACTGAAACGGTTTCTCTCCGGTGTGAATGCGCTGGTGTTGTTTCAGGTGGCCTCGATGATTGAAGCTTCTCCCGCACTCTGAGCAGGGGTAAGTTCTCTTCTGTTTGGTACCGTTTTTCTTTCTGTGAGATGTGCTAGTGTGGAGAGCGTAAGAGGACGTTTGCTGAGCTCCAGAGGTTCTTCTGGATTCCATATTCTCACATTTGGGAATTCCTCTCGGCAGCATTTCCTGATGTGTTTGTGGAGGTAAATTTAAACCGTGTGGGCCATTAGACACCAACAGGGGAGCACTGTGGACAAGACGGCTTTCATTTCTGGAAAAGGTAATAAAGTGAAATGAAGAAAAAGTATGACATTACTGGGTAAACAAACAATGAACGAATGCAGAAAAAGTAAACATAAACTGCAGCTCTAATTCAGTAGTCAACAGTCCCTGCTGTGGGGAATCACTGCACTTTTCATAAGGTCAAATATGGGCAAGCAGAATTAAGACCAATATTTCCTGTGTAGGGTTTAATAATCAGTTTTACAAAGATTAAACCTAATTCTTACTAACTGTGTCAAAATACTAAACAAAAGAGAGCAAACAGAAAATAGTATTTAATTTTAATTCAATATAAATGAAAACATGCACCACATTGATACATGCAAGACTTCAAATACCAAAAGTATTTTACGTTTAGAGAACAAAGGCTCAAATTTGGGTGGTGAACCTGTGGTGAGTGGAGCTGTTAGCTAAGCTAATACTGCTCTTGCTCATAGATATACATACCTAGATGCCGCATTGGGTCCAGCCAGGCTTACAATAGCGCCGCCATTTCAGGGCGGTCAACATCGCTGCTGGACTGCATTCAGTAACATTACAGAGCGGCAGTTTAAGAAAGACACTGTCCAAAATTACACTATTTCAAGAATATCGCTCTCAGAAAGTGGGATAGGATTATATAACGGAGGGAACACAGCGATCCACGCTCATGTTTGTGTGATGTGTATTGTTTGTGTGATGTTTATGTGGTTGGCGACGCACAAACAACCTACTGATGATTGTTTTTCCTCTGGTTTTATATTAAGCTAATTTCATTTAATCGTCTATTCAGGGGATCTTAACTTTATGAAGTAGTTATTTATTTACAATGATGGTTGATGCTTTGTAGCTGGCTGCAGACTGAATACTTTTCTGCTGGTCTGGACAGATAATTAGCACAAACAGCTATTAAAGTAATAAAAGCTACCGAGAGCAGATTTGTGCAGCCTAGATTAATCTGCGTCTGAGGATTATAACAAAACAGATTTGGTGAAAATCGGTTGAGTAATAAGGAAGTTGAGGCTGATTTAATCCTGAGACTCTTCATCTGTCAATACAAGTGAATTTGTTCACAAGCGGATCTTGACCTCTCCAACATGGCGGACGCCTCAGATAGAGAACAATAGGCAAAGCGGCATCTAGATATGGATATGAACCTTGCATTAGCCTAGCTAGCAGGCTAAAACAGCTTCACACCATGACACAGGTTTAGTTCCATTTCAGTGCTGCTGCACTGACAGGTTCTCTCTCTCCACACTGATTACTGAAAAAGCTAAAGTTAAAAACGTCAGAAAAGGCCGCCTCAGCCAAACCCTCGCTAACAGGAAGGATAGTCGGCTACTCACACAGTTAAGCAGCCTGACCTCCCTGTTGACTTCTTAATTACCTTACATGATACCAATCCATCAACATGCTGTTTAACAGTTCACCTGTTCATTCTGATCTAATTATATTATGAGGTCGTCGTAAGTTGTAAGTTGATCACTTGCATAGCCAACTGTGGAGCCTGTAGCTTAAACTGAGCAGCTACTAGCCCCTAGACTAGAACATGCTGTTTTAGCTAGCAGGTTCAGGAAAAGAAGCACTAATCACCAACAGTCTACCGACACTTTGTAGCAGTGGCCAATTTAGCAGGTTATTTACTGACATCTTTTATGCATATGGTAGGCGGTGGGTATAATGCCCCACCTGTGAAAGCCCCCTACACCATCCCAATAAGAGTCCTTGGGCAAGACTCCCAACACTACTTTCACCTACCAGTGTAAATGAAAACTGTAAGTCGCTAAGAGCATCTGCCAAATGCCATAAATGTACATATAAATGTATGGCCAGTACAATAAAACCTTTGGCTCATATGTTGTTTTAATCGAAGCCTGTTTCCACCAGATGAGAGGATAAAAATGTGTTGTAAAATATACCAAAAATGCAAAATATCAATTTACTGAACTGATCATTTTTTTTATTTATTTTTTTTATATTTAACAAAATATATTTTTTCCATAATAATAATAAAAAAAAATTCTTTTCCTATTTTGCTGTTTATTTTTTAAAAGCAGTTATTTTAACAAAAAATAATACAGCCTTCACACACACATTAAATAGTACACGGTCAGTATTCTTAAACAGCTGGTCAGGTCAGCGATGGACTGAAAACCTGCAGCCCCACCCTGCCCTGCTGAAAATAGACCATCACAACCATTAGAACCATTAGGGATTGAAACCTGATGGTTTTGCTTTCTAGTGGGAATTGGCTTGGTGGTTAGCATTAGAGACCACTAGTTTCCTGTAGAACACCTTTAGATCCCATTAGGAAATCATCAAATGCATTCAGAATCAGAACACCTGTGAAACCAGTCCTTCACACTGTGATATCAACCCATCAGAAGAACACAGAACGCCATTAGTAACTACTGGACGCCAGCAGAACCTTTTAATGAGTTCTGTGATTTTTTTTTCAGCAGAGCAGACCTCTGTGGAGAAGACAGGACACACCTGGACTGGAACCCACGTGGCGAAGTTTGCTCAAACACAAACTAGCAGAGTTCCTGTCTGAAACTTCATTAGCATAATAAATATGAATATTTATTAGATGAGGTTTTTAATAGCCGACAGATTGTTTTTTTTTTGTCTTACATGTAATATTTTCACAAAATACTCGGTGTTTGTCAAACATAACTGGGGAATTAAACGTTTTAATCGAGCAAAAACACCAAAAACAGGCTCGCACTTTATCACACATCACTCAGAAAAGACTGGGAGGATCTTCTTGGTCTGCATTTTGTTTTTTTATCCACCGCTTTTTAAAAGGTTTATTAAAAACACAAGATCCTCACCTTCAGCAGAGCAGATCCTGCTCCTCCAGCAGCTCTGTGGAAGCTCTGAGGTGGGTTCCCCCGGTTCCGAAACCGCCCGTAAGGCAGCACGGAGTTTAATCAGGAGGTAAACAACCGAGAACTTTTCCGGGATTTGGACCGAACCGTGTGATCAGAGTGGGATCTTCTATCTTGTTCTTGCTGCTTTATAGGACGTTGAGGCACAACGGCTGACGATGAGCGCCCCTACCTGGACCGCACGGGGATTCACACTGGAACCACGTGGTCATGTGGCCTGGAGGAATTGGGTTATTTTTTAAATCCCACCCGTTGTCCGACAAACCCCGCCTCCTGCGCTATGAGTGGGTAGTTTATATCCGACGATTGGCCAGATGAGAAATCATTCACATCTCCGCAGAAACCAGGACGGCACAGTTTCGACGCCGAGTTATAGATTTTTATAATAAACTGTTTAATTTATCTTTCCTTTATTTCAGTAGAACAGTCTGCTGACAAGCTTGATCAGCTTTACAAAAATCTATTAAATAAGGTGCATATTTTGTTTTTGGGGAGGATAATAGAATAAAATTTCTTGAGTATTGTTTATCTTCTGTTTCAAATTTGAGAAATGTAGGTTTGACGTGAATAAATTTACATTCAGGAATAAGAAATTTTGCCAAAAGTTTAATTAAATTAATAATACTCTTATATTTTCTTACATTTATGATGACTGAAGCCAAACAATACATTAACTAAGCAAAGACTAAATTCAGGGTCAGTACAATCAAAATAAATAAACATAAACCTTAAAAGAAATTACCTAAAACGAGGACTTGAGAAGAAATGAAATAAAAATCTTATATTTTAAACCCCCTTTGACACTTTTTAGGGTTTCTTACAGTCACAGAGCTTCACAGTGTTTATACAGAGGTAACTTAATTTACCAGTAAGGAAAAACAATCACAATCATTATAAAACAAACTCATTAACATATACAACTGAGGAAGGAATGACATTTAAATATTCATAACTGCTTATTATTTATTATAGCTGATGTGAAAAATTAAAATCATTTGATCACAGCAGTGCGACTGTGTTATTTCAGGTAAAGTATACTCTTAAAAATGTTCTTTAGTAAAGACAGTGGTTCTTTAAAGAACCATTAACACTCAAAGAACCATGCTTAAATGGTCCTTCAGATTGATGGAAATTGGAAAATGTGCTGTATATGGTTCTATACAGCACCAAAAAGGGTTCTTCTACACTCCTAGCAAAAAGAGTTCTATATTGTATCAAAAAAGGGTTCTTTGGCTTCTAACAATAGTGGAACCCCTTTCGAAAAGGTCCTATATAGAACCATCCACAGCACATTCTACATCAGTCTGAAGAACCATTTTACAATGCTTTAATCATGCAAGCGTTCTTTGAGTTGTGGTTCTATACAGAATTATTTTCTTGACTAAAAGCACCTGTGAAGAACCATCTGTTTTAAGAGTGTATTGTTACTAGCTAGAAATCATAACAATAGCAGAACCTTTTTGGTGCTATATAGAACCCTTTTCAGAAAGGTTCTATATACACCAATCAGGCAGAACATTATGACCACCTCCTTGTTTCTACACTCATTGTCCATTTTATCAGCTCCACTTACTATATAGGTGCACTTTGTAGTTCTACAGTTACAGACTGTAGTCCATCTGTTTCTCTGATACTTTGTTAGCCCCCTTTTACCCTGTTCTTCAGTGGTCAGGACCCCCATGGACCCTCAGAGAGCTGGTACTATCTGGGTGGTGGATCATTCTCAGCACTGCAGTAACACTGATGTGGTGGTGGTGTATTAGTGTGTGTTGCGCTGGTCTGAGTGGATCAGACACAGCAGTGCTGCTGGAGTTTTTAAACACCTCAGTGTCACTGCTGGACTGAGAATAGTCCACCAACCAAAAATATCCAGCCAACAGCGTCCTGTGACCACTGATGAAGGACTAGAGGTTGACCAACACAAACTGTGCAGCAGCAGATGAGCCATCATCTCTGACTTTACATCTACAAGGTGGACTGACAAGGTAGGAGTGTCTAATAGAGTGGACAGTGAGTGGACACAGTGTTTAAAAACTCCAGCAGCACTGCTGTGTCTGATCCACTCATACCAGCACAACACACACTAACACAACACCATCACGTCAGTGTTCCTGCAGTGCTGAGAATGATCCACCACCCAAACGGTACCTGCTCTGTGAGGGTCCATGGGGGTCCTGACCACTGAAGAACAGGGTAAAAGGGGGCTAACAAAGTATGCAGAGAAACAGATGGACTACAGTCTGTAACTGTAGAACTACAAAGTGCACCTATATAGTAAGTGGAGCTGATAAAATGGACAATGAGCGTAGAAACAAGGAGGTGGTCATAATGTTATGCCTGATCGGCGTAGAACCATAAACAACACATTCTCCATCAATCTGAAGAACCATTTCCCCATGCAAAGAACCATTTAAGCATGTTTCTATACAGAACCATTGTTTTTATTGAAGAACCCTTTAAGAACCATCATTTTTACTTTCTACGAGCTGTTTTTACTTTACTTACACGTTTCTTGTTTTCTTCCTCACAATCCCGAGTGCTAGTTTTTCCTCTGTTGCCCATATTGTGCAAAATACATAAAGTAGAAAAATATTGATTAGATCTGTTCAAATTCCCCAGCCACACTCCGCAGATTCATTTACAGAATAATCAGGGAAGCTGGTGCGCTGAGCTTCCTCCTCTCTCTGAATGCACAGGTGTCTTTGTAAAGAGCTCAGATGTCTGAAGCTCCGCCCACACTCCGAGCAGTAATACGGTTTCTCTCCGGTGTGAATGCGCTGGTGTGTTCGTAGGTGACTCTGAAGATTAAAGCTCCGCCCACACTCGGAGCACTGATACGGTCTCTCTCCGGTGTGGGTGCGCTGGTGCCGTTGGAGATGAGTCAGCAGCGTAAACCTCTTGCCGCACTCTGAGCAGTGGTGCTTTTTCTCTCCGGTGTGGATCAGCTGGTGTCGTCTGAGATGATTCAGTGCATTGAAGCTCTTTCCACACTCGGAGCACTGGAACGGTTTCTCTCCGGTGTGAATGCGCTGGTGTCGTTGGAGGCCGTTCCACTGATTAAAGCTCTTGCCGCACTCGGAGCAGTGATACGGTTTCTCTCCGGTGTGGATGCGCTGGTGTGTTCTGAGGTGGCACTGCTCCCTAAAACTCTTCCCGCACTCGGAGCACTGATACGGCTTCTCTCCGGTGTGAAGCCGCTGGTGTCTTTGAAGATAATTCTGCTGGGAAAATCTCTTCCCACACACCGAGCAGGGCGGCGTTCTCTTCTTTCCAGGACTGGTCTTCACTTGTCCCCGAGATGTGTCAGCGCAGAGAGTACCGGATGATGCTTGTTGAGTGCTGGAGCTTCTTCTGGACGCCATTTAATCTCTCCTGATATTCCTCTCTGATGGTAGAATTCCTTCATGTGTCCACAGAGGTAAATTTAAATTCACCATTCATTTCCGGGGGAAGAAAAAAGTCTGTGAAATGCAACCAAAAACACAGAAAACTGAGGTTTGTATCCAACGTTCATTTACTTTCAGAACAAAGCTGTAAAACTGAACACAGAAAACAAACTTATTGTACTACGTTGTGAATACATTTCAGCTGTAGAAGTGCATGGGGGCAAAATACAGCTGCATCCTATTCCAGGAAGGTTCCACTACAGCTCTGGTTGTTCTAAGTTATTGCCAGATGGACATTTCCAGGTAGGTTATAACAAGCTTTCTGGCCATCAATAACATATAAGAAATAAACTGCTGTTGAGATTGGTGTAGCCTGGTTCAGCACTCAGACTCCAAATGCTAACAGGTTCTATGAAATTCAAGAACTGGGAACGCCTTAAAAATGCTGTGCCTACTTATGAAGCAAAGTAGCCTCAGTCGCATTTATCACAGGTCATAGACGTCTGGGCAGCCATTTTAGAAGTGAGGGGGACACAGCTGTCAGTAAGTGGTCAGTAAGACTCTCAGAGTCGTTGCCAAGAATCGACCCTGACTCTCAATCACAGAGGTGAAGAATCCACTGCTTTGGAGTCGACAGCCCATCACTAATAGCAGTCAGTGCATTCGTGTAGCCGAGCAAGTCTACCTGAAAACTGTGCCTGAAGTCCACTCTTAGCAAAAAAGGTTCTATATAGTACCAAAAAGGGTTCCTTGGCTTGTAACAATACTGGCACCCTTTTGGTACTATAGAAAACCCTTTTCAAAAATGGCTGTATAAATGAACCATCTACAGCACATTCTCCATCAATCTGAAGAACAATTTCACCATGCAAAAGGTTCTCTGAGTGTTCATTTAAGCAACAGAACACGAGAGGGAGTGCGTTGTCGTGAAATAACATCACAAGTGCCGTAGATCATCACAGCCGTGATGTTATAGCGATAACACACGACCTTGAGTGTTCTATTGCTTTCATACAACAGTTAAATGAATAAAGTAAGAAATTAATAAACTGGGCCGTGAACGCGGCGTTTAATATGTTTTAATGTTTTAATGTTCACAGTTCCTTCACCAAATTATAGTTCCTTAACAAGCAGCTTGAGCTACGTCAGAGTCCACTCACTCGCTGCTCAGTCTGCTGTAAGAGTCGCCTTTTGAAGTACGGACTGAGTCATAAAACTGCCACAATATCAAGTTTAGCTCAGTTTTGTCACTTTTTGCCAGATTAATGTTGTTTTGTTCCAGCCAGTCTGTAAAGCATCTTACAGCCCATTTAGTTTGGTGAATGGTATTGGGTTAATTTCTGGCTGATTCCAGGTTGTTTAGCTGTTCTTCTGTCACAGCTGCCGACTGAAAAGCTGCTCAGTGGTGATGAGTTTGGGAATTTAGTGTCGTCTCATCTTCAGAGTCTGATCAAATCGGCTGTCAGTCAAATGTGGTCTTAAAAGTGTCCATTTTCTGTTTGTGGCAAAGTAAGAAGTAAAAACGTTAAAATTGCTTGAGCGTCTCCTACAGCTGTCAAAGTCGTTGCTTGGCAACGGCGTCTCAGCGGAGTGATACGGTGTTTGTGAAAAAACGTGATGTTATGGTGAAATAACAGCACAGTTAGAACGCTTCACAACCAATCAGCTTGCGTGGCCGGAACTAACTGTTGTATAACGTTCTATACAGAACAATTGTATTGTTCTATACACAACCTTTACTAAAGATCCCTTGAAGAACCATCTTTTTTGTGTACAAACATAGCAGGAAAAATCACTTCATCAACCAGAAACAGGCCCTGAAGCTCAGAAGGTCTCATGAGCACAGCTGTACAGATGTAAATTCCTGTAAATATTCATATCATTCTGTAATTTTCTGTATATATTCATTTTTATAGTACGCCATCAGACCTGCATATGTGCAGATATTCACACTTCTCTTTAGCTCCTTTCGCACTGACCTTTATTATTCTTTATTCTATTTAGTGTATCTTAATGCATGTTAACAGTCTGTGTGCTTGTCTGGTCTGTTCAGTGTGTTACAGCCCTGCTGGTAAAGGACCAGTAGAAACCATTAGGATTAAAACCTAATGGCTTTCCTTTCTAATGTGAATTGGTTTCCAACAGAGACCACTAGTTTCCTGTAGGACACCTTTAGATCCCAGTAGGAAACCATCAAATGCATTTAGAATGAGCCACTGGTCTCCTGTTAAACCATTAGGATCCTTTACACTGTGATGTCAACCCATTAAAAAAAAACAAAACACGCTCACATCTTTAAACAGAACATTTAAAAAGTTTGACTGAACTCAGTGTGTGAGGTGTGCAAGACCCTCACCTGCAGCAGCTCCTGCTCCTCCTGCAGCTCTGATGAAGCTCTGATGGGTTTGTCTTTAGCAGCTCCTCAGTTTTCGGACAGCCGGTAACCTTTGAAGATCTGGACGGAGCCATGCACTGTTGATCAGAATGAGAGCTTATATCTTCTTCTCTTTACTGGGGTTGGAGAACCACACTTACAGAATTAGCGCCTCCAACTGGTCTGCAGGGGCCTCTGACCAAACCACGAATCAGGGGGTTTATTATTTAAATCACACCCGTATTCCGTCTAACCCCGCCTCCCGAGCTACGATTGGTTAGTTACTGTGCGCCACTGCTGGTCAAGTTTGTAACAACCCCAGAACTCTCTTCGGTACTACATGGAACCATTTACAACACATTCTCCATCAATCTGAAGAATCATCTCACCATGCGAGGAACCCTTTAAGCACGCAAATGGTTCTTTGAGAGTTCATGGTTCTATATAGAACCAGTTTCTTCACTAAAGAACCTTGAAGAACCAAGATTGTACAGGAAACTGGTGGTCTCTGTTGGAAACCATTAAGCCAATTCCCGTTAGAAAGCAAAACCATCAGGTTTTAAAGGTTCTAATGGTTCTAGTGGTGTTTTTATCAGCAGGGAAGGCCTATAGCAGTCTGGTCAGCAATACATACAGCATTCAATTTATGTATTTATTAAATCATTACACACAAACTATCAGTTTTGATACATATTTCAAGTTGCTTTATTAGTTAAGCGCCACAAGTTTACATTCTCAAAATCATCTGTTTAAATTTGGATGTGCACTAATGAGTGGCTCTTCATCCAGTGCAGCAGTGACGCACATGAAAAACACACTCAGTTCTACAGACACTCACTAATCACACTGCATAGAACAGAATAGAATAGAATACAATACTTCATTTCATTTCCATCAAATGGAAATTTCTCTTTAGTGCTGTCATTCAGAGACGCTATGCCAGAGGGGCACAACTCTGATCCTGGAGGGCCGGTGTCCAGCACAGTTTGGTGATGTACCTGCTCAAACACACCTGATTACACTCATCTGTTACTTCCCAGGCTTAGCAGGTGTGTATGAGCGGGCAACAACCAAACTGCACTGGACACCAGCTCTCCAGGATGAGTGTGCACCCTGCTCTGCACTGTACACACACAAAACACGACTCTGAATATGTATAAAAACAGCAGCAGCAACAACATACATGTTACAAATATGGGGGGGGGCACTCCATCTGCTACTCCGGCCACCAACAACGAAGAAGTGATGTCAACAAGACTGTTATGGATGCGAATGACTGACAGTCAATCAGTCAACATTTCACTCATACAGGTTCATTACAGTGGTCAGCATTAATGAAATACTCAGCAACGGCCAAACACAACTAGGCTCAATTACTATCAACAAAATAATGTTTGCCTTGTTTTTATTGTATTTGTTTCTTATTTAAATGCTATCAGTCTGTTTGTCTGGTCTGTTCAGTGTGTTAATGTCATACATGTCTCACTGCTTCCTCATATCGCTGTTGCTGGAACAAAACCTCATCTCCAAAAGGGTAACTTTACAGGAAAAGGGAAAAATGTACTTTACTTTTAATGGAAGTCAATGGAACCAGATTTTTTCCAAGTCATTTTGGGCCGTTTCTTTTGGTCCATTCATCATGAAAATTGCATACAATTTAAAGGACATCAGGCATACGAGGTTTTGTTCTAACAGCTGTGATATGTCTAACACACTTGGCCAAATAAAGTGATTCTGGAAAAACAGGCACAGATTTGCATGTTTTAAGTGATTATTAATGTTTATTAGTGGTTATTAGTGTTATTAGTGATTAGTGTCTTCTTCTCCTTCTTCTTCTTCTGCCAGATTTTTGTAACTTGGCCTGCAGTTTTTGAGATATCGACACCGCTTGTACACAGCTTTCCGATCGGATGTTTCGTTTTCATATAATTACCGTTAAATTACATTTTTTCCCATTTGGAATAAAAGGGGTGCAAACGTTTGTGCGCCCAACTTGTGTCATGTTGATACAAGTCCATTAGCAACATTCTAGTAACCATGCGGGGAACCATAGCAACCACCTAGCTTAAGTTCACTCTGCAGTCACTCTGCATTTTGTTCAAGAAATGCACTTTTCTAGTTACCTATCGGTGGTGATTCGACAACTAAACATGGTGGCCACTGATTGGCCAAGGCAACTTTATAGGTCCAAAGTCCAGAAACCCACAATCACACAATCAAAATACACCACAGATCCACAGACAGATAAATACACACACACTTCAAGGGTTCTCTAGTAAAGACAATGGTTCTATATAGAACCATAAACACTCAAAGAACCCCACTGTTGTTATACGTCCAAAAAAGCCGTTTTCAGTGCTATATAAAACGCTTTAAGAGTGTAGGGTCTCCAGGATCAGGACTGAGCACCCTGACTAAGACTTTAGAAGGACGTTCCATTCCATAGTGAAGTCTTACATCACACGGAACTGACAATACACTCTTTCAAAAGACGGTTCTTCAAGGAGTCTTCAGAAAAGGCAATGGTTTTATTTAGAACCATGAGTTCTATATAGAGCCATTTACACGATTAAAACGTTCTTTGCATGGTGAAGTGGTTCTTCAGATTGATGGAGAATGTGTTACGCATGGTTCTATGTAGCTATCTATCTATCTATCTATCTATATATATATATATATATAAACATTTTGGTGCTATATAGATCCACGTACAACACATTCTCAATCAATCTGAAGAACTATTTCACCAAGCAGAGAACCATTTAATAATCATGCAAAAGGTTCTCTGTTCACGGTTCTTTATAGAACCATTGCCTTTACTAAAGTACCCTTAAGAATGCACAGAGCTGAAACTTGCCAGTAAAGAAATATAAATACATAAATATTATTGATGTAACAAGATCTCTCAATATTAGGTCTGTAAATATACAGAAATAAATGTTAATGATGACAGTTCACCTAAAAAATGAAAAGAATTCCGAGAAGACAAATTTCTGATACTGCACAGACTCAAACTATTTAATTATAATCACTGTTTCACCTGTTTTTCCCATTTCTGTTCCATTTCATTCCATTTTAATAGTTTATACTAACACTGTTTGCTGTCCGGTGTGGTCCAGAGGAGGATGGGTTCCCCTTTTGAGTCCTTTTGAGTCCTTTTGAGTTAGAGATTCCTCTCTAGCAGTGTGTCCCAATTCAGGGGCTGGATCCTTCGTAGGACGCGGTCTACGAAGGCGTGTCCTTCGACGGCTACTTAGACCCGCGAAGGCTGAACCGAAATGAGACGGTCGGCTCTACGGCTGATATCCTGTTTGCGTCACAGCACCGCTGTTCCCGCCCTTACCTGTGCACCGCAAAGCACCGCTCTTATCAAGTTATTTTAAAGTTCTTTAAAGATGGAGCCAAAAACTTTGATTTTAGTTGTTCATTTTTTCATTTATTAGAGTTGGGGATGCTTCACCGCCGGCTACTGATGAGATTGTTTTTGTTTTTGTTTTTTTTACATTTGTAAGTTTAAACCCAAAACTTATATATAAAAGTGGCCCTTCAGCCGCCATTCGCTTCTCTGTTGATGTCGCCATGTTCTCGAATCCTTGCCGGCACACAGTTAACCTCGGGATATGTTGGCTGGCCAGGGATGCACCTGATGGATCCTTCGTTGCCATAGAAAAGTAGGACATAGCCTCTGAAATGGGACAGCCCAGTCGCGCCGCTGTGACGCCATTGGCCTTCAAATGCAGCCTCCGAAGGATGCAGCCCCTGAAACGGGACACACTGAAGGTTCTTCCTCTTGCTCTTAAGGAGTTTTTCTTGCCACTGTCGTCATTGGCGACGCTAATCGGGGCTCTGACCCTGATTTTTCTGTAATGCTGCTTTGTGACAACGCCTGTTGTAAAAAGTGATAAATAAGTGAACTTTGACTTTGACAATACAAATTTAATCACAAGCACCGTTCAAATCCCACCGTCCCAGGCAGACTCTGCAGAAGAACTCAGAGGAAATGAGGGAAGCTGGTGTGCTGAGCTTCCTCCTCTCTCTGAATGCACAGGTGTCTTTGTAAAGAGCTCCAGTGTCTGAAGCTCCTCGCGCACTCGGAGCAGTAATACGGCTTCTCTCCGGTGTGGATGAACTGGTGTGTTTGTAGATGGCTCTGGAGATTGAAGCTCTTCCCACACTGTGAGCACTGATACGGCTTCTCTCCGGTGTGGGTGCGCTGGTGTCGCTGGAGATGGGGCAGCTGAGTGAAGCTCTTCCCGCACTCGGAGCAGGAATACGGCTTCTCTCCTTTGTGAATGAGCTGGTGTCGTTGGAGATGATTCAGTAAGTTAAATCTCTTCCCGCACTCGGAGCAGGAATACGGCTTCTCTCCTGTGTGGATGCGCTGGTGTCGTCGGAGATGATTCAGCTCGTTGAAACTGTTCCCGCACTCCGAGCAGCGGTACGGCCTCTCTCCGGTGTGAACGCGCTCGTGCCGTTGGAGGCTGCTCCGCTGATTGAAGCTCTTCCCGCACTCGGAGCACTGATACGGCTTTTCTCCGGTGTGGATGCGCTGGTGTATTCTGAGGTTACATCTCTCTCTGAATTCCTTTCCACACTCTGCGCAGGGATGTGTTCTCCTCTGTCCTGCGCTGTCCTGCTCATGTGTGGTAACATGAAGAGTACCGGACGATGTCTGCTGAGGGCTGGGGCTTCTTCTGGACTCCATATTCTCATTCCAGCAGTGGGAGGTTTTCCATCTTGGTGGTGTTTCCTGATGTGTTTGTGGAGGTGTGTGGGCAAATGGACACTAGAAGCAGGAGAAGACTTGGACCAGCATCTCATCTCATCTCATTTCTGGACAAGAAAAAGAAACAAAAACATTAACATTTCAGTGTGAAATGCAGCAAATGTGTGACATAAAGCTTTGAGGTTTGTTCCTAATGTTCGGTTAATCTCAGAATAAAAAATATGATGGATAAAATCTCTCTCCCATGATGTGCGTCGTCCAGACAAAGAGGCGGAGAGCTCTACTGCATCTCTTGTCTCAAAATGCTGACTCACTGTCTTGAAAATGTTTAACCTAATTTGTACTGTTATACTGTTTTGTGTCTGTGCTGTTATCCGCTGTCGACCAGAGGAGGATGGGTTCCCCTTTTGAGTCTGGTTCCTCTCAAGGTTTCTTCCTCCTGTTGAGGGAGTTTTTCCTTGCCACTGTCGCCAAGGCTTGCTCACTGGGACCGTGGACCCGGATTCTCTGTAAAGCTGCTTTGTGAGAACATCTGTTGCAAAAGGCGCTATATAAATACATTTGACTTGACTTGACTAATTTGTTATCATTCTGCATTCTACTCTTTTTGAACAATAAGCCAGTGTGGAAGTTTAATGACTGACAGATTTCCACAGCCCACTTCATTGGTCAATGTGCAGAAAATGGGTGAACACTACTGCTTCCTTCAGAATGGTTCACTTTACATTTACATTTATGGCATTTGGCTGACGCTTTTATCCAGAGCGACTTACAATTTGATCATTTTACACAGGTTGATGAAGGTAGTGTTAGGAGTCTTGCCCAAGGACTCTTATTGGTATAGTGTAGGGTGATTACCTAGACAGGGATTGAACCCCAGTCTACAGTGTAGAAGGCAGAGGTGTTACCCACTACGCTACACCAACCACTTTCGCTTGTTAAATATGGCATTTGCTACACAGTGAACTGACTATGGAACAACCGAAAGACTTATCAAACACTACATCCAGAAATACTGCTTCATAAAAAAGCTACAGATATTTAACAGATATATAACAAATCAAACACACATGAAGTTCTGTGATTTTGGAATATACTAGCTGTAATTGAGATGTTTAAACATCATGTTGACAATAAACAATTCAAACTGAATCAGGCAGAAAAGTTATCAATTATGTATTTTTAATAGTTGATATTCCAACGGTTTTGTCACAAGCTTGTAACTTATTGACTGCTATACTTCTATATACTTTCTACCATAAATGTATATTTACTCTTTTCAATCCCTTGTATAATGCTCAGCTACATAATAATAGTAGTAGTAACAACAACAACTATTATAATAATAATAATCTTTATTTTTAAAGCACTTTTCATGCCTGTCGCAGCTCAGAGTGCCAACACAGATCAGACTAAACAGATAAAGACCAAAGAGCCATAGAGTTTTAATGAAGCGCTGAGTTAAAGAGCTGCGTTTTCAGTTGTTTATTAAAAGTGAGCTCTGAGCTCGACTGTCTCATAAAAGGTGAACTGAGCTTCACAGTTTAGAAGCAGAACAACTGAAAGAGTCTCTCCATGTTTCTGTATTTTACTGAAGGTGTTCAGAAGTTCAGTATCTGCAGGTCTAAGATCATAAACAGACATTCAGGAGCTTTAAGGTCATTTAGAGCTTTAAAAACCAGCAGCAGAGCTTTAAACTCTCTCTAAAAGATCCAGGTGGTCAGTGCAGCGTGTAAACGGGGTGATATGAGCTCTTTGTGTTGGTGGTGTTATAAATGAGGGTCTCTCTCAGTTTAAATAAAAGTTGATTAATAATTAAATCTCCCACCCGGCCACCCTGTTGTAAATGTTCTAGCCACACCCCTCTCTAACAACCGGGCTTGGATAGAGCGGAGCTTTTAATGAACAGTGTTAACGTCCATTTAGACTCTGACGGGTTCTCTGGGTTCTGACTAACACCTCTGAAGACAATCCAGTTGTAAACACTTAAAAAAGATGGTTCTTCAAGGGTTCTTCAGCAAAGACAAGAGTCTATTTAGAAGCATAACTTCTATATAGAACCATTTTATGCTTAAATGGTTCTTTGCATGGTCAGTTTGATGGAGAATGTGTTGTATATTGTTCTCTATAGCACCAAAAAGGGTTCTTCTACTGTAATGATGTCAAGCCTGTAACAGCAGAACCCTTTTTGGTGCTATACAGAACCACATGCAACACATTCTCCATCAATCTGGAGCTGATTCTAAATGCATTTGATGGTCTGCTAATGGAATCTAAAGGTGTCCTACAGGAAATTACGAGGCCGCGCCGTGTTAACACTTGGGAACAAGATCATAATGCATGGCCACGACTTAGTAAGGTGTAGGAACGAGATATTTAAGCCATAGCCATGACTTAGTAAGGCATAGGAACGAGATCACACCTTATTAAGCTATGGCCCAGGCTTATTATCTCATTCCTGTGCTTTAAATTATTATTTACACAGTGTGTCACCAGCAGGGCTCTGTAGGGATCTAGTGGTCTCTATTGGAAACCATTAAGCCAGTTCCCATTAGAAAGCAAAACCATCACCAGGTTTCCTAATCCTAATTGTTTCTAATGGTCCTTTTTCAGCAGGGCTAACAGGTGATCACAGGTGTCGTTTGAGTATTCAGGTAAAGCTGAAATGGAGATGTTTAATTGATGAGTGTGGTAATCAATCTGTGAGGTCAGCGAGACTTCAGACTTCAGACGTGCAGATTTACCACCTTTTCAAAAAGCAATTAACTAATTCAGTTCAATTTAATTCAGTTAACCGTCCAATAGTCTGTAATAAACCCAGTGCAGATGTTCAGCTCCTCACCTTCAGCACTGCAGATCCTCACTGTCTGTCCGAGCGCTGTGATCAGCTGACCAAAACAGGATCTTCCATCTTCTTGTTCCCTGAATCAGTGGAGCTGGAGAACCGCAGTTGTAGGATTAGCGCCCCCATCTGGACCGCTGGGGCTTCACACACAATCACTCGATCACGTCTGGTAGAAGCAGAGGTTTAATATTTAAATCCCACCCGTATTCCGACAAACTCAGCCATTAGGTGGCACGACTGAGTGTGTGAACACTCACTGGCTGCTTTACTAACCGTATAAAGCTGTAGGAGTTATACTCAACGTGCGAAATGCAGGATGTCCTTGGGGTCCAGAACCCCCTGAATAGACAGATAGACAGATAGATTCAACTTTATTGTCATTGCTCAGTACAAATACAAGGCAACGAAATGCAGTTAGCATCTACCAAAACAGCAAATAGTAGAAATAGTGCAAAACAGACAGTGCAAATGTGCAATAACAGACATAAATATGACATATCTATGAAATATATAACTATACAAACAATATATACACAATTACAAATGTATCTATGAATTATTGAACCTCCTTGTTTCTACGCTTTGTCCATTTTATCAGCTCCACTTACTATATAGGTGCACTTTGTAGTTCTACAGTTACAGACTGTCCATCTGTTTCTCTGCATACTTTGTTAGCCCCCTTTTACCCTGTTCTTCAGTGGTCAGGACCCCCATGGACCCTCACAGAGCAGGTACTATTTGGGTGGTGGATCATTCTCAGTAACACTGATGTGGTGGTGTGTTAGTGTGTGTTGTGCTGGTACGAGTGGATCAGACACAGCAGTGTTGCTGGAGGTCCACTCACTGTCCACTCTATTAAACACTCTTACCTTGTCGGTCCACCTTGTTTATGTAAAGTCAGAGATGATAGCTCATCCGCTGCTGCACAGTTTGTGTTGGTCATCCTCTAGTCCTTCATTAGTGGTCACAGGGCACTGCCCACAGAACGCTGTGGGCTGGATATTTTTGGTTGGTGGACTGTTCTCAGTCCAGCAGTGACACTGAGGTGTTTAAAAACTCCAGCAGCACTGCTGTGTCTGATCCACTCAGACCAGCGCAACACACACTAACACACCACCACCACGTCAGTGTTACTGCAGTGCTGAGAATGATCCACCACCCAAATAGTACCTGCTCTGTGAGGGTCCATGGGGGTCCTGACCACTGAAGAACAGGCTAAAATGGGGCTAACAAAGTATGCAGAGAAACAGATGGACTACAGTCTGTAACTGTAGAACTACAAAGTGCACCTATATAGTAAGTGGAGCTGATAAAATGGACAATGAGCGTAGAAACAATGGTCATAATGTTATGTCTGATCAGTGTAGAACCATAAACAACACATTCTCCATCAATCTGAAGAGCCATTTTACCATGGAATGAACCATTTGATCATACAAATGGTGTTATTTTATGAATAATACCAGCTTATCAGGGAGGGAGATAATCATTTAACATGAATCCAATTTAATCATTTCTGCTGCTCATTTATCAAATCATTAATCAAACCACTTACAAATCAAAATACTGATGTACATTCAGTGAACACAAGAAACTGAGTCCAGAATTCAGTTTAGCCTGAAACACGATTACAAACCATTCATACACTCTTAAAAATGGTGCTTCAAGGGTGAAGACAGTGATTCTATATAGAACCATGAACACTCAAAGAACCATTTGCATGCTTAAATAGTTCTTTACATGGTGAAATGGTTCTTCAGATGAAGAACGTGTTGTATATGGTTCTATGTAGGATGCTATAAAGCACCAAAAAGGGATCTGCTACTGTTACAATGTCAGGCTTGTGACAATCGAAGAACCCTTTTTGGTGCTATACAGAACCCTTTTCACAAAGGTTCGACATAGAACCATATACAACACATTCTCCATCAATCTGAAAAACTATTTCACCATGCACAGAACCATTTATGCATTCAAATGATTTTTATAGAACTCAAGTTTTAAATAGGACCACTGTCTTTACTGAAGAACCTTGGCAGAACCATCTCTTTTAAGCGTGTGCAGCAAAAACCTGAAATTAAAATCTTAAATAGCTGGAGATGAAAAAGGTGTGTCTGAACGTGTGTTTAAGGATAAGTAACATAGCTAGAACAGTCCATGAACAGAACCTGCCCGATTTATGTAAAGAACATGTTTGGGAGCAACAATTTGGGCTGGTCTCCTAGACATGGACTAAACATAGTGTTGAACTAACCCACAGCAACAACAACAACAAGAACAACAACAACAAACAGTAAAAAGTAGATCCATAGATGTTCTTATTAGCACCTTTCAAACAACCCACAGTACCCTCTACACAGGAACCTGATGAAAGAACAGAACAGTCTTGAGTTTTCATACACTTTCATACACAAACCATTCATACACTCTTAAAAAAGAGGGTTCTTCAAGGGTTCAGTAAAGACAATGGTTCTATATAGAACCATGCACACTCAAAGAACCATTTGCATGCTTAAATGGTTCTTTACATGGTGAAATGGTTCTTCGGGTTGACTGATGTGTTGTATATGGTTCTATAAAGCAGCAAAAAGGGTTCTTCTATTGTTACGATGTCAAGCTTGTGTCAACAGAAGAATCCCTTGTGGTGCTGTACAGAACCCTTTTCACAAAGGTTCTACATAGAACCATGTACAATACATTCTCCATCAATCTGAAGAAAGAACCATTTGCATGCTTAAACTTCTCCCTTGGATGTGCCTGACAAAAACAACAACAACAACAACAACAACAACACAGTAAAAAGTAGATCCACAGATGTTCCTTAATGCACCTTTCAGTCAACCCAAGTACACTCTACACAGGAACCTGATGAAAGAACAGAACAGTCCTGGGGTTCCTCCTCTTTGTTGATGCACTTGTGCATCTTTAAAGAACTGGAGTGCCTGAAGCTCCGCCCACAGACTGAGCAGTAATACGGTTTCTCTCCAGTGTGGATGCGCCGGTGCGTCTGTAGATGACTTGAGATGTTGAAGCTCTGCCCACACTCTGAGCACTGATACGGTCTCTCTCCGGTGTGAACGCGCTGGTGTTGTTGGAGATGAGCTAACAAAGTGAAGCTCCGCCCACACTCTGAGCAGGAATACGGTCTCTCTCCGGTGTGGGTGCGCTGGTGCCGTTGGAGATGAGTCAGTAGAGTGAATCTCCTGCCGCACTCCGAGCAGGCGTACGGTCTCTCTCCGGTGTGGATGCGCTGGTGTATTCTGAAATTGCTCCGTACGTTGAAACCCCTCCCGCACTCTGAGCAGTGGTATAACTTCTCTCCTGTGTGGACGGGCTGGTGTGCATCCAGATGACTCTGCCGAGTGAAGCTCTTCCCGCACTCTGAGCACTGATACGGCCTCTCTCCAGTGTGGATGCGCTGGTGGAGTTGGAAGCTACTCAGCTGGCTGAACTTCTTCCCACACTGCGAGCAGTGATACGGTCTCTCTCCGGTGTGGATGCGCTGGTGTGTTTTGAGAGCTCCCCTCTCTCTGAAGCTCCTCCCACACTCCGAACACTGAAACGGCTTCTCTCCTCTGTGAATGCGCTGGTGTACCTGAAGGTTACCCTGCTGGGTGAAGCTCTTGCTGCACTCCGAGCAGGTAAACGGTCTCTCTCCGGTGTGAATGCGCTGGTGTATTCGGAGATGACTCTGTTGAGTGAAGCTCCTCCCACACTCTGCGCAGGGGTGAGCTCTCTCCTCTCCGTCGCTTTTCTTCGTTTGTCCGGGAGGTGTGTCAGTGCGGCGAGTGACGGAGGATGTTTGCTGAGCACTGGAGCTTCTTCTGGAGGCCATGGTCTTACATTGAATCTCCTAATGTGAGTGGTATCTCCTGTTATGTCACATGTGCAGTTGTTGGCAAGTGGAGCAGGAGAGGACCTTAAAGAGTGAGTCACTCATTTCTGGAAGAGAAGAAAACAGTTCATAACTCAAAATGAATCAAATCAAATCAAATCAAAACACATTTATTGTCACATCACATAAACACAGGTGCGAAGGTGAGTGAAAATCTCACATGCGTAGTCCCTTGCAGAAACTATACATGTATACATATTATATATATATATATATATATATACCGATCAGTCATATCATTTTGACCACCTCCTTGTTTCTATGCTCATTGTCCATCTTATCAGTTCCACTTACTATATAGGTGCAGAGTGTAGTCCATCTGTTTCTCTGCATACTTTGTTAGCCCCCTTTTACCCTGTTCTTCAGTGGTCAGGACCCCCATGGACCCTCACAGAGAAGGTACTATTTGGGTGGTGGATCATTCTCAGCACTGCAGTAACACTGACGTGGTGGTGGTGTGTTAGTGTGTGTTGCGCTGGTATGAGTGGATCAGACACAGCAGTGCTGCTGGAGTTTTTAAACACCTCAGTGTCACTGCTGGACTGAGAATAGTCCACCAACCAAAAATGTCCAGCCAACAGCGTCCTGCGGGCAGCGCCCTGTGACCACTGATGAAGGACTAGAGGATGACCAACATAAACTGTGCAGCAGCAGATGAGCTATCATCTCTGACTTTACATAAACAAGGTGGACTGACAAGGTAGGAGTGGACAGTGAGTGGACACAGTGTTTAAAACTCCATTCATATATATATTCCAGATTACGAGATATGGATAGAAATACAACAAAATTAGGTCCATATTGGCGATTGCACCTAATGTTCAGTGTTTCAGACCAAAAAAGTCCTTAAATGGAGAAAAGACAAACAGTTCCCAGCCCCTGTTGTGGTGGTCCTGCAATTAATACAGCAATTACTGCAGTGCCTTTGATAAACCCAGCCAGAAAAAAATTCCCTACTGTAAAAGAAACATTAGAAACGAATATGATTAAAACATAATGGTATTGCTTTCTAATAGGTTTTGGAGTAATGGTTTCCAATAGAGACCACTAGTTTCCTGTAGAACACCTTTAGATCCTATTAGGAAACCATCAAATGCATTTAGAATCAGCCCCTGGTCACCTGTTAAACCATTAGGATACTTTACACTGTGACATCAACCCATTAAAAACGACAAAACACATTACAAAACCATCAGGAACCAACAGAAACACTTAATGGTTTTGGTTTCAATTGTTTTTTTTCAGCAGGGTCATTTTCCATCAAAAATAAGACCAACTCTGAAGACTTTGTGTGTTTACCTATTTTCCACCCTGCACTTAGAAATCAGAGCATCAGCTCTCCAACCAGGGGCAAAATAAACAACGTAAACAACGTAAACAAAGTGTTAAACACATCGTTACCTTGAACACCTGTATTTTCTCTGTCTCTCTGTGCTGAGCAGAGGGGAGTAAATCATCTCTTACTTCTTCGCTGTGTTTTGGTTTGGACAACCACAGTTACAGAATTAGCGCCCCCACTTGGACCGCAGGAGCCTCACACTGGAACCACGTGACCGCTGAGCCTGACTGAGCTCAGGTGTTCAGTTAAATCCCACCTGTATTCCAACCGTTTAAAGAAAGCCGTTGAAGAAGGTTTGGACGCTTCCCAGTAAGTGTTTGCTGATGAATAAAATCAAGAAGGTTGATTACAAGATCACCCACCAAATGTATCCAGTAAAATCCCGTCGAAATTTAAGGCGTCCACTGATATAAACTTTTTTTTTCTTCTTTTTTTTCCTTTCTTTTTTCTTTGCCGAGTTGAACAGCTGCCTATCCTGTGCGTCTGATGCTGCTGCCCTTTTCTGCCTTGATCGGGTGCCACTGCTGCCAGCCCTCTGGACCGGCTTACCACCATTGAGCCTCCTGCTGTACAACGCTGTGCAAACCTCACCCTCACAACCTGACCCCACTGATGCTGCTGCATGAACTAAACTAATCAGATTAATCATTTGCTCCACCTGTTTTCCCTGTTTTTGTACTATAATACTTTATACTAACAATGTTTTACTATCTGGTGTCAACCAGAGGAGGATGGGTTCCCCTTCTGAGTCTTGGTTCCTCTCAAGGTTTCTTCCTGTTTCTCTTAGGGAGTTTTTCCTTGCCACTGTCGCCACTGGCGATGCTCATGGGGGCTTGGACCCGGATTTCTTTCTGTAATGCTGATTTCCTTGTAAAGCTGCTTTGTGACAACACCTGTTGTGAAAAGTGCTATTTAAATAAACTTTGCTTGCTACTTTTTGTGTCTTACAGCCAGAAACTCTTTCATCTGTTTTGGCTTTTCCACACTCGATATTATATCTGTAGCTTCATCTTGGACTTTATTAACAGAGAGTTTGAACTTTATCTCTAAAATGTTTTGTTTGGGTTTACAAATTATCAAAATGATGTGAAAAATTAATATTTGTGTGCAATCTAATTGTTTTATTGGCAAAGTTCTGTATGCAGAAGTGTAAGGTCAATTTCATCACTTTATCAAAGATGTGGAGTGTCACTTGAAACCCTCGTCTTCCTCTGAGGCAAGAAAGCTGTAAAAATTTTTCTCTCCTTATCAGTTTATTTATTTCTTTATTTTACCCCCCTTTCCCCCCTCCCTGCCTATCTGTGCAAAGATATAATAACAAATGAAATAATTATAAACTCTGTATTCCACCTCCATCACTCAGAGTGAACAATCAAAAAGGATAAGGAATAAATTGATCTTCTGAATGATGCTGAAGGACAGCTAACTGGATTGGCTCATTGATTTCATCATTACGGTAAGGATGTGTATATGCGTAAGTTTTCATCCCCCTGTAGGACTGAATTATCCTGGTGGAAGATTTCTTATCAAGACTTATGAACATGTTTAAGATGTGTGAATTAATTCAAATAGGGGCATCACTGGTGCACCTGGGGGGGTGCGAAGGAATGTACTGTTTAGTGCTGTGTTATATGCTATTGTATTCACCATTGTGTGTGTTGTACGATGCGTGTGATGTGATTTCCCTAAACACTGGCAAATTCACTGAATGTTGAAAGAAGAAGGTTTGGCTTCTGGAGTTGCTGGTCAGACTCAGGTACGCCTGTCTGAACCATCAGAGATACAATGTGGTCCACATAAACTGTCAGTGTCTTTGTGGGTGGGACAGATTCCCACATCTCCTGTTTTAGGTTTGTATATAATTACCCAGTTTGCATCCCCATGGTTGAAAAGTGCCCTCTAGAGTGAAAACGTAAGGAAGTGCCCTATTGGCTGCCATTCACATGGGAAAAAATGTACCCTTTAGAGTACCATCTAGAGTTCCCCTTCATACAATAAATGATGTGCCCTCTATATAGAAGAACATTTGATAACGTGTCTTAAAGAGAGCTCCTCTAGTGGAGAAAACATGAAGCAGTGCCCTATAAGGGGCCCTTACCATCGTGTAAACTGGACGTTCCCTGTGGGTGCTGTAATGAAGTGCCCTCTAATCTGCCCCTACAAGACAGCGTCCCAAAAGTGCCCTTTGCAGTGGATAAACTGTGATGCAGTGCTGTGAAGTAGTACACATGCAGTACATGTGTAAGAATATAGGGGGATTTTCCTAATGGAGCCCCTTCAGAGGAGAAAATGTGATGTGGTGCCATATAGGTGCCCTCATAATGGGATGAACTTAATGTTCCCTACAGGAGCCTTCAAGATAAACAAAACTCAAGTAGTGCCTCTTATACACCCTTCAAAGTGAGAAAAAACAATGCAGTGCCCTACGGTCTCCCCTATAGGGCAGGATTTCCCAAAGTGGGTACTTTGACAGTCTAGGGGTGATCAAATACTTTGATAAGATTTCAGGATGGCTGTGATTCAGGACTGCCGTGTTTCAGGAGTCCTGTGTTTCAGGACTGCCGTGTTTCAGGAAAGCCGTATTTCAGGATGGCCGTGTGTCAGAGCGGCTGTGATTCAGGACAGCCGTATTTCAGGATGACTGTGTTTCAAGTTGACTGTGTTTCAGCATGGCTGTGTTTCAGGACAGCTGTGTTTCAGGACGGCCGTGTTTCAGGGCGGCTGTGTTTCAGGATGGCTGTGTTTCAGGGCGGCTGTTTCAGGATGGCTGTGTTTCAGAGCGGCCGTGTTTCAGGACAGCCGTGTTTCAGGATTGCTGTGTTTCAGGATGGCCGTGTTTCAAGTTGACCATGATTCAGGACAGCAGTGTTTCAGGACGGCCATGTTTTCAGGATGGCAGTGATTCAGTACGGCTGTGTTTCAGGGCGGCTGTGTTTCAGGATGGCCGTGTTTCAAGTTGACCATGATTCAGGACGGCAGTGTTTCAGGACGGCCATGTTTCAGGATGGCTGTGTTTCAGTACGGCTGTGTTTCAGGACGACTGTGTTTCAGGGCGGATGTGTTTCAGGGATTGCTGTGTTTCAGGACCACTGTGTTTCAGGGCGGCTGTGTTTTAGGGCGGCCGTGTTTCAGGATTGCTGTGTTTCAGGATGGCTGTGTTTCAGGGCAGCTGTGTTTCAGGATGGCTGTGTTTCAGGGTGGCCTTGTTTCAGGGCGAGCTGTGTTTCAGGATGGCTGTGTTTCAGGACGACTGTGTTTCAGGGTGGCTGTGTTTCAGGATGGCAGTGATTCAGGATGGCTGTGTTTCAGGGCAGCTGTGTTTCAGGATGGCTGTGTTTCAGGACGACTGTGTTTCAGGGCGGATGTGTTTCAGGGCGGCTGTGTTTCAGGATTGCTGTCTTAACTCAGTCTATTTCTCATCTATCAGAGAGAGGGAGAGAAATCTCTGTAAAAAGGCAAATCTGCTCCTCTTTAAAACAATAATCATATTAACCTGAAAGTGTAAACTGGCTGTTTTAATATTTCAGGTTCACTGAGTGGAACAGTGATGTGGGGAAATGTACAAAGGACTTTAGGAATGGCATTATTGAAGAAGCATCTCTGTTCTTTCCATTTTTTACTTTCTGTTACAGGGTTTCTTATTTTGTTTGTTTGTTTTTTATGGTTTAATTAATAACACAGATCACCAATGCTGACTCGCTGCATGTTAAAGTGTAAATCCTCATATTAAATAAAGTAACTGCACATTTTACAGGTTAATTAGTAGAAATTCTGGGTGATGATCTGCCAGAATGTTCAGTTCTGCAGTGAACTGGGCCAAACCCGGATCTTTACACGACGAGAGGGAAAATGATTTTTCTGCTTGTAAATTTCCACCAGGTGCATGATGGGAAATAATCTTAAAAATCCAGCTGCAGTCTTGAAAATAGTTATCCTGCAAGATCCCCAGTCTTTGCAAAATAGATTAGATTAAGTGACCCTTATTAGTCCCACAACAGGGAAATTCACCTTTGCATTTTACCCATCCAAACAGTGAAACACCACATACACACTAGGGGGCAGTGAGCACACCTGCCCAGAGCAGTGGGCAGCCCAATCCACAGTGCCTTTGTGCCTTGCTCAAGGGCACTTAAGTCATGTACTGTCAGTTCAGGGAATCGAACCAGCAACCTTCCAGTCACAGGGGCTGGTTCTCTAACTTCCAGCCCACAACTGTCGCTTAATAGTTGTGTGTTTATGATTAATAACACCCTGTTTTATTTTTTTATTTATTTGTTTTTCTTTCCCCTTTTTATATTTCCACCATTGAGCCCACTTTTGTTAAATATATATATATATAAACTTGAAATATATATTTGTATATATATTTCAAGTTTATATATTGTCATTTCCTTTAAAGAGAGTACATCTGATGACAATTCCATCTTAAAAACTGAAAATCTGGGAGAGCTCTCATATATTGGCATTTATGAATATAATATTTCCTTAAAACATTAATTACATTAATAAACATACCCAGACCACTGTCTTCCATTATCATCTCAAGCATTATTATCAATCATTTATTGAGAAGGTGTTCAGTTCTGGTATGTTAACCTTCAGCCAGCAGTGAAAGTCATTCCAAAACAATCCTGAATGAGTGCATCAGTATAAAAGGTGGTCCAAAGTCAAACAGCCAAACTCTGCCGGGCTCCGCGTCTGAACCCACGCAGCGCCAGCGTGAAGCTCCGGCAGGCCAGGAGGGGTCGCTACTACTATAACTCTGCTTCTCCGAGCAGTTACAAAGAGGAGAAGTAGAAGATGAAAGGGAGCAGAAAAAACTCGCTCCAGCCTGGAATCACACCTTCCTTTATAGAGAGAAAGAATGAGAGACAGAGAGAGAGGGAGAGGACTGAAGGTAAGAACCTCTATATGTCGTTTTCTTCACTGAACCTTAAATACAGTGATGACAAAGCGAAGATATAAAGGGTTAAACCTGATAACAGGTTCCTTTGAAAGGCTTTTAAGAGCAGAGCGCACTTAACCTGTCTGACAGCACGAAGACCTACAATTAGGATCCTGCTGAAAAGGACCATCAGACACCATTAGGATTAAAACATAATGGTTTTGCTTTCCTATGAGTATTGGATGAATGATTTCCAACACAGACCACTAGTTTCCTGCAGAACCCTCTTAATAAAGATGGTTCTTCAAGGGTTCTTTAGTAAAGACAATGGTTCATGTAGAACCATGAACACTCAAGCAACCATCTGCATGCTTATATGGTTCCTTGCATGGTGAAATTGCTCTCAGATTGATGGAGAATGTGTTGTATATGGTTCTGTGCAGCACCAGAAAGGGTTCTGCTATTGTTACGATGTCATGTCAAGCTTGGAACAGTAGAAGAACCCTTTTTGGTGGTGTACACAACCCTTTTCTACATAGAACCATGTATAATACGTTCTCCATCAATCTGAAGAAAGAACCATTTGCAGGCTTAAACACTTCCCTTGGATGTGCCTGAAAATCAATCTGAAGAACTGATTTCACCATGCAGAGAACTGTTTAAGCGTGAAATGGTTCTTTGAGTGTTCATGGTTCTACATAGAACCACTGTCTTTACTAAAGAACCCTTGTAGAACCATCTTTTTTAAGAATAAAATACAGTTTTAGGGAAGCAAGAACCAGTGTTTCATCTTGCCTTACAGGCTGCTCAGCATTTTCCCATTTCACTATTTTCATCCTTCCTTCAAGCTTTTTTGTTTGTTTAGGTTTGTTTTTAATGTGAAACTAACTGATTATAATCTGCATTTGATAAAACCCTCAACAGTTTGTCATACTAGCCTTGCATTGTATTTTTTTCTCCTCCAGAAATGAATAAAGTTCTCTTTCAAGACTTCTGCTCCTGTACGGCTGAAAGGTACCGCGGCAAATCCCACCAGGAGGAATATGTTGCATGGCTGAAATCAGGCAAGATTAAATCTCAGAATATCTCTGCTGAAAATAGAACCATTAGCCGTAAAACCTGATGATTGTGCTTTTCTAATGAGAATTGGCTTTACTGGTCACCATTAGAGGTCATCAGTTTCCTGTAGAACTCCTTTAGATTCTATTAGAAAACCATTGACTGTGTTTAGAATCAGTCACAGGTCACCATTATGATCTTATACAATATGATACCAATCCATCAACAAAAGCCAAAACACATTACAAAACTCCCACTCAGACAGGAGGCAGATGTGAGCCACTTCTGGCTAAGATATGGCACTGCTGGCCAATGGTCAGCACTGGCAAACTGCATGTGAGCCAAAAGTGGCCCACATGTGCCAAAACAGATCTGGGCCAGTTTAAATTCAGATCTCAGCCACACTCAGACACGGTACACTGTACAAAATCTAACCTAACATGTCATGTGTGACATTTTCATTGTTATTTGAACAAAGAATATTAAAATGTAGATTTTAGTTAGTTAAACACAATCTGCCTCAGTACTTGGAACACAACTACATATCCCTGTTTGCGGTTCAATTCAGATTTAGTTTAAAATCATTTGTGGCTGCTTACTTCAAACAGTGAATTAAAAAGACATTTAAAACAGTGTAACGTTTTGGAAACATAGCCTTGTAAACAGGAGTATCTGAGTGGTGCGGTAGGCTAAGCATTTGCCCCATCATCATGAGTTCAGATCTCATCAACACCACAGTCATCTGCAGCTGGAAGCACCTGCCAGTCTCTGCTCCCTGAGCCTGGTGGAACCGTGCGGCAGTGGAAGTCCCACAACAGGGAAGTAATGGTGTGGTTCTGAGTGGTGGGTCAGTTCTGGCAGTGCTGGTTTAAAGTTAGCTGAGATGAGGCCCTCTAATGACAGTAAACAGGCTGGGTTCAACCGCATCTGGCCCCCTCCTGTGCCATCATTCCATGCAGTATGTGGGCCGCAGGTAAATGCCAAATGTGGCGCAGGTTTGGGCCATATCAAATACGCTCTCTGGGCGGGAACGAACAGAACAAACATCAGGATTTTGTCATCGTTTTTCTAACCCAGCCAGCAAAATCAGTTCCCGCTTTACTGCTGGCACAGTTGGCAGAATGTCAGATGCGGCCAGAAACAATTTTGCCAGTGCCAGCCACAGCTGGGTTTGGCTATGTTGCTGAAAAAAGACTATCAGAACTATTAGGATTAAAACCTGATGACGTTTTTGCTTTCTAATGGGAACTGGCTTAATTAGAGACCCTGTAGGACATTTTACACTCTGATATCAACCCATCAGGAATAGTGACTATTGGACTCTACCAGGAACTAGCAGAAGCTTTAAATGTTTTCTCTGATTTCTTTCAGCAGGGATGGCATCCATAAGAAACTCCAGTGCAGGTAGTTTCTCCACCAGCACGTCTCACGACCTCACACAGGAGAGCCCAGAAAAGGAGAGAACTCATCACTGTTCTGAGTGCGGCAAGAGCTTTTATCATCAGTGTGATCTCCAAAGACACCAGCGTGTTCACACCGGAGAGAAACCGTATCAGTGCCTGGAGTGCGGGAGCCGCTTCACTCAGCAAGGTTCTCTCCAAGCGCACCAGCGCATTCACACAGGAGAGAAACCATATCACTGCTTGGCGTGCGGCAAGAGCTTTACCAAACAGAACGCTCTCCAAAGACACCAGCGCATCCACACCGGAGAGAAACCGTATCAGTGCCCAGACTGTGGGAAGAGTTTCACTCTGAAGGATCACCTCCAAAGGCACCAGCGCGTTCACACCGGAGAGAAACCGTATCAGTGCTCCGAGTGCGGCAAGAGCTTTTCTCAAAAGAGCACCCTCCACTCGCACAGGCGCATTCACACAGGAGAGAAACCGTTCTGCTGTCCGGAGTGCGGGAGGAGATTTAGAGACAGAGGTGACTTCCACAAACATCTGAGCATCCACACAGGAGAGAAACCGTATCACTGCTCGGAGTGTGGGCGGAGCTTCAGGCATTCACACACTTTAAAGGAGCATAAGTGCACTACGGGGGAGAAACGGTATCAGTGTTCGGAGTGTGGGAAGAGATTTAATCAACAGAGAAGTCTCCAGCTACACCTGCGCGTTCACGCCGGGGAAAAGCCGTATGTGTGCTCAGAGTGTGGGAGGAAATTTATTGACAGAACTGGTTTAAAAGTGCACCAGCGCATTCACACTGGAGAGAAACCGTATTACTGCTCAGAGTGCGGCAAGAGCTTCAGGCATTTCAGTACTCTGAAGAGACACTGTGTGAAGTGCACTATGGTGGAGGTGGAAACTGTCATAGTGTGAGTTTCTGGTATTTATTACAAAAACAATGATGTAACCTGTAGTTTTGTGATTTTAAATGGTTCTGTTTTTCTCTTGTATGGTTTGTATGTTAACATGATTATTTCTTTAGGTTAGTGGTGACCAAACCCTTTCCTGAAGATTTTTTCATGCAGAATTTAGTTCTAACCTGCTGCCCAACCGTACCCAACACTGAGTGTGTTTACATGCACTTAATAATCTGATAACTCCAGAAAATCGGATTGAGTCAGTAACTGGTTCAGTGTGTTTACACTTAATAATCTGATAACCACAGAAAATCAGATTGTGCCAGAAACCGGTTCAGTGTGTTCACACTTAATAGTCTGATAACTGCACAAAATCAGATTGTGTCAGTAACTGGTTCAGTGTGTTTTCATGCTCTTGTGTAATCAGATAACAGGGAAACTGAGTCAGGCAGTAATTAGATTTCTGCTTTACAACCAGCCAATAAACTCGCAGAATAAGACATGACGTAACATAAAACCCAAACCTCACGAGTGGCTTTTTTTAAACACATTGAGTCACTTTAGCTAAAAAATATGAACACATCATCTAGAAGATGAAAATATTTGAATCATTAATTTTGTTGAGCATGTAGTCGGTTTCAGCGTCGCTCCAAAAGTGCTGTGCAGCGTCTCGTGGGTGTTAAACGCTGCTCGCTGTTTCCGGGACGGCGCTCTGTTTTCACACATGCTCAAACTAAGAGAAACGAAAGAAATCAGAGTGAGAGTTTACATGCACTGAAAAACTCCATTACTGAGCTCAAATCCAGCCTCTTTATCAAATTTACTGATCAGATTTATAGATCTCAATCTGATATAAGAAATCAGAATGTGCTGTTTACATGACCACTTAATAATCAGATAACTGCAGAAATCTGGTAATGATCAGATTATTGGTGTAGATAAACAGAACATGGTAAAATACACAGCTGTGCTCAGCTGGAATAAAACCCTTTTAAACCTCCTAACAGCTGAGGACACACAGTTACTGTTCAGGTTGCTACATTGATGTGAATGAGTTCTCAACCAGCCAATTGGCAGTATGGTAAGTATGAACTGCTTACCTCATCGCAGTGCTGCAGGTGGTGTGTATGGGAATACTTTATTATTATTACTATTATTTTTAATATTAATAGCTGAAATGTCATCACCACAGTAGGGCAACATTAGCAATAGTAATAAAATAAGCAGGTAACCGAGTGAAAACAAATCTAAAGATTGTTAAGACAATAAATACAAGGAAATGACAATATCGAAAACAACCCTGCTGAAGAAAAAATCCAGAAACCATTAAGTGTGTCTGTTGGTTCCTGATGGTTTTGTAATGTGTTTTGGTTATGTAATGGGTTGATATCGCAGTGCAAAGGACTCTAATGGTTTAACAGGTGACCAATGGCTGCCCTGTTGATAAGGGACCATTAGAGACCATTAGACTTAAACCCTAATGTTTAATAGGAATTGGCTTAATGGTTTCCAATAGTAATAGAGCACGAGTTTTCTGTAGAACACCTTTAGATCCCATTAGGAAACCATCAGATGCCTTTAGAATCAGCCACTGGCCACCTGTTAATCCATTAGGATCCTTTACACTGTGATATCAACCTATTAAAAAGGCCAATATGCATTACAAAACCATCAGGAACCAACAGGTACACTTAATGGTTTCTATGGGTTTTTCAGCAGGGCCCACAAGCAATGCCTTTGCTAGTAAACATGGACAAATTTGGAATTTGGGTCAGAGGGAGGGAATACGGGTGGGATAAAAATAACCCCCATACCCTGCCGGGCTCTGTAGTCATGTGACTCCAGTGTGACGTTCCTGCAGTCCAGATGGGGGCGCTAATACTTCAGCTGAGGTTCTCCAACCCCAACAAAGAGCAGCAGGAAACCCCGCTCTGACCTGCAGTCCACACCTCTGCGCTTCCGCTCTGGTGGTGCTGGGGAGACAGACAGAGAGAGAAAGTGAATGGATTAAAGGTAAGAACCTCCTCAGCACGTGTTCTCGTTGGGTTCTCCACTGACCTTTGAACACAGGACAAAGCGAAGGTTCCTGACGCAGTGAAACAGTTCAGAGGATTAAACCGTGTTTATAGAAGGTTCTCCACTCGAGACGTTTCAGAACGGTGCACGCGTCACCTGCTGGCTGAAAACCCGAAAACTACCAGTTAATAGTTGTTTATTATTGAAGTATTGATCTGCTATTAGCTGCGATAGGGTGACTCAAAATGTCACTGCAGCTGTAGGGCGCCAAATGAAAGGCTGTTTAAGATTGATCCGTGACTCAGCCCTGCTGGAAAAGGACCATTAGAAACCATTATGATTAAAACCTGATGGTTTTGCTTTCTAATGGGAATTGACTTAATGGTTTCCAATAGAGACCACTAGTTTCCTGTAGAACACCTTTAGATTCCACTAGGAAACCATCAAACGCATTTAGAATCAGCCACTGCTCACCTTTTAAACCATTAACATCCTTGACACTGTGATACCAACCCATTAAAAAGCCAAAACACATTTCAGAACCATCAGGAACCAACAGAATCACTTACTGGTTTTTGTGGGGTTTTTTTTAGCAGGGAGGTTTATCTGAGGCCTCTCCTCAGACACATTTATTGGGTTTGTTTATTACAGGGTGCGATGAGGTGATGTTCTCCTGATATGGCAATGTAAAGACAACACATTTCAGAACGTAGAGGCCTGTTGCGCAGGTTCCTCACCCTGGTTCTGGAGAACCCCTCCTGTGTCCTGCACAGTATTGTGTTTAACTGCTCTAACACACCAACTCACCCTGCTGAAAAAACAGCACAGAACAGGAAGGACTGAATGCTGGCCTATGCTGAATTAGTGCTGGTCTGGTTTTGGTTTAGTTGGTCACCCCAGCACAGTCATGCCGAGTGACCAGCATACCAGCATCTAAAACATGTACTGGTTTAGCTGGTTTACCAGCATACCAGCATCAGAATACAAGATATGTTGGTTTTGCTGGTGATCAGCATCTAAAACATAACATATGCTGGTGACCAGCATCTAAAACATAACATATGCTGGTGACCAGCATCTAAGACATAACACATGCTGGTTTTGCTGGTTGACCAGCATCCAAAACACAACATATACTGGTTTTGATGATGACCAGCATACCAGCACAAAAACACTGCATATACTGGTTTTGATGGTGACCAGCATACCAGCATACAAAACACAACACACACTGGTTTTAATGGTGACCAGCATACTAGCATAAAAACACAACATATACTGGTTTTGATGGTGACCAGCATACCAGCATACAAAACACAACATACACTGGTTTTAATGGTGACCAGCATACTAGCATAAAAACACAACATATACTGGTTTTGATGGTGACCAGCATACCAGCATACAAAACACAACACACACTGGTTTTAATGGTGACCAGCATACTAGCATAAAAACACAACATATACTGGTTCTGATGGTGGCCAGCATATCAGCATCAAAATGAAACATATGCTGGTTTTACTGGTGACCAGAATACCACCATAAAAACACAGCATATACTGGTTTTGATGGTGACCAGCATACCAGCATACAAAACACAACATATACTTGTTTTGCTGGTTGACCAGCGTACCAGCATAAAAACACAACATATAGTGGTTTTACTGGTTCACCAGCATACCAGCATCAAAACACAACATATGCTGGTTTTACTGGTTGACCAGCATAACAGCAACCAAACACAATATATGTTGGTTTTGCTGGTGAGTCCAGGATCACTGCTTTCTTGAATAATATTTTGCTTCATCTTTATTTGTAGCTGACTTGTAAATGCCCCTTCCCCATCCTGGACCATTTTCCTCTTTCACAGCAGAAGTTTTGGTGTTTACTTTACTTTATTATTGTTTTTGATCTTTTATTTGTAACTATCTGCATAGTATCGGCACTTGCTATAATTCATCATACTTACATTTATTTGTTTTTTTGCTTCTCCTCCTCCTCCAGAAGTAAATTTCTCCCACAAGTCTTCTGCTCTGCTTTCCTGCAGTTTAAACTTGCCTCCACCCAGAGGAATGTGCCCGACGGCTAGAATCAGGAGATGTTAAAAGTTTGAGAATATGGAGTCCATGAGAAGCTCCAGTGCTCCGCAAACATCTTCAGGTAGTTTCTCCATCATCACACCTCAGGACCTCACGCAGGAGAGCACAGGAAAGGAGAGAACTCATCACTGCTCCGAGTGTGGCAAGAGCTTTTATCATCAGTGTGATCTCCAGAGACACCAGCGCGTTCACACCGGGGAGAAACCGTATCAGTGCCTGGAGTGCGGGAGCCGCTTCACTCAGCAAGGTTCTCTCCAAGCGCACCAGCGCATTCACACAGGAGAGAAACCGTATCACTGCTCGGCGTGCGGCAAGAGCTTTACCAAACAGAACGCTCTCCAAAGACACCAGCGCATCCACACCGGAGAGAAACCGTATCAGTGCCTGGACTGTGGGAAGAGTTTCACTCTGAAGGATCACCTCCAAAGGCACCAGCGCGTTCACACCGGAGAGAAACCGTATCAGTGCTCGGAGTGCGGCAAGAGCTTTAATCAGCCGAGCACTCTCCAATCGCACAGGCGCATTCACACGGGAGAGAAACCGTTCTGCTGCCCGGAGTGCGGGAGGAGATTTAGAGACAGAGGTGACTTCCAGAGACACCTGAGCATCCACACAGGAGAGAAACGGTTTCAGTGTTCAGAGTGCGGCAAGAAATTCACCGTACAGAGGCAGCTCCAGATTCACCAGCGCATTCACACCGGAGAGAAACCGTATCACTGCTCGGACTGCGGGAAAGGGTTTACTCAGCTGGGTGGTCTCCAACGACACCAGCTCATCCACACAGGAGAGAAACCGTACTTCTGCTCGGAGTGTGGGCGGAGCTTCAGGCATTCGAACACTTTAAATGAACATAAGTGCACTACGGGGGAGAAGCGGTATCAGTGCTCAGAGTGCGGGAAAGGTTTCACACAGATGGGAGGTCTCCAACGACACCAGCTTATTCACACCGGAGAAAAACCATATCACTGTTCGGAGTGCGGGAAGAGTTTTAATCAACTCGGCAGTCTCCAGCTACACCTGCGCCTCCACACCGGAGAAAAGCCGTACGAGTGCACACAGTGTGGGAAGAAGTTTAGTGACCGAGGTGGTTTACAAGTGCACCAGCGCATTCACACTGGAGAGAAACCGTATTACTGCTCAGAGTGCGGCAAGAGCTTCCGGCATTTCAGTACTCTGAAGAGACACTGTGTGAAGTGCACTATGGTGGAGGTGAAGACTGTTATAGTTTGAGTTTCTGATATTGATTAGTAATTTAAGGTGAACACATGACATAATCTGTATGGGTTTGAGATTTAAGTAGCCAGTTGGTGATGGTGAAACAAAAATTGCTGTTATGATTTGTATGCCAACATGATTGTGTGACTGACGTGCCTTAACGGCTGCAGATCTTTTCATTTCTTTAGACGGACGCAGTGTAGAGAAGGCAGCAGGGCTCCAGACTGGTACTACAGCCTTTAAGTGCCAAACATGCAAACCATTATGCTTACCTGGTGCACCCATAATAACACTGGGCCCCTTTAACCTCCAGCCACCCACCAGTTATGTACCACCTGTCTGTACCACTGTCAATAATTATAGACATATAAATAATCTGGGCTTCTCTTATTGTCTGTCCTTTAACTGAGACTGCAGTGCATCCTCTGATCTCGGTATAGGCTGAGTCACTGTCGGGCATTTGTGACATTCAGTCCAGTTTTTCATTAAGAAATTTGGTGAGTGGTCCTCACATGCTTTCACATAGACTGTAAATTTTCATTTCTAGCTCTTTGAATTCTTTCTCTGCTGCTTTTTCTCACGCATGACACCCTGTGTAGGCTGCCTGGACTCTAAACTGTTTGTGCTTGTTGGATTCATTCTCTCACAGGAGAAAACAAAATACTTTTGTAAAGCGTTCTGGATAAGAACATCTGCTAAATGTCTTAAATGTAACTGTTTAATTTATACAATAATGCAATCATGAGCATTTTTATGCCTTCAGCAGTCTCTTTCTGTGGTCTCTTTTTTTGGAAATGGTTAGTTCCTGTTAAAGGGGAACTGTACATGATTCTATATGATTAAGTGGTCAAGACATAAACAGAGTCGTTCAGCGCGGTTTGGTGTGAAACGCTACGTTCTAGAGAAATTTGCAGAGTCACAATTGTTCACAGTGATGGTGACAGGAACCAGACGTGCCCCTCTAAAAGCTCCCTCACAGAAAGTTACTACATGAAATGGTTAATAATACACTGTCTGATGTTTGAGACATAATATTACATTCTGTTTATTTTAATCCATTCATGGTGGAGGGATACATGCAGGGTGTTGTGAGGCAAAATAGTCCCCAAAGGAAACTTATTATTTCAGATTTTTCACTATTTTCCCATCATCAACATTCCATATAAACTCAGGACACGTGTAGGTTCACTGGTGGTTTTTGATAGTAAATAAAATGTCTATATTTGTGTTGTAGTCATGGCGACCCCTGGTTCCTATCACCACCACTGTAAAGACATCTTAGCTATTTCACACCAAACCACTCTGAATCACTCTGTTTACATCTCACACTTAGTTAGGCAGAAATATTGAAAATGTCAGTGGAATTCCTCTTTCATATTCACAATAATAATAATAAAAATGTAAATAGACATTTTCATCATTGTTAACAGATTAAAGGGTAAGATACCCAGTTAGCTAACGTTATAGCTTTTCAAGTGTTATGCTATAATGTTATTATTAGCTGTAGCTATCTTTAATGTTACATATTAGGACATAAGCATTTTCATAACAGTCAATACCGTTAATTCAAAGTACACAAACGCAAACATTTGTAAACATTCTTGTTCACGTATATTACGTACCTCACTAATCTTCGCTGCTGGTTTGTTCATTTAAACATATCAATTTAGGCAGGAAAGTCTGTTAATTTGACGTAGGGGTGGAGATAATCGTCACAGCACACAAACTCTAATTACAACATCTTTAGTTACAATCCAAGACAAAAAAGTAACTGAAGTTTTTAATTTAAGTGATAAATTCAATAACAACAACATGTTAATTTACTACACAGCCTACAATAGGTAACACTGTAGCCGCGAGCTAACGCGCTAACCACTGGCTAAGGCGCTACCATCACAAGCAAACTTGGTAATACGCTACCACAACCGCGGCCACTTCACTCGATTTTGGGGTAAAATTGTGTACTTTGTAATGGTCTCTCCTCACTGTGGGCTCACCTGTTCAACATTTCATTCCACCTCACTTCAGCTTACTACCAAAAATGAGGTACCAAAGCTGAATAACTTGGTTAGCGTGGTTAGCCTGCGCACCACACATCAGTCAGCGGTTAGCCTTTTAGAAAACATAGTTAGCCAGACAGCTAACGTTAGCCAACAACTGAAGAAGCAACATTAGCCACTGAGAACTGACCTTAGAAAGAAGATTAAAACCTTGAGCCATGCGCTGATTTTAAATTTTACTCAGATATAGCTTATATTTATAAAAAACTATAGCTATAGGGTTTAGTCACTACTTATAAGTTATTTTTAGGAGCTAGATAGCCAGTTAGCTAGCTTGTGTTTTGTGTTATGCCATGTAAATCATTTAACTATCGCTTTAACTTTAATTTTCCATACTAATACTTCATAATTTTAGTCATATTCAGTCTCATCAAAATGAAAGTATGTGTAAACATATGTGACTAGACGAATTTAATTAATCTCATTTAATTCCATTCATTTAATTTAATTGATGTAATTTTCGGGGACTCAAAGGGGTGTTTTGTACAACATAATGTGCAAAATTATTGTTTTGTGTTTGTCATTTATGTAGAGGAGTGCAGTGACTCTGCATAGAATCCATGCTCAATACATTCATATAATCACAATACACTCACATTTATTGAGATATTCACTGGAGAAGTCTATATGAGATTTTTAAAATAATAGTCATTGGCCTAATAATTATGACCCTTGGTGCCCATAAAAAAAAAACAAAAAAAAAAACATATTACAGCCATATTAATGCACCTGTATTGCATTCACTGTCATCACTGGTAAAAAGTAATACATTAACCAATTAAAAAATATATTGTCTACACTTCTAAAACATTTTTTCCAACACAAAGTTCAGGTAAGTTGGAGTTCTGAAGTAAATATTAGATATTGAATTCTCTTTGACTTTGATTAGCCTGTTAGCATGTTAGCTTTCTGCTGGCCTACTTTAATGAAAGTAAATAGTCCAGTTAGAGAACATAAAGAACCTGATATAGAGAGCCTGTTTGTTTAGCTTTATCAGCATGAACACTGTCCATATGTGTAGTTTTGGACAATGGCTTTGATTTACACTTCCATGTATCTGTGTGTTAAAAGAGAACCAGCCTGATTCCGTTCATTGACGTTCAACCAATAAAATGAATTGACCTTTCTATCAGTACTTATTAGACCTTGGCGGCCTCTGAAACCACATACTATCATACTAACTGGCCTTTTAAAATAGTACAACACTGATATTAGTGCATTCAGTATTGTAGTCTGTACAGTAGTATGTATAGTGCAGTAGCATGTATAATACAGTAGCTTGTATAGTACAGTAGGATGTATAATACAGTAGACTGTATAATACAGTAGTCTGTATAGTACAGTAGAATGTATGGGACAGTAATCTGTATAGTACAGTAGGATGTATAATACAGAAGCATGTACTGTATAGCAGCATGTATAGTACAGTAGCATGTATAATACAGTAGCATGTATAGCGCAGTAGCTTGTATAGTACAGCAGGATGTATAATACAGTAGTCTGTATAGTACAGTAGGATGTATAATACAGAAGCATGCACTGTATAGTAGTATGCATAGTACAGTAGCATGTATAGTGCAGTAGCTTGTATAATACAGTAGGATGTATAATACAGTAGGCTGTTTAGTACAGTAGGATGTATGGGACACTAGTCTGTATAGTAGCATGTACAGTATAGTAGTATGTATAGTGCAGTAGTTTATAGTACAGTAGCATAGTACAGTAATATGTATATTGCAGTAGGATGTATTATACAGTAGCATGTATAGTACAGTAGTATGAATGGTACAGTGTTGTGAGGTTTTGGATGCAGTAGTTGAGACCACCCCGCTGTAAAATACAGCACAGACCAGCAAGCATTTCGTGCTGGTCTAGGCTGACCTTTAACTAGTCATGCCAGCACGGTTCTGCTGGTTGACCCTCATACCAGCATCAAGACACAACATATGCTGATTTTACTGGAGCTGGTTTTCTAGCAGGGTCCGAATCCAGCGCCAATTCTGCTGCATTAATGTGAACGATTTCTCACTTGGCCAATAGGCGAGCTGCTCATGAGCACCACCACCCAATCGTAGCGCAGGAGGCGGGGTTTATCAGTTTGTAAAGTTCGCCCCAAGCACGTGGTTTGGCTGCGAGGCCCCCGCAGTCCAGGTGGGGGCGCCAGTGCTACTAGGACTCTCCAACCCCAATAAAGAGAAGAAGCTGAGTCTGATCTCTCCACGCCTTCAGCAGAGCTGATGGAGGAAGAGAAGCAGCTGAGCAGGTCGAGGTAGTGAACACTGGGTCTGTTTGAATTCGGAGTTTTTATTGGTTATTCGAGAAATGACTGGAGAGACACTGATAGTTATTTTTATGAAAGTGTCAAAAGATGAATAAATATAAGTGAACACGAAGGAAGCAGCTGTAGAGGCTGAATGTATGATGTGAAGTCTTGTGGTTTTGGTTGATAGAGATGTTTTCCTGGTTGGGTTTGCAAACGTAGAGCCCTTTGTCAATGCTTTGTTTAGGATTTAGTCGTATTTTACCTAAAAGACTGGCTATATATTCATATTTATTGTGGTTATTAATGCTTTCATAGTGTTCACAGGTCATATTGAGGAAAGACAACTTTGAAAAGAGATTGAATTTTGCCTTTGAGCAGACTTTGCTAAGGTGGGACTGAAATGATTATCCTATGTGTTTTTGTTTGTCCTTTATTGTTATGTTTCACTGAACCCTGAAATCCTTTCTTTGCATGTCTTTCTCTACAGCTTGTGCACACATAAAACATCTTATAAACCAATCTGAAATCAGTTCATTAAAGGAGGTCATGCTTTCCTGTAGGTACAGGTGTGAAGCTGATGGTACAGAGATCTATATCAGCTTCAGCCCCTCTGCTCCCTCTCTAACTGGCTGTATCTGTGATATTAAGAGTTGGATGAGCTCTAATTTCCTTGAGCTTAACTCCGATGAGACTGATGTCCCAATATTTGCCCCCAAAATATTCACTAGCACCTGCTTTGATAAAGCTTTGACATTGATGGAGTACACATAAAACCATCAGAAACTGTTGTCATCAGGTCTTGGTGTCATGTTTGATTCCTCACTTTCATTTGATCATCATATTGGCTCACTTATTAAAACAGTCTTGCGTCACCTCCGTAACATTTCCAGACTCCGTCCCATGCTCAGTAGCAATGATGCAGATATGCTGGTTCATGTGCATATTAGTTCTCGTCTATATTACTGTAACGCCCTTCTCTTTGGTCCCTTCTCAGCCGAACTCCTCACCAAAATACAGTATGTTCAAAAGTCCTCACCCACACAAAATGCTCTGCATTCATTACACCTGTTCTCTACAAACTGTACTGGTTTTCTGTCTCTTTCTGTACACAATAAAAACTACTATTCATAACCTTCAAAGCCTTACGTGGAACTTCTCCATCATTACACCTCAGCCTGTTACTCAGGTCTTTTGGTACTGGTTTGCTTAAAGTGCCCAGCTCAGTCGGTGGTAGAGCGTCCAGCGTAACTGGTGGGTGACCTTCAGAGGGATTAGTGGAGGCGCGGTAGGAGTGGGGGGTAATAGCCATTCAGGAGCCTGATGGAAACTGTCCTAGAAACTGTTTGATCTCTCATTGTGAATATACCGTGATGGGGTGGGTAGAGTAGACTTAGCAGTTTTTTGACCTGCTGCTTAACTGTGGCAGAACTTTTTAGTACATTCAGCATCTCCTAGAATAGGAACTGGAGTTCGGTAGGCTCTGTTCTCGCTTGACATGATCTTGTGACAAACTTTGGGTCATGCAGAATTTAATGAACATGTCAACTTTTATTTAAACTCTGTTTATTTGATTTGAAAGTAGAGTGCCATCTGCATCGTCTACAGCCCCAACAATTCTGTTTTACTTTTGTTGCATTTCTCAAAAACGTTTGAATAATACTTTGTTTTTCTTTTTCTCTTCCAGAAATGAATAACATTCAAGTCTTGTCCTGCTCAAACATCTTAAGAGATGCCTACAAGAAGAATTTGTCACACAGGAGAGATTAAATGTGACAGTATGTCATCCAAAAGGAGCTCCAGTATTCGGCAGACGTCCGCCAGTACTCTACAAACTAACACAGCCAAGAGCCCAAAAACGGAAAGGAAGAAAGCTCACCACTGCCCAGAGTGCGGGAAGAGTTTTCCACATCAGAGTCGCCTCCGAAGACACCAGCGCGTTCACACCGGAGAGAAACCGTACGCCTGCTCAGAGTGCGGTAGTAGATTTACAGCACAGCACAGTCTCCAGCGACACCAGCTCATTCACACTGGAGAGAAACCGTATTACTGCGCAGAGTGCGGGAAGAGTTTTAGAGACCGTGGAACCCTCAAAGCACATCAGCGCATTCACACTGGAGAGAAACCGTATCAGTGCTCAGACTGTGGGAGGAGCTTTAATCAACGGAATAGTCTTAAACTACACCAGCGCGTTCACACCGGAGAGAAACCGTATTGCTGCTCGGAGTGCGGGAGGAGTTTTAGAGATGGAACTGATTTCAAATCGCACCGGCGCATTCACACAGGAGAGAGACCGCATCAGTGCTCAGAGTGCGGGAGGAGCTTTAGTGACCGAGGCAACCTCCGAGCACACATGCGCATTCACACCGGAGAGAAACCGTATTACTGCTCAGTGTGCGGGAAGACTTTCCATCAGCAGAGTAATCTCCGCCTGCACCAAAGCATTCACACAGGAAAGAAACCGTATCACTGCATGGAGTGCGGGAAGAGTTTTAACCAACAAAGTAACTTCCAAGTGCATCAGTGCACCCACACGGGAGAGAAACCGTATTACTGCTCAGAGTGCGGGAAGACTTTTAATCAGCAGAGTGGTCTCCAACGACACCGGCGCATTCACACTGGAGAGAAACCGTATTACTGTGCAGAGTGTGGGAGGAGCTTCAGGCATGCACACACTCTGAAGACACATAAGTGCACTTCTGTTTTCAGCTGGAGGTTGGGGGGTGTTGTAGATGTTGATCCATCGTAATATTGAACTCTGGACAATCTTGCAAGTAGTTGAACGCTCAGCACTCTTTGACAACACTGGAACTCGTTCTCCAGTATCTTCCTAAGTTTGTTCTTAAATGTGTTTTTGAGAAAGGTCCTAAGAAAAAGTCTATGCCAGATTCATGACGTGTTCTTAAAGCGCAGAACTGTTCTCACCTTTGTGCTCTTGAGTGTGTGTAGATTCAGGTCTTACCTAAGAACAAATCCCAACTAAGAAAACATTGGTGAGTCAGAATCTTCCTCAGAACTGCGTAAGTAGGTTTTAGGAAGAAATTTCTTCTTAAGAATGGCTGGTGAATGAGTCTTTCTGAGCAAGACATTGTCACAGAAGTGCAAAACCTTTCTGGAGTTTATGGCATTGCATTAAATTATTCATTCCGGAGTTTACTTTGAAGAATTTATTAGCAAGCAACAGAAATATCCTTGTGTTTGCTGATACATACCACTCAGTAGCATGCAGGTATGTTTTGTTCAGCACCCGTGTCCAGGCATCACATTAAAACAGTGGTTTGTGTTTGGTTATTTCATATCTCCGTCAAATCTCTCCATCCTGGCAGGTGGTTCTTGTCCCAGTTGATGATGGAAGTCTAGCTTGGAAGACTAGAAGCATAAGTTACAAAAATGGGTACCAAGCCATGTTATGTAGTGTTAATTGCTTTTCCGAAATGAAGGGGTTAAAATCAGGGTTAGTGATGAGGTTAGCTACACATCCAACAATGTTAGCTAGCTGACACGCACAAAAAGGGTGATTAAGTTATCCAGATTGAGAGCAGCCATCAGCAAACAAGTAGTCTTTGAGTGCATCATTAAAAGGGAGGAAAATGGCATGAACTCACACCAGCAGGAGGCACACATACAGATATGTTTGCAGTCATAAACTGAATGTATATGAAGTAAAAGACCTGAGATCATACTAAACATTCCCTACGTAAGAATGTGTTTTTGTTTAACAAGGCTAACCAGTTAAGCAGATAGCTAACAGCTGAAATTTTTACTGAAACGTTCACTGAAGACTGTGGTATGTTACTTATGTTGTTATCGATTTAAGTAGACTGTAAGTTTTATTAACGTTAGTGTGCACCACCACTAGCTTTATGCTAACATAATACAGCAATTCCCATAGTGCTGCTAATGGGCATTAGTGCTAGAGTAGCAGTCAAAATCAGGGAATGCTTGTTATATATGAAATATAATAACACAAACAGCTTATTTATTTTCATGATTATATAACAAGTTTATTTGTTCAGTTGTGTACGTTCAATGCTGCTATTGCAACATGTGCTGATTTGCTATTGTATGAATCAATGTGAGTCAAGATACCTCCTCATTTCAGAGTCTGTACAATCATAAATGTGACTGCTGTCGTCAGGCAACAGATTTTTTATGCAGGTAAACAAGTTAAGGTAAAACATGCTTTGGGTAACGTCCTCATATTACCATAGCAATGTGATGTTTTTTTTGTTGACAGATATTGAGCAGATATTTCTCCAGATTCAACCTGTAGACTGTTTTCTGTACCCACACCACTATACCTCAACCAGCAGGACCAGCTGTGGACGTCTGTCAGGCATTAATCTGCCACTTTGGTTCTGAATGTCTGAAAACGGTGGCGATCCTGAGGTTAGGGATGACTGATTTTGGAAAAATATCTAAGTGATTTTTCTGACCAATTTTGCGATTCTGATTTAAATTGCGATTGTTTTCTATATATTGAGCTATGGGCCTTTTTTGGGCCTGTAAGACCAGCGTATACTTTTTCTGGCTTGAGGCTTGAAGGCTTAACACAATATCTAAGTTAGATAACACAACAGCCTGCTAGTTAATTGTGGTTGTGATGTCACAGCACATGGATGTTTGGTTGCTTCTGATTAGTTGAGCTAATCTAAAAGCTGTTCACTAGCCCCATGTTATTAGGTTAAATTTCATTTATTTATTAGTCTGTTGACAGACTATAAGATTACAATAAAAATTGCAGCTCTTATGATTTGAAAATTGCAGTCTTTCAAATTGCGATTTCGATATAAAAATGATTAATCATTCAGCCCTTCCTGAGACCTTGTTAAACATTTTGAGATAACAGCAGTGGGAAAATGCTTGATGGAGTCTTTTAGCTGGACAGGTCAGGTGGGAGGACGGGATCAGATCCATGCTGTACTTCAACCTCCACACCTCAAGAAGCCACATGGAACGGCAGGACCAACACTAGGAGAGTCCTGATATTACACTGAAACACTGGGAATTCCTATTTCTTAGGACAGATAACAGGAACCTAACCTCCCAAAGCAGAGATGAATCAGCTCTGATTAATATTAGTGCTCTTTGCTGTTCACCCTTTTAAGATATTTTTGCTTTTAACTTCTCTTTGTTCTTTCTGTGAATCATTTCCTGATTTGCTGCCAGACAGGACTTAAAAATAAATCTGACATGGATAATTTGATCTTTTTTGTTACCAAAGTTTTATCACATTATGTACACTGACTGGTCCACCTACTTGTTTCTACGCTCATTGTCCATTTTTATCAGCTCCACTTACTATATAGGTGCACTTTGTAGTTCTCCAGTTACAGACTGTAGTCCATCTGTTTCTCTGCATATTTTGTTAGCCCCCTTTTACCCTGTTCTTCAGTGGTCAGGACCCCAATGGACCCTCACAGAGCAGGTACTATTTGGGTGGTGGGTCATTCTCAGCACTGCAGTAACACTGACGTGGTGGTGGTGTGTTAGTGTGTGTTGTGCTGGTACGAGTGGATCAGACACAGCAGTACTGCTGGAGTTTTTGAGTCCACTCACTGTCCACTCTATTAGACACTCCTACCTTGTTGGTCCACCTTGTAGATGTAAAGTCAGAGACGATAGCTCATCTGCTGCTGCACAGTTTGTGTTGGTCATCCTCTAGTCCTTCATTAGTGGTCACAGGATGCTGCCCACAGGACGCTGTCGGCTTTTTGGTTCTCAGTCCAGCAGCACTGCTGTGTCTGATCCACTCGCACCAGCGCAACACACACTAACACACCACCTCCACGTCAGTGTTACTGCAGTGCTGAGAATGACCCACCACCCAAATAATACCTGCCCTTTGGGGGTCCTGACCATTGAAGAACAGGGTAACAAAGTATGCAGAGAAACAGATGGACTAGTGAAACTATATGGTCAGTGGAGCTGATAAAGTGGACAGTGAGTGTAGAAACAAAGAGGTGGACTTGCTGTACTGCATCAGTAAAAACTCTATTGTAGATCTTCTCTTGCTGTGGAGCATCTAAAGCCACTTAAGTTCTACTGCACCGATGATTTCACAGTTGGCCAGTGGGCGAGCTGCTCATATCTAGTACCATGTATGTATGTATGTATGTCTATGTCTACTACCCAGTCGCTTGTCTGAATACGGGTGGGATTAAGTTACACTCTAAACTCGAAGATCACGTGGTGTCCAGTGTGACGCTGCTGCAGTCCAGGTGGGGGCGCTGCTTTCTCCAACCGCAGTAAAGCAGAGAAGAAGAGCCCCTGCTTAGTCCACTCCTCCATCTGTGCTGCTGGAAGGACATGAACAGGAGCTGGACAGTTCCAGGTAATGACCACCTGACCTGTTTACAGTTCTTTATTAATGAGGTGATTAATATGAGGTGCAGAAATACATGAGTGTAAGAATCGCGTAGGTTTGTCTGAATAACGTCCTGCTGAAAAAACAATAGAAACCATTAAGTGTGTCTGTTGGTTCCTGATGGTTTTGTAATGTGTTATGTCTTGTTTAATGGGTTGATATCACAGTGTAAAGTATTCTAATGGCTAAACAGGTGACTAGTGGCTGATTCTAAATGCATTTGATGGTTTCCTAATGGGACCTAAAGTTGTTCTACAGGAAAATAGTGGCCTCCATTGGAAACTATTAAACCAATTCCCATTAAAAATCAACACCATTAGGGTTCAATCCTAATGGTTCTAATGGTCTTTTTCAGCAGGGTTATTCTGCATTTATTACTCGATTGGCTGGATAATTGATTGATTATTTGACACTCTGGGCCTAAAACTCTTATGAGTTTTTATTATTATTATTTATTAGCTTTTATTCTTTTCTTTTGTTCTTTTCAGAACATTGTTCCATTGTTTCTCTTTATTAATTCCCTCAAATCCTTTATTTGCAGGTATTTCTCTACTGTATTGTCAGTTTGTGCACACATATTAAAAGAGGTCATGCTATATTTAGTGCAGGTGTGAATATATATAAATAAATCTGTGTAAATGTGGTTGCTATGGTAACTCATACTGCAGTATTGTTGCTTATGTGAAGTCATGAGTTAAGTAGATGTAAAAGTACCATTTCAAAAAATAACTTGGTAGAAACACAAACAGTTTTTTGACCTGCTGCTTAACTGTGGCTGAACCTCTTGGTGCATCCAGCGTCTCTCAGAATAAGCACTGAAGTCTGACTGACCCTGTTCTTTTAGATTCGCTGTTGATCTACAATACAAATAAGTTACAATTCTTAAGAAGCTCAGAAGTCGGACGTCTGATCACTCATAAAATAAGTCGGATGCTGTAACCAGCGTAACATAATGACACTAAACCCAAAAAAGGAATTGATAATTCAGTTTTAGATTAGTTTTCTCATAGATATTCTTGATCAAATGTATTCTTTCAACATTAAAAGGTTAAGTGGCATTTTCTGTTGTGTTCACACTCGAAACCGAGCACATCACCATCAGTAAGTGATCAGGCTTTGCATCTTTCTAACGTGTGCATTCACGTTGGTCTTGAAGGTCCCGTTTAGAGGCAGGATGTGATCAGGGCGTCGGACTGAATGGGACCTGACTAACCAGAGCCCTCTCTGAATGGGGGGCTTTACAAAAGCCTCGGAAAAAATTGATTTTGGTTTCCAATTTTGATGCTCTCTGTTACATAACTGCATTTTCCATGATCATAACGTTTCCATTCCTTGACGTTTGACCAATCAATGGCTGCGTTCCTTTTGACTTAGCCTGATTTTGGCTGACTTGATGTTGATGGTCAGTGTGAACTGCTGATGACTGCAGGAACACAAAAACACTGCCATCAAGCCAGACATGTTCTGCTGCCCCTACTGAGCTCGCAGCAACGGCCGATCTTGCGGCGTTTGCCTTTTTTGTTGCAGACAGATCAAAGCGTGTAAAAGTTTACATTAGACTTTTGACACATCAAATTAAATCTAAGTGATGTTTCCTGAAAACATCTTGGACAGTGAGTTAATGTGTCAGGGAAAAAGTCACACGTGGAGTTCCTGCTAGAGCCACACTGGTTCAGAGGTATTTTATTTATTTCTATTTTACTGAGAACCAGATACCTGAGAATACAGTAAAAATGACAAAATTACAAAGGCAGCCATACAGCAAGATAACAGGAATCTAAAGACGAAATTATGACCTACGATGGCTTTATTTCTTTTAAAATAACAAATTCCTTAACTAAACTGGTTTCATAGCCTTTTTTGCTGGAAATACAACTGTAGTGTTTATAGTGGCTGTATGTAAACAACGAGCTGCAGGAGGAGGAACTCCCCTTTTGGGAGAGAGAACTGCAGGAGATAACGGATCTGAAGTTCTTAGCATAAAAATGGAACATACGTTTGTAATTAGAGATTCCAGCTAGTGAGTGTGATGGTGATGTTCTGACGTCACAAAGTGTGTGTTGCAGCTTGTGCAGCGGATGGAGAGCAGCTGCCCTGATTCCACCAGATATTATGTCATGTGTCATGGTGACGTTCTGCAGCGCTAGTGTAAGTGAGGACAGAATTTCTAACCAGCATGCATTGTTTTAAGTCCAGCATGCACTACGTTAAGTCAGCGCTGCACAGGGCCGCAGCAAGTCGACTGTGATCAATAGTTTGCACCATTACTGGCTCCACCCATGCTTATCTACCTGGTTGCACCAACTGTACGTAAGTTCATTACTAAATCAAAGCGAGTTGCACCACATACTAGTTTTAATGCTGAGCATAGTAGCTACTAAATATTCACGCCCCCACCCCACCCCCCCACCCCAGCAGGTGTAGGTTTTGGGGAAACCATGAGAAACTACATAGAGAGCACAAAAAGACCAAAAACATGACTTTATTGGTTACTAAGCTAAAAACTCTGAACGCTATACGCTGTGATTTTCCTCACAGGTCTAATCTAAAGCCCTGGTTTAAACTCATGAAACCCCCACAGCTCCAGCTCAGAGTCTCAGCAGCTGCACAGACGGCTGAACTGAGGCTGCTGTTGTTGCTCAGCCAGAAACTGTCGATTAAAAAGCTGCGTATTTGACAGCCAGCGGCTGTAGATCATTAGTTTTATTCGGTTTAACTTGGACACATTGTTCTCTTCTAGGCTGGATATTCAGTCAGAGCAGCTGCCAGCATGATTCCCTGGCAGCGGGTTTACTGATCATTTTCATCAAATTAAATCAACTTATGTGTTAGTCAGTTGTAACTAGTTAATATACGATTTATGGATTTCTGGTGCAACCAAATTTTGTAAAAGGACAGTTTAAAGCTCACTAGTGTACCTGAGGACTCAGTAAGTACTTTACACATAAACTGGTGCAACTCAGTCCTGTTATTTCTGTTTTCCGGGCCCAAAATTTGATGCTGTGCCCCTGGGTGTGATGACCTGAGCATGAAAGGATAGCAGCAACTCTAATAACAAAATGCAATGTGGTCACATGATTTTTTTTTAAAAATGGTCATACAACTCCAGTGACACTGTAGGATGATTCCTTGAAGTTTGACCAATAGGTAGTTTGCACCATAACTAACTCCACCCATGCATCCTGTGTTGGAATGTTTGGTGTCCCAGCGAGATGGGCAACCAGATTCAGCATGGGTAGTAAGGTGTGGTCCGGCTCAGTTGGCAGAGGAAATGAGGACAAAATGTGTGATCACAGATTTATAATCGTCACGTTTCCACACTGCCTAGTGAAATAACACCAATAGCTGACAGTGACACTGAAATGAGGTAAAGCTGTATTGCCATCAATCTTGGTGTGTAAGTGTGGGGCCATGCCCAATAGGACCCCAAGAGGTAGTGTGTCATTTGACTGTGTTCTTACATTCATTTTTCATTTCACAAAAACTTTTTTTCTTTTTGTGTTCCAGACACAAACACCATCCTAGTCTCCCACTGATCCCGGTGTCCACCTTCCTACACAGCTTAAATTTATCTCCATAAACAGATCATGGAATACATCACGTTGATAAACTCAGGAGAGGTTAAATGTGAGAATATGACGTTCGAGACGAGCTCTGGCGCTCAGCAGGCGTCCTCCGGTACCCCTGAAACCGACACACCTCACAGCCCAACTCAGAACAATACAGAAAAGAAGCGAACTCACCACTGCTCAGAGTGCGGCAAGAGCTTTCACCACCAGAGCTCTCTCCAAAGACACCAGCGCATTCACACCGGAGAGAAGCCGTACCGCTGCTCCGAGTGTGGGAGGAGTTTTACTCTGCAGAGTGTTCTTCAACGACACGAGCTCATCCACACCGGAGAGAAACCGCATCAGTGCTCCGAGTGCGGGAAGTGCTTCAGAGACAAACGTACCTTCAAAGCACACCAGCGCGTCCACACAGGAGAGAAACCGTATCGGTGCTCGGAGTGCGGGAAGAGCTTCAGTCAGCGGAATAACCTTCAGCTGCACCAGCGCATTCACACCGGAGAGAGGCCGTATTACTGCTCGGAATGTGGGAAGAATTTTAGAGATGTTCGAGATTTCGAGTCGCACCAGCGCGTCCACACAGGAGAGAAACCGTATCAGTGCCCAGAGTGCGGGAAGCGCTTTAGTGACCGAGGAAATCTGAAAGCACATGTGCGCATTCACACCGGAGAGAAACCGTATCGCTGCCCGGATTGCGGGAAGAGTTTTAGCCAACTGAGCCACCTCCAACTCCACCACAGCGTTCACACCGGGGAGAAACCCTATCAGTGCTCGGAGTGCGGGAAGAGCTTTAATCGACAGAGTAACTTCCAAGTGCACTGGCGCACCCACACCGGAGAGAGACCGTACTCCTGCTCGGAGTGTGGGAAGAGCTTTAATCAGCAGAACGGCCTCGAACGACACCAGCTGATTCACACCGGAGAGAAACCGTATCAGTGCTCAGAGTGCGGGAGGAACTTCAGGCATGCACACACTCTGAAGACACACAAGTGCACTTCTTTTCAGCTGGAGTTTGGTGGTGCAATAGAAGTTGATCCATCCTAAGAGTGGCCTTTTTGTAGTCTGATGGGAATCACACTCTAGTAGCAGTTGCCCGCTCTGTCTTTCAGATATGGCTGCAGATTGCAGTACGTTTGAACAGCAGTGCGTCAAACATAAACAGCTCAGAGCTCCAGCAGACACGACACTGGCTTCGTAATGACTCAGTGAAAAAGCTCAGCTGTTAGCGTTAAAATCTGAGTCTATTAAACAGAACCAGATGAAAACTGCCAGTTAAACATCACTGTTTGCTCCTAACAGACTCACATTAACTGGTTTACACTTTACATTCGTGTTATAACTGGATTCTGTCCTGATTAGAGCAGGTTAGCAGAAAGCTAACAGGCTAACGCCTAAGTAATAAAAGACAGACGTCAAGTTTAAGCCTTTAAATAAAGCATTACTTAAAAACAGACATACAGAGTAAGGAATGTTACTTACACGCCTTTTACAAGCTAAAAACATCATAGCTGCCTCAACATTGTAATGTCTGTCCGCCATTGATGGTGGACGACGGCGTCGTCTATCAGCCCAACCCTAACTGACCCTGTCCCGACTCCAGCCTTTTACATTGGTTCTTCTCTTTTTCATTTGATTATGAAAAGGTATAAATATACCCCTTTCTGGGAAAAGTGAAATGTAGTGTACTTTAAATGCATAGTTGTATCTTAAGACCGTTGTTGTACACTCTTAAAAAAGATGGATCTTTAAGGGTTCTTTAGCAAAGACAGTAGTTCTGCGTAGAACCATAAACACTCAAAGAAACATCTGCATGCTTAAATGGTTCTCTGCATGGTGAAATGGTTCTTCAGATTGATGGAGAGTGTGTTGTATATGGTCTATATAGCACCAAAAAGGGTTCTGCTATTGGTACAAGCTTGACATCATGATAATAGAAGAACCCTTTGCTATTGTTTTGTATTGTCTGCTATTGTTACGACGTCAAGCTTGTAATAGGAGAAGAACGCTTTTTATTGTTATACAGAACCATTTTTTTAAAAAAAGGAACCATATACAGCGCAGTCTTCATCTGAAGAACCATTTAGGCATGCAAGTGTTTCCAATACATGTTTCCAATTTAATTCATTTCCAGTTTCCAGTATGTTTCTGATTCTGTTTGCCATCTGTTGGTCAGAAAGTCTAGTACCCAGTTGTGGATGGAGCTGCACAGAACCCGGCTGCTCAGCTTTAACAGCAGTTTAGAAGGAATGAGGGTGTTAAATGCAGAGCTGTAGCCTACACCCTTAGCAAAAAGGGTTGTTTGGCTTGTAACAATAGTGGAACCATTTTTGGTGCTATATAGAACCCTTTTCAAAAAGATTCTATATGGAACCATCTACAGCACATTCTCCATAAATCTGAAGAACACTTTTACAATGCATTTTTGAAAAGGGTTCTTCTATTGTTACGATGTCAAGTTTGTTACAATAGAAGAACCTTTTTTGGTGCTTTGTAGAACCTATTTGGAAAGGGTTCTTCTACTGTTATGACGTTAAGCTTATTACAATAGAAAAACCCTTTTTGGTGCTATATAGAACCATCTACAGCACATTCCCCATCACTCTGAAGAGCCATTTCATGAAGCAGAGAACCATTTAATCATGCAAAGGGTTCTTTCAGTGTTCATGGGTCTGTATTGAACCATTTCTTTACTAAAGAACCCTTGGAGAACCAACTTTTGTAAGGGCGTATAAACAACATCCTACAGTTATTCAGTAGTTAGTAACAGTGAAATCCTCATGCATTTGAAATACTCACCTCTACACGTCGCGCTAAAGCGATGGTTTGTGATTGGTTGTTTTACGTGTCAGTCAAACCTCCCTTTCCTGTCAAAGTAGGCAGCACTTAAACAAATACAGCAACAGAACCTTCCAGATTCTCTTATGATAGAATTCTCGCTTGTGAGAACAGAGTCATGGGAAGTTAATTCCAAAACCGCTGGGCTGGAGTAAATTGGTCCTTCAAAATAAAATGCTAATGGTTAGCTACACTCACAGCTATGTTAAGTACACTCTTAAAATAGATGGTTCTTCAATGGTTCTATAAAGAACCATGAATATTCAAAGAACCCTTTGCATGATTAAATGGTTCTTCGCATCGTAAAAGGTTTTTTAGATTGATGGAAAATGTGCATGGATGTGCTATAGAGAACATAGAACCGTTCTTCTATTGTTATAAGCTTGACACTGTAACAATAGAAGAACCCTTCTGGGTGCTTTACAGAACCATTTTCTATATAGAACCATCTACAGCACGTTCTCCATCAATCTTTCATGATGCAAAGAACCGTTTAATTATGCAAAGGCTTCTTTGAGTCTTCGTGGTCCTATGTAGAACCATTTTCTTTGCTGAAGAACCCATGAGGAACCATCTTTTTTAAGAGTGTAGGGTGATGTTAAGTTATCCAACCATATGTAATTACAGCAGGCCTTCTCTATAAAAGTGTATTTGCACTAAGATGTTGTGAAACTAAAAACCGAGTAAATGAGTCAAAATAAAATCAAAATGCACCTTTTTCACTTTGTGGTCATATTAAACACAACCTTTTGTGTCATATGTCGTTGAGAAAAAACCTAAACAAACCAGAAAACAATAACGTCTCTGAAGACAGACCAAAGTTACAGTGCTAACATATATGCATAATGAATAAAAAGGAAGGAAGCTCTAATATGGTCAGAAAGACTTCCACCTCGCCCCTTCCAGAAACTTTCGTCTCTGCACCCTCAAGGCCACTATACAATGAATCACAGTAGCCCCTTGTCAGTTCAGCCAGGCCTCAGGACAGATAACAGAACCATGGAGCCTGGGAAACTGTAAAGAGTTGACCACTTATCTAACTCTTGCACTTAAAGAACAGTGAGAGTCCACCTAATGTTTAGAGAAACATAAGCTCCTTCTACAGCTAGGAGTACCTCTTGTAAGCATACATAAATCATGGTTATGTAAGTAAAGCAACATGCTATACTAAAATCCGCTTAAATGGCTTGGATGCATGCACATCTCTCAAAGGTGAAACCTTGGTCACCAAAATCAGAACCACACGTATCATCCAAAAGCCAAAATCCTTTTCCCACCTCTTACCACCTGACGTTTGGTTGACATCACTGTGTAGAAGGGGCCGGGGGAAATATGAATCACTTATCATAGCATGTTTTCCCTCCCACCACCCCCAGAAATAATCAAACACAATCACCAGTCATCACCTTCACTCCCACCTGCACACACACGTACGTCAGCTACGCCAGGTCATCCCTCTGCAGACAGCCTTATTTCCTCACAGGCTCTCTGCTCTGTCACTCTCATCACTTCCTTCACTCTCAGTTTCATTTTCAGTTTTAGGACTGGTTGTTAAATAATCGGATTATTTTTACTACTTTTTAAATTTTATTCTGTTTATTTAGCTCGTGTGTCTGCTTTTATTTTACTGTTTAATTCTAAAGCATTCTGAGCTGCTTTGTGTATGACAAATGCTCTAAAAATAAAGTTTATGATAATTTTCTTCTATAATCAAAATAATTTTGAGAAAATCTCACAGCCCTTGTTTTTTTTCCCCCTCGTTTTACCAACGTGCACATCTTGGTGTGTCTGTATTGTATGCATGTTGTTTAATGACTTTTAAATAAATCTTTTAAAGAACTTTTCAAGCATGCATCCATATTTTTTATACATAAAATTGAGCATTAATTTAAGCATGATTGCCTACTTAATATTGCATTTGATTCAAACTTGCCTATAGCCTGCAAAACACTATGGAAGGTACATAAACTCAGGTGTGGGACACTAAAATACCTGAAAATTATAAATAAGATTAAGAACTTGTCCTGAACTCCAAACTGCAGGTAAGTTAATGGAGGTGTCCTTGCCCCTCTGTGTTCATTTTATTTTTCAAATATTTTCAAAGGTTTTTACGTGACAGCGCACCAACACTTGGTGTTCAACTAAGCATAAAAAGACCATTACAACCTTTAGGTTAAGTTTTGCTTTCTAATGGAAAAGCAAATATTTTTACATTATTTTAGCTAGCTAGCTAATTAGTACTTGGCAGCAAGCTTGATGTTTTGATGATGTAGCTTATAATGCTAAATGCGAGTTATCTAAACTATTCAACATCCCCAAAGTTGAGAGGTACCAAAATGACAAAACCTTCAGCTTATCTTTTACTGCACTTTCTCAATGTATAGATGAAGTAGCTAATAATTTTAAATACTAAATAACTATTTATAATAACTTAACTTACTACTGTCAGCTAAATAAATCAGTTTTAGGATTTATTTTTATTTTTCATATCAGCAGCTTCATGATCTGCATTCACAAACCTTCAACGGCATTTCATTTACTAGCTAGTTCTGGTTTGTAGATGATTCAGCTGACTTAGCTATCTTGCTACTGGGCGACCAAGTTTGGGTCACTTTCATGTTATCAATAAGCCTAAATAGGTCATGTCTTCCAAGTCAAAGTGCAACAGGTTTAACTGTGTGGTCTTCCAAGTTACAGCAGCCAAACTACTAAACCCTCCAACAAACTGCTTGGGAGCGTAATATGACAAAATATGAACTTTAATTGGTTTTCACACATTCATCAGATGAGATACAAACTTATTACTTAGTATGACATTTTCAATAAGGTACCTTATGTGAGTTGGAAATGGCAATAATGATTAGTAAATTAACTGTATGCACACAACTGAATTTTGACAATCATAATTCTAAGCCTGCCAAAAACCTTCAGCAGAAGCGAGTAAAAAGCAGAAACACAGACAGCATGTTTTAAAACTAGGGATGGGTATCGAGAAGCGGTACTAAATTGGTACCGGTCAGTACCGAAGTATCAATAAACTCTTGGACAAATGGTGCTGCTATCAGTATTTATGTAACATTAATTTTATTCTACTTAGCTGCCGTTTTTAAATAGTTGGTGCTGACTGGATGAGCGGGAGGGGCGTCTGCGTGACGAAAGTGTTCCTCTGAGTACATTAACCATTCCAGATGCTGAGCGTCATTCTGTGCTCTCCATCATGGCTGAAAGTGTAAGTGTGACTCAAAAGCGTGATTCACTTTACTAAATGTAACGATACTGCAGATTAATGTAATGCATGTAAGGCAGTAGTTGTGTGTGAACACCAGCAGCCTCATCAAACACAAACACAACATGCTATAAATCTGAAGCAGTGATGTGTGTTTGCTTCAGCAAAGCGGCTGCTGCACCACCGTCCTCAACCTGGTGTTCTGATTAATTTTTTTTACCTTGTCAAAATGTCCTACTGTAGCGCACATTTATTGGTTGCTCCATACATGAAACTCTAGGTGGGACATTTCTCAAATCAATTTATCAAAAATACTACCAGCATTAAAACTAAGAAGCTGAAGTCAATGTCCTATTTGCCAAATTCTCGTTCTAATTTTCCCGTTCCACCTGCACGATTTAAGGTGGAATGGGAAAATTAGAACAAGAATTTGGCGGATTGGAAGCCGACTGCAGCCTCGTATTAAAACTGCAGGTGGGAGAGTTTGATAGTCTAAATGTCCTTTTCAGAAAAGTTGGTATCAGAGGTTACACACTGCTCCTTTAAGCTGATCTTAGCTCAGTTTTCTATGGGGAAGTGGATGATGCCAGTTTACCCCAGGATGTCTAATGTTTATGAGTGATTCACTTAGGATAAGAAATCTCTGTCTAATTGACGAGATGGAGCAGATACTCAATTTACATTCACTCCTTCACTCCACAAAAGAGTAGAAACAATGTTAAAACATTTAATTTAGCTGTAATTTTGTTTACACTAACCAGTTACCTTTCTGTCTTAAGTGAATGCAGAGCGTCAATAGCATCACCGTTAGCTTGAGAATTCACAACAGTCGACTTCACCGCATAAAATCAAACTAATTTTTACACATCAGCCTGATTTTTGCCACAGAAAACAGTGAGGCAGAATTGGCTTCTTATTCACCAGCTTCTTGTTCAAATTTTGCCATTCCACCTTAAATCGTGCAGCAGTTACATTCTGGCCCTCAGCGTTATAACTGCCACACCATTTAAGGTGGAACGTGAAAATTCAAACAAGAAGCTGGCGAATAGGAAGCCGTCTTCAGCTTCGTCAGAGAACACAAGTAAGCACTTCTTCAAGCCTCCAAACTTAAATAACTCCTTTCACCGACTTTCAGCACTTTCACCGACATGTTGATTCGCACTGGGTTCATATAACCCGAGATTATTTTTATGGCTCGTTTTATGGAAGGTAAAAGGCGCTAGAATCTTTACTGAAGCGGGAAAGCACAGTCAGTAAAATGACTACATGGTGCATTTAGATGAAATTAAATCACTGAGAAACACCAGTAGTATTTACATTACCCTCCTCATCATGTTAAACGAATCCTGTCCAAATAGGGTTTAACAGTTGTTAATAGTTATCGGTCATCTGGAGATGACCACAGCCTTTTCACATCTTTTCAGATCTTTTCATGTCATGTCTGTTTTTGGATCAAAAGTATCAGTATCGATAAGCAATATCAGTATCAATATCGGTATTGATGAAATCCTAAAGATACCCATCCCTTTGAAAACAACTCATGAAAATTAAAATGTTATTTTATCATCAAGAGCTTTCGTTCTTAATGCATTTGTGCGTCTTTAAAGTGTTTGAGTGCCTGAAGTTCCTGCCGCAGTCTGAGCAGTAATACGGTTTCTCTCCGGTGTGAATGCGCCGGTGCAGATGAAGAGCGCTCTGCACGTTAAAGCTCTTCCCGCACTCGGAGCACTGATACGGCTTCTCTCCTGTGTGGATGCGCTGGTGTCGTCGGAGATGACCGAGCTGATTAAACGTCTTCCCACAGTCCGAGCAGTAATGAGGTTTCTCTCCGGAATGGATCTGCTGGTGTCGCTGGAGTCCGCTCTGCTGAGTGAAGCTCCTCCCGCACTCGGAGCACCGATACGGCTTCTCTCCTGTGTGGATGCGCTGGTGTTTTTTCAGAGTACCGATTTCAATAAAACTCTTGCCGCAGTCTGAGCAGTGATGCGGTTTCTCTCCCGTGTGAATGCGCAGGTGTACGTGGAGGTGACCTCGCTGAGTGAAGCTCTTCCCGCACTCTGAGCACTGATGATTCCTCTTCTTTCCTGGACTTTTCTGCCTCTGTCTGTGAGATGTGTTGGCGCAGAGAGCACCAGAAGACGTTTGAGTCCTTGAGCTTCTTCTGGATGCCATGGTAATCTCCTCTGACCTCAACCATGTGATGTACTACTCTTGGTGGAACCTCTTGATTGGTTTGGAGGTAAATTTATACTGCGTAGGAATGTGGACACCAGGACCAGAAGAAGATCTGGAACAGGAAACTGTTCATAGCTGGAGGAGAAAAGCAAAAGAATTCAATTTGTTGGTGCACAAACGTATGTCAGGATTGTACAAAAGTTCACTTAGGCCCAATCCCATTTCTTCTTTTTATCCATACCCCTTGTTTTCGAGTGTCACCCTAACCCCTTGGAACTGAGTTACAAGGGGTAGTGGTTGAAATCTTGCCCTACAAAATGGGACCCTTGAATAAATTAAAAAAAAAACAACCTTGCTGAATTAACAGCTACTAGCGCTGCTCTGTAGGCGACCCGGCCCATCTTCAGTGACAGCAGAGAAGGGTAACGTTCAACAACCTCACTGCTGGGCTTTAGTTACATTTAGGGCATCATATGCCTTCAAAGAGGGGGGCAATTATTTATTATCGCCCACCGCTAATTCTTCAGTGATATGAAGCTGAAGTCAGATATTCACCAGCTTCTTGTTCGAATTTTCCCGTTCTACCTTAAATGGTGCAGCAGTTACATTCTGGCGCTTCAGGCATCAGAACAGCTGGAATATTTAAGGTGGAACTGCAAAGTTAGCTAGCTAACTACCGAGACATCAGTATGCTATTATCGTAATTCTTTAACAGAGAAAATTCTTACATTTGAGGGTTTCTTTGGTCTCTCGTTCAGCCATCTTGCTGTTTTTTCTTTTTTTCTCATAACTCTCTGTTTGGAGTCTCTGAAAAACCTCTGTTTGGAGGGCCTGTCACCCTACCCCTCCATCTCAACAAGAATCGGGACACCCTACCCCTAGATGAGAACACGCAAAACAGAGGGCTAAGGGCCAAGTGGTAGGGGCGAGGGGTGAAATGGGATTGGGCCTTAGTATCAGATCAAGTAAAAAACAATCAGAATAAAATGAAAAGAAAAGAAAATCAATTGCAAATCCACGTCGGGCCCTGATCACACCTGGCATTAACATGCACCCTGAGTGATCTGATCATAAGTGGACATCAGCAAGATCAAATGTTATATAGGTTCAGTGACTGGATCACAGTGTGTCTCCATTCACACTCAGGATGTGAGGAAAAACGACCTGAATCAGTAAAGCGGTCCAACGGTCTTCGACCCAACTGCATCCATTTATAAGCCAAAAACAGACAGGGAGTAAAAAAAAGGCTTTCACTGCTAAGATGGTTTTTCAAGGGTTCTTTGGTAAAGAAAACGGTTCTATATAGAACCATGAATTGTCAAATAACCCTTGCATGATTAAATGGTTCTTTGTATGATTAAATGGTTCTTCAGATTGATGGAGAATGTGCTGTAGGTGGTTCTATTTAGAGCCTTCTATATAGTACCACAAAGGATTCTTCTATTGTATACAAGCCAGACATCGTAACAATAACAGAGCCTTTTTGGTGCTATATAGAACCCTTTCAGTGAGGTTCCTTATAGAACCATTTGCAGCATTATCAGTCTGAAGAACTATTTAATGATGCAAAGAAGCCTTAAATCACGCAAAGGGTTCTTTGAGTGTTCATGGTTCTGTATAATACCAGTTTCTTTACTAAGGAGCCCTTGAAGAACCATCTTGTTTAAGAGTGTAAGTTAGGAGAACGTGATCAACTGAAGGCACGAGCTCAGGAGCGCACAGACGCTGTTTGTGTCTGTTTATATCAGCACCTTTTAAAAGTCTGATCATTACCGGATCTGTTCCTGTAAAGGAACACAGTAAACAGTGTTCAGTAGAGCTGAAGCTCCTCACCTTCAGCAGAGCAGCTCCTGCTCCTCCTGCGCCTCCAGCAGCTCTGTGGACGCCGGGACGGCTGGTCTTGTTCTTCTCTGGTTTACATGCATTGCTGTTGGAAAACCATTGTAGATATAGCGCCCCCAGCTGGACTGCAGGGCTTTCAACGTGGCGCCAGATGGCGTTATTTAAAATTCCACCCGTATTCCTATAAAACACACCCGTATTCCTACAAACCCCACCTCCTGAGAATTCCACAACCTGGAAATAAAATTTCATCAGAATATTTTAGATACAAACTCTACTGATTCAGTGTGATGTCCCTGCTGAAAAAGGACCATTCAAAACCATTGGGATTTGCTCTCTAATGGGAATTGGCCTAATGGTTTCCATTAGAGACTACATGTTTCCTGTAGAACGCCTTTAGATCCCCTTAGAAAACCATCAAATGCTCTTAGAATCAGCCACTGATCACCTGTTAAACCATTAGGATCCTTTACACTGTGATATCAACCCATTAAAAAAGCCAAAACACATTACAAAACCATCAGGAACCAACAGAAACATTTAAGGGTTTTTCAGCAGGGTCATGGTTTTCCTACATTCACCAAAAGATGGTTCTTAAATGGTTCTTTAGTAAATAAAATGGTTCTATAAAGAACAGTGAACAATCAAAGAACCATTTGCATGATTAAAGGGTTCTTCGCATCATTAATGGGGTCTTCAGATTGATGGAGAACGTGTTGTATATGGTTCTATATGGAAACTTTTTGGTTCCTTTTTTTTTTCAAATTATCTCCCTGCTGAAAAAATACCATTAGAACCTTTAGGACTAAAACCCTGATGATGGTTTTGCTTTATAAAGCTTGTTGGATTAATGGTTACCATTAGAGACCACTAGCTTACTGTATGACACCTTTAGATCCCATTAGGAAACCATCAAATGCATCTGGAATCAGAACACCTGTTAAACCATTAGGAGTCCTTTGCACTGTGATATCAACCCATCAGGAGAATACAGAACACCAGTAGACTACTGGACACCAGAAGGAACCAGGAGAACCTTTAATGGTTCCTCAGCCCTGTCATACATAAACACAAAAACTCTTTATTTTACAAAGAAGCACTTTAGTACATCAGAAAAACAGAAGACGTGTTTGGGGAATGTTGAACGATTCAGCAGCCGATCTGAGATGAAGAGTGAATGAATAAAGGAGAGAGAAGTGAAAGTAAACTGAGAGAGACACCTGATCAGCTCATTATCAGCCCCCTATTGAGTTGACGTGAGTGTGTTAAAGCAGGACAAGCACTAAATGTGCCGGACAGTGAGCCTCCAGGACTAGCGCTGAGAAACACTCCTCTAGATGAGGGAACATGGTTAAAATCTCCATCTCCTACAGCAGGTTTATTCAGCTCTGGTTCAGGAGGCCCAGTGTCCAGCACAATCCAGTAACTGCCCTACTTAAAAACACCTATTAAACCTGGCAATTAACAGGTACGTTGAATCAGGTGTGAATCACCAAACTGTGCTGGACTCTAGTCCTCTGGGACCGGAGTTGAAGATGCCTGTATTACAGCACCAATCAGTTAAACCCCCTCACCCAGGAGGAGTGGAGGTCCTGGCGGTCCTGGAGTCCAGCACATTTTAGGCCTTGTTCAGACTGGCAGCCCAAATCTGATTTTTGGTATATCCAGATTTTTAATAGTCTGAACAGCAAAAAACACATCAAACCTGATTTTTGCAAATCGCATTTAAATCACATTTTGAGGTGGTTTGAAATGCAACTCCAGTCAGATTTTTATAGATGCGTCTCAGTCTGGACGCTCAAATCAGATTTCAAAGTGTCTTTTTCGTCACGTGCAACACAACAAACAACGATGATGTCAAATCCAGAGTGATGAAGTGCTGGGATTCAAGAAGAGCTCCAAAGATTCACGATTATGAAGGGAATTCTGAAGAGTTTGGAAGGTGAGATGATGCTCCTCCAACTCTCCTGCATCTGCGTTTGAAATCTGCGTCACCAGCACAGCTATGCAGTTACTGACGTCTACATTGTTACCATGGCAACCCATGCAGATAGACTAGTGATGTCTGGACACACAAATCAGATTTGACCACATACAGATAACAGAGCGGACAATCGACTGTCGAGATCTGATTTGAGAAACTAATCCGATTTACCTGCAATCTGAACACGGCGTAAGTGTTTTTCCTGATCAAACACACCTAATCAAGCAGGTCATTAATAGGCGAGTTGAGCTGGTTAGTTTGAGCAGGAAAAATCACCAAACTGCTGCACACTCTGGCCCTCAGGAGCAGAGCTGGGTACTCCTGGTGTGCAGGTGCTGCTGGACTGGCAGGTAGAACTAGGAGACCAGAGCAAGTCCAGGACATAAAGAAGAAGTGGTGTCATGGTGTCAGCATCACCACATCTGTCAAAGTGTGTTTCTTTGTCTACCAACAAGGACGAAAACTGGACAACACCGAGAAATGTACTAACTTCTTCAAACTTTAAAACATTATTGTAATAATACACAACAAATCTGCTTTGAGACACAGTGATAAATATTTGAAGATCTGCATTTTTCGTGAACTTCATTGTGCATTCCAGATAATATCAAACAAAAACCGCAGTTGGGCTGTTTTGATGAAGTTAAAATACAGGTTACTTATAAAATTAAACTGTACTGAAAAAAAGTTTTGTCTAACGTAGTTTTTTGTCTAAAGCAGATAACTCCAACGGCCAGTTTCACAGTTAAAGCCATTTAATAGATACAAGTTCCTTTGAGGTCAATATGTAACATCCTTCATCATGAAACAAGCAGCTGAAGATCTGAAAACTGAACACAAACAGCCATTAATGATCAATATTAATCATTTAAAAGGTCAGAGCTCGGGAAATCCTAAGGCTGAATCTCAAACGGCTCACTGCTCCCTATATAGTCACTTTGTGAGAAATTTAGTCTTTTCCACCCAAATATTACGGAGCCCTGCTGGTGACATCCTGTATAAATAAAAATAATGCGTGGCCACGACTTAGTAAGGCATGGGAATGAGATGATTAAGTCGTGGCCACGACTTAGTAAAGCGTGATCTCATTCCCATGCATTACTAAGTCGTGGCCACGCATTAGGATCTCGTTCCCACGCATTAATAAGGTGTGGCCATGCATTATTTTTATTTATACAGGATGACACCAGTGGGGCTCCGTAAAATATTGGTCTTTATGTCCAGTATGAATTGTCTCTCATGGCTCAATCCAGAGTGGTTCTCTGTCAGACTCACTGAGCTCTGTTTAGATGCAGTAGCCGTTATTTTAAGACTGCTGCTCTTTGTATGGAGGAGCCATTTGAGATTCTGCCTCAAACAATAGGCGGCAGTGCTGAGTCACCTGACCCTGAATACTGCACGCTGATTTACGGGGTTCTGCTGGAGAACAGTGCTGACGTTTAACCGTTTCTGCTGTGAAACGTGAACTTGTGATGCCTCAATGATGAACAATAATGGCTTTAGTGACTAAACGTGTTTAGTGTTCAGAATGAGCTGAGTGTTATTACCTCACCACTGTCAGCTCCATTTGAAAGGATGAAGTTTATCGACTTTTGCAAATGAACTCCTCATTTTTGCCCCACATAATCACAGCTTACACACTTTACATGTGTCACACTCTGTGATTCTCTCCAGTGCCCAGAGTTTTGGAATGCAGTATCGTCTCAAATTGAACAATTATTTTGCGCTAAACAGAAACAATAAATCACTGTGCTGTGCTGCCAGCAAACTACAGTGAGGTACAACACACCCGGTAACCTTCTAACATTCTGAAATCCTAAACTGCGTAATGCAACAAGCTTAACATGAATACAAAAATAAAAAACTCACGACTCCCATTTGAAATTCTCAACTGCAGCGCCCCCTCCTGGCTCCTTTCCTCCACTACCCTGCTGAAAAAGGACCCTTAGAAACCAGGATTAGTATTAAAACCTAATGGTTTTGCTTTCTAATGTGAACTGGCTTGACGGCTTCCAATAGAGACCACTAGTTTCCTATAGAACACCTTTAGATCCCATTAGGAAACCATCAAATGCATTTAGAATCAGCCACTGGTTATCTGTTAAACCATTAGGATCCTTTACACTGTGATATCAACCCATTAAAAAAGCCAAAATACATTACAAAACCATCACGTACAGCAGGTTACGGCCATGGAGCGCTGCGTACAATGTTCCACACTTCTCATTAAAGCATTAATAGAACATCAAATGATCTTTTAACAGTACATTACATCCTGCTTCATTTCCCAGTGGAACACATCACCTCAGGGGAGCCCAATCCTGGTTCTGGAGATCCACCGCCCTGCAGCTAAGGCTGGAAGATCAATTGCATTTATATGAATATCACAATTAAAAAGAGTGAAATTTTCAAATTGCAAGAGCTGCATTTTAATTGTAGACATTTTTTATTAACAATGTTTTCTTAATTGCGGAACATTATCCTAATATCAGAGCTTGTAAACTGCCTGTAGATGAATTAGGCCAATCAGAAGCAGCCAAACAATTATATGCTGTGACATCACAACCACGACTGTTTATGTTTAGTGTTAAAGTCTCAAGCCAGAAAAAGTGGATGATCTGGTCTTTTTGGCCAGAAAAACAGGCCTGGACCTCAATTTACAGAAAACACTCGCAATTCATATTACAGTCGCAATATCGATAATAAAAATCGCAATTAGATATTTTTCCCCAAATTGTTCGGCCCTACCTGTAACTCTCATCCAACACACCTGATCCAGGTAATAAAGGCTTTCAGGAGCACCTGATTATTAGAGCCAAGTGTGATGGATCTGAACTCTCCAGCTGGAGGACTGGGCTCCCCTGCATTACAGGCACTGAATGTGACTAGTTGCACTACAGAGGTTTGATCTGAGACTTGCTTTACGGCTGTTCTTCTTTCTAGGACGTTTAGCCCACAACATTATTCTGTACACCACATTTTGCACATCTGATCAACTAAACCCAGTCTTATAAAGAATAATGAAATATGAGTATGAGGGTCTAAAACTTAATATGTTGCCTTAAGGCAAGTATATCAACACATAACTCCATTGCGACAACAACACATGATTTACCTTCACCAGAAGCTAATAAAACTGCAAAAACTGAACACTCCTGTGCAAAAAATGCATAAATAAATAAAAAGGGGCCAAGTCCAAAATATAGTGTTTTGTACTGGTTCTGGCTGGTCAGATTCCAGATTTAAGCCCTATAGAGAATATATGGTCTGACATTAAACACAATCTAGCTCGGCGATGTGGGAAAATATTCTGTAAAAGACTGTCTGCAAATTTTACCCACAAAACCTCAACATTTAGAGAAATAAAAGGGAAAAATATTCCACATTAACTTGCTGCATCTACTTGTTTAATAGAGCAATTTTAGAGATTTGGAGAGATTTTTAGTTTAAACATTCTAAAATTAACAAATTATCAACAGAATGTGAAGAAATCGCGGTTTTGACATTTTGTCAAAGATGTCTGTGTATCATGTTGCAGAGATATCTACTGAAGTTAGCATGCTAACCAGCTAGCCCAGGCCCATCCTGTCTCGTACTAGCACTTTGATCCTCAAGAGGCAATAGTGAATCACCGCAGCATCGAGTAAATGCTGAAGCTCTTGGCAAGCGACTGTTCACCACTGCCGCCAGCAAAGAAAAGAAGCAACATTAACAGAGTTAGCCTTGGCACTGCGTTCCCCTACTGGAGACTGGAGCTCTCGGCGAGTAGAGGGATGAAGTTTGATGCTGAACTTGCTACTTTTCTTCTAGACTGGTAAGGAAACAGCTGTTAATGCTAACACTGGCTATTTAGCATGAAGCTTATAAAAGTAGTTGTTTAAAGTTACTGAAAATGTTAATATTTTAACTTCTTTAATCACTATTTTAATTCTTTTAAGCCCTTATTTTACTTGTTATTGTCTTTTATTTTTAGCTTTTTAAGGTAAATTTTCATGGCTTATTTTCAGCCATGTACTTTGCACCTTCTTTTAATTGACTCACTGCAGGGCATCTTAGCACTATTTTAATTTCTTTTAATCCTTTATTTTATTTGCTTTGTGCTTTTGACATCTAAATGTTCTGCTAAGCTTTATCAACTCTTTGGATGTTTTAAAAGTTTGCCATCATGAGCACCAAATATCGATTAACAGTTTAGTGGTTGGTGTTAGTTTGAAGTAAGATATTCAGTTACGGCTGCTGTTCAGCGGTGAAAGCAGTAAGTTTTGGTGCTCGTCCTCATTCAGGCTGCTGGAAACAACTCGAGTTTAATTGCAATTGTATTTTTTACTCCTTATGTCTTTGTAACAATCCTGCAAAAGCCTTTCTGAGGTGCTGGATCTCAGGATGTTATAATAAACTAATAAGCCTCAAGAGGTTGTGCATTATTGCGATTTTATTACGGGTGTTCCTAGGCACGACGCAAAGCGGAGTAAAACCCCCTTCCCTGTGCTAAAATCGCAGCAACGCACAGCCTCTCAAGGCTTATTGCTTTATTATAACATCCCGAGATCCAGCACCTCAGAAAGGCCTTTGCAGGACTGTTATAAAGACATAAGGAGTAAAAAAATACAATGGCGAATAAACTCAAGTCATGCATAAAATATGATAAAATACATAATTTTTCAGTTATTGTTAATAATGGACATGAACAAGTATTCCTCCAAGAAATGTAGTTCCTATAGAGTATGGTATCGTTGCTAAGCAACCATGTACCACTGAATGAGAAGAACGTTTGGTCGCCCATCGCTGTACAGTGCGGTCATTTCATGATTTTGCTTCAACTTTTGCTTGCATAATAATAAGCATATGATAACACAGCACTGTTTAATGCACAAACCTTCACTTTTTAAGTACTTTTTGGTCACCAAATTACCACCACGAGTCTTATTTAGCACCAAGCTAACGACTCACACTGGGGCTGAATCTTAAACGGCTCCCTGATGCCTACATAGTGCACTACATAGGTGTTAAAATACTAGATCCTGCAGCCCAACAGTGAATAATACAGCTAAGAAATAGTCATTTGGGACTCAACCACATCCACACTCGACACATAGTCACTGTTTGGCCGGAGAGGCTAGAATTCCTAAACTTTCACAGCTAGCACACTATATAGGGAGTACGAAGCCGTTTGGGATTCAGTCTGGGTTTGATGCGACTTCTGACTGAAACACGGACATTAGAAGCGTGTAAGACATTCAAGTGACATTTTTTAGAGTTTTATACTGTCATTTTACAGTTAATTATACCGTAAGTGCCTTAATTCAAGCCTGTGATATTAGTGATGGGGTTGTTTAGGCTGTTGGCGTGTTGGCTTGCTGACCAGCCTAGTTCTAGATAAGAAAATAAGCTGTCAGCCTCTCAGTTTAAACAGAACCGGGTTCTTACTTCATCAGTACACTCCGTGCTCAAAGATTATTCATCAACAGCAGAAGTTTTTTTTCTGTGCTCTGGCACAGTGATACAGAGTTCAGCTGCTGTGAGGCGGTTATAGCTGTGCGTATATCATGGATTTTACAACAGCTTCGAACGCAGCTCAGCCAATCAGATTTTAGGACCGGAACTATCCGTTCTATAAGCTGTATTATTATCTAATGCTTTTTCTGTTTGTGTAAAGCACTTCAAATTGCCACTGTCTATGAAAGGTGCTGTTTAGATAACCTTGCCTTGTCTAATATGTTTGCTAAGAGACTGTGCATGTCCTTCAGTGTGTCCCATTTCAGGGGCTGCGTCCTTCGGAGGCTGCATTTGAAGGCCGATTGCGTCACAGTGGCGTGAATAGCCTGTCCCATTTCAAAGGATCTTTCATAGGCAGCCAAGAAATGTGTCCTTCCTTTCCATGGCAACGAAGGATCCATCGGGTGGATCCTTCGCCAGCCAACATATCCCGAGGTTCACTGTGTGTCTGCGAGGATTCGAGAACATGGCGGCATCAACAGAGGAGCGAACGGCGGCTGAAGAGACACTTTTAAATACAAGTATTGGGTTTAAACTGAGGCGAATGGCTAACGATACAAATATTAACAAAAAAAAAAAAACATCAAAAATCAATTGCTGGCGGTGAAGCATCCAGTCCCTGAAATGGGACACACTGCTTGTTTCTTGCGACATGCTGCCCCCTGTTGGTTTGGAGCATGGAATATGAATTCAAAAGGTTGTGTCATCTTGCACATTGCTCCTTTAATGATTTGTCATTAAGGCCATTAAAAGCTTAATGTTTTGATATTTTGGGCTTGGCCCGGGAGTGCAGGCGGCATGGCTCACACAAGAACCGCTAACGAAAACGTCGTTATTTGACGATATTGTCACGAGTCTTCATTCTTAGTGCATTTGTGTCTTTTTAAAGTTTTTGAGTGTCTGAAGCTCCGGCCACAGTCTGAGCAGTAATAGGGTTTCTCTCCGGTGTGGATGCGCTGGTGCAGCTGCAGGCTGCTCTGTACGTTAAAGCTCTCCCCGCACTCTGAGCACTGATACGGCCTCTCTCCGGTGTGAATGCGCTGGTGCCGCTGCAGGCTGCTCCGCTGATTGAAGCTCTTCCCGCACTCGGAGCAGAGATACGGCTTCTCTCCCGTGTGGATGCGCTGGTGTTTCTTCAGAGTGCTTATTTCAATAAACCTCTTCCCGCACTCGGAGCAGCAGTGCGGTTTCTCTCCGGTGTGGATGCGCTGGTGCACCTGAAAGTTACTCTGTACCGTAAACCTCTTGCCGCACTCTGAGCAGTGATACGGCTTCTCTCCGGTGTGGACGCGCTGGTGTTTCTGGAGATCACTCTGCCGAGTGAAACTCTTCCCGCACTCTGAGCAGTGGTGAGTTCTCTTCTTTACCGTAGGTTTCTTCGTTGGTCTGCAGGTCGTCTCGGCGCGGGGAGCATCACCGGATGTTTGCTCAGTGCCGGAGCTTCTCCTGGGGGCCATATTCTATTCTCACATTTAATATCTCGTATGTTCAGCAGGGTGATCTGTCCGTTTGGCTGGCATCATCTGATTGGCATGTGTAGGGAACATCAGGAGCAGAAGAAGATCCAGAACAGTGTGTCGCTGATTTCTGAAGGAGAAAAGGAAAAATGTAATTTGACAGTGCGACAAAACTGTGACAATATCATTGGCAAGTAACTAGTGTAGAAATCAGGGCTGGGCGATATGATAAAATATATCATTATCATTATAAATTATGTCATAATATGCTTTTCTGAACATATCGTGTATGTTGTCAGTTCTTGTAGACATGTTTCATTATACAGAGAGCAAAATCAGCCTTGTTTAACTGGATTTAGTTTTTTTTTCTCTGTTCCAGCTGATTAGATGTCTGAAAAAAATAAATATCATGAACATTTCTTGAAGTATCACAATATTATTTTGCCATATCATCCACCTCTAGCAGAAACGTTCAGAAATAAAAATCCATGATGACCTGATTACAAGTGGACATCGAGACTTATTCACACCTAGGGCTGGGCGATATGGCCAAAAATGTTACCACAATGAAAAAAATCATATCGTTCGATATCGATACAAATCTCAATAAATGTCAAGTTTGAAGGCCGATTTTTGCTCCTGAGTGGATAATTGCTGTTTTAAACTACACTTCATGGTCAGAACATGACAAACACTCGCCAAACAGTGGAACATTTCACAAATCTGTCCTGGGACAGTGGGAGAAAGTTTCTGGTCAGCTGTTTTTGCCAACTGGAAAAGCACAATTTTTGTAATATATATAATTTAACAAAGAAAACAGATTATTTTTGGCTGTCTGGTGATGAGTGCTTGGCTATGCTAAACTGGATCACACCGCCTTACTGCCATCACTACTACCACATTCATGTCAGAGCACATCACAGTATTCAGACACCAGCTAGCAGACGTCTGGCTTTCTCTGTTCTAGCTTTCATAGCAGTTTGAGGGGTGAACCGCAATATATCTGACGCTCGCTGTGTAAAGGCTTTAACTGCAGTGCTGCTAAAGCTTGTTAGAATGTTAGGAAAGAGGTGAGTTCACTGTAGGACAGCATAGTCACGCCACTTATGTCGACACTCAGACTTGGTCACAGGAGAGCAGATCGCCAATTGCTCATTTTACTCGTCGCCCCCTCCCTCTCTAATCATGTTAAAAAATTCAGAAGTGCGCCCTCTCCTGGCGACAGCAGAGTAGTGTCACTTTCCTGGCAGAAGAAAATGCCACCAGGGCTGTCGCTAGAACGCAGAAATGTAAGAACGCTCTATTATATCAGATATTTATTGAACATTTCTTATAGTTCTATCGAGGACATTTATATCGCGATACTTATCATTATCGTTTTATCGCCCAGCCTTATTCACACCTGATATTTCCAGCAATTTATAAACACACAAGAGGGGAGACAAAGACAGAAGCCACACTAGCAATTGCTTTCATCTCTCATGTGATGATGATGATGATGATGATGCAGTACCATCCTTTGGTACTTTTGGAGATGCACTTAGATGTTTAACCCTTTAAATGCCCACCAGCAATCCCACAGTTCTGTTACACACTCCTATAACCTAAGAACAGCTCAGCCAGTTTGCATTGAAGTCCCTGTAGTTACTGAACACCGACTCACTGTCCACTTTATTTGGAACACCACTCTAGTACTGGGTAGGAACCTCTCAGAACAGCCTGAACAAGGTTCTGGAAGCATTTCTTAGAGCTGCTGGTCCATGTTGACATGACTCCATTACATAATTTGTCAGCTGCACTTTCATACTTTGAATCTAACGTTCTACCACGTTCTTCCAAAGGTGTTCTACTGGATTCAGACTGCATGACTGGGACACTGAAGTTCACTAATCTCATGGTCATGTTCATTTAACCAGTGTGATGTGACCTGTGCTTTGTGACGAGGTGCTTATCACTATTCTGTGTAAACTCTAGAACAGTGGTCTCCAACTCTGGTCCTGAAGATCTGCCTTCCTGCAGAGTCTAGTTCCAACCACAATCTGCCACACCTGCTCCAGCTAATCAACCTCTTCACAAGTCTCTGATAGGCTAGATTAGAGTTCAGGAAGGGGGCAGGGCAGATTACTGGATGCAGGTTGGAACTAAACTCTGCAGGAAGGTAGAGCTGCTGGACCAGGGATGGAGACCATGGCTCTAGAGAATGTTGTGAGTTTGAATCTCAGATCAGGGGTTCACAACTCCAGTCCTGGAGGGCTGGTGTCCAGCACACTTTGGTGATTTACCTTCTCAAACACTCCTGATCACACTCACATGTTAACTACCAGGAACTAGCTGGAGGGCCGGCATCCAGCATCGTTTGGGGATTTTCCCACTCAGACACACCAGATTTAACTCCAGAGCTAATCGTGAGGTTTAGCGTGAGAGTCTAAGCAGAACCACCACTGAACTCTGATGGACACTAGCCTTTCAGGGCCGCAGTTCTCTACCAACACTCTAGATAAGGTAAGGCAGCGGAGGGCACATCTTCCGACTGTACTGATGGGACAAATGCATGTAAGTTCATAATACACACAGATGATTTGTTCAATTTTAAGTCACAACCAATCAACACTCAGTAGCAGTAATGCTACCTAATCAACACTCAGTGGCAGTGATGTTAACCAATCAGCGCTCAGTAGCCATAATGCTAACCAATCAGCTCTCATTAGCAGTAATGCTAACCAATCAACACTCAATAGCAGTGATGTTAACCAATCAGCGCTCAGTAGCCATAATGCTAACCAATCAGCTCTCATTAGCAGTAATGCTAACCAATCAACACTCAATAGCAGTGATGTTAACCAATCAGCGCTCAGTAGCCATAATGCTAACAAATCAGCTCTCAGTAGCAGTAATGCTAACCAATCAACACTCAGTAGCAGTGATGTTAACCAATCAACACTCAGTAGCAGTAATGCTAACCAATCAGCACTCAGTAGCAGTAATGATAACCAACTAGCACTCAGTAGCCGCAATGCTAACAAATCAGCGCTCAGTAGCAGTAATGCGAAACAATCACCAATAGTGATGTGAACCAGGGGTCGCCATGACTACAACACAAATATAGACATTTTATTTACTATCCAAAACCACCAGTGAACCTACATGAGTCTTCTGAGTTTATATGGAATGTTGATGATGGAAAATAGTGGAAAATCTGAAATATTAAGTTTTTGGGAACTATTTTGCCTTAGAATACCCTTAATGTATCCCTCCACCATCATTACATTGATAAATAATTATCACAAAACTACCATAAAACAATGTCTCAAACACGAATATTCAGACATTTACTGCAACGTATTAATTTTCTGTGATTTTCTGTGGCGCTTTTATGTGTGTGTGTGTATTGATTGTAATTATACACACTTCCTTTTTCTGCATTTATGTTTCTCAATTTATTTATTTCTGTATTGTTTTGTTTTATTAATGCCATTTTTATATTTTTTCCATATCTATATTTTTAACAATTCTTTGCTTTATTCATTGATTCATGTATTCATTTATTTTTTCATTAATTAATTAATTGATTTATTCATTAATCCGTTTATTTAATTCTGTATTTCTTTGCTCATATGATAATGAGGAGGCGTGTTTTTCACGTTCAGGCTTAGCAATCAAGCCCAGGAGGAGATGAGAAGCATGTGAGAAGGGCGTCCAAATGTAAACAGCCGTTACTGTACTGTCTTGTCCTTAGTTACTACTGATAGAGCAAGACATGAACAATCGATCTACAGAATCTGATACCAATCAACCAATAGGAATATTAAGACGCTGTGACATCATTGATTGACAGCCCCTTTATTAGCATAAGGACAAGGAAATACAGAAATAAATAAATAGGGAAAAAATAAATAGAGAAATTAATAGTTATGGAAATAAATGAGGAAAAAAAATTAATAAAGAAACATAAATAACTAAATAAATAAATACAAAAATTAGTGAGATGGGGAAATTACTAAATAGACATAAGTAAACGCAGTCATTCATTTATGCAAGGTTTTATTCATTAATATATTAATTTCTATGTATGTTTATTTATTTTTAGATTTATCATTATTCTTTGCAATTCTAATTCACATATTAATTTACTAAGTCATTTATTTTTAATTTTATTTGTTTTTTATTTTGGCAAATCTGGTCCTGCATACTCCGGGGCTGATCTGGGGCCGGATTCATGAAAGTGTCTTAAGAAAGAAAATCTTCTTAAATTGTGTTTTTCTTAATGTCATTCTTAAGAAGAAAAATTGAGAGAAATAGTTATTCTTCAAATAACTTCTTCAAAATTCTTATTTTCTTAGTTATTTTTCTAAGAATAATTTTAGAAACTGTGTTATTCTTGAAAATATTGTTTCTTAATCTTACGACAGACTCTCATTCTCTCAGGCTGTGAGAACTGACGAGAGCCTCTCCTGCTCCTCATCCTCAGCACACGCTCCATCAATCTGAAGAACTCTTTCACGATGCAGAGAACCCTTTAATCATACAGGGTTCTTTGAGTGTTTATGGTTCTGTATAGAACCATTTTCTTTACTAAAGAACCAAAAACCATATTTTTTAAGAGTGTAATCTGCCCACCCTGCTGAAAAAAACCCATAGAAACCATTAAGTGTGTCTGCTGGTTCCTGATGGTTTTGTAATGTGTTTAGTTTTTTTTAATGGGTTTACATCACAGTGTAAAGGATCCTAATAGTTTAACAGGTGACCAGTGGCTGATTCTAAACACATCTGATGGTTTCCTAATAGGATCTAAAGGTGTTCTATAGGAAACTAGTGGACTGTATTGGAAACCCATTCCCATTAGAAAGCAGAACCATCAGGTTTTTATCCTAATGGTCTCTAACGGTTCTTTTTCAGCAGGGTGAAAAGGGAGACCATCACCTGAAAACATGTTCTGCAGCTTCTGCATTGCCTGACACGCCTCGCATCATTTTTGTATTAACAAAAAAACATATCTAGAACCTTTTATCTGAGAGTGTATCAGGAACCCAGTATATGAGGTGTAGAAGATCCTCACCTTCCGCAGCTCCTGCTCCTCCAGCACCTCTGTGAAGCGCTGTTGATCTTCTTCTCTGCTTTATTTGGCTTAAAGAACCAGTAATAGTAATAGCGCCCCCGTCTGGACTGAAGGGGATTCACACTGGATGTCAAGTTCTCTTATCCCACCCGTATTCTGGCCCCCACTATTACACGCACTGGATACACTCGATGTCATGTTCTTTTATCCCACCCGTATTCTGACCCCCATTATTACACGCACTGGATATACTCTTAAAGAGCCCTTCAAGGGTTCTTTAGCGCAGATGATAGTTCTATATAGAACCATGAACACTCGAAGAACCCCTGGCATGCTTAAACAATTCTCTGCATGGTGAAATGGTTCTTCAGATTGATGGAGAGTGTGTTGTATATGGTTCTATATAACACCAAAAAGGGTTCTGCTATTGGTACAAACTTGCCATCATAACAATAGAAGAACCCTTTTTGGTGTGATCTAGAATTCCTTATAAAAAAAAGTTCTAAATAGAACCATGTACAACACATTCTCCACCAGTCTGATGAATGATGCAAAAACCATTTTAGCATGTAAATTATAGATTGAGTGTTCATGTTTGTATATAGAACCATTGTCTTTACTAAAGAACCCTTAAGGAACCATCTTTTTTAAGTGTGTATATTAGGTACAGTAGGTATATCATATTATAGGTTGCTATGACTAAACATTGAGTGCCTTACGTTGAGCGTGTTGTTAAATGATTAAGAAGGCTGTGATAGTGTTTCTACTCCAGCCGGTGCTAGCGAGAACCAAAAACAATGAAAAGATGTTCTTTCTGTTCTCAACATTGCAAAAAATGGTATCTTGCCAAGTGAAATAGTGTTAAATCTAGTCAAAATATCAAAAATGTCTCATTTTGAGAGATTGTTGTAACTTTATAATAAACATGCAAATGGTTATTTGCTGTTCATGGTCCTATATAGAACCTTACTAAAGAACCCTTGAAGAACCTTTTCTCGAAATAGTATGACTTTTTTTCTCAAACTATTACGACTTTATTCTCGAAATCTACTATTTTTATTTTCATTAACAGTGTCCCTAAAATGACGTCGTACAAAGCCACGCTGTTTTATCTACAGCAAGGATAATTTCTTAAAAAGGCAACTCGCCCAAAACAAACGTTCATAGTCATGATGGTTGACCAGCATCCAAAACACATCTGCAGTTTTTTTAGCAGGAACTCCCACTAAAACTGTCATTTTACTCAAAATGTCAGTTACTAAGAAAAACAAATGACCGGTTTACTTCCCAACAGCTTCCTTCTCCCCTGATAGCAAGAGGATAGTGGACCACGGTCGGCCCACTAATGGCAGAGCTGGCAGTTAAGCAGAGTAATAGGCAAAACTGCGCTTATCATCTCTCATTTTCCACTCAGTCAAATTTACTGATTTTTTTCCTTCCTTCTTATCTTTAGTTACACTTTAGTTTAGCAAGTAACTTTAATCCAGCACAGTGTCAACAACATTTTCTATAAAATCATTTTATTTTAGGCCTAGTCATATTTTTTTTTCTCTCAGTTGTTTGTAATATTTGTCTAAGTTTATTTTCTAAAATAAAAGTCTCTGTGCATTTAAAATCTGTTTGAGATTTAAAAACTAGCTACATCTTGTATGCAGGACAGTAATCTGGGTGGTCCGAGGGTGGACCAGCAGTGGCGAACAGTCAGTGGGGCACCGACCTTATCAAGCCAGCGAACCAATATATGCTGGGTCCTTTGGATGTTGTGTAAGATAAGCTGTGATTTTAACCCGCTTTGTACAGGAAGTGTTCTGCTAATGCTAACCCTGAAAGCTAAACCAAAGTTCCAGCATCTTTACCTCAGGATGCAGAAAACAGCTAGCCAGTTAGCTCAATGTCACCAACCGCCACTAAAGAGTTTTAATAAGTGCTTAGTTAGCCTTTTAGCTAACGCTATGTGCCATATTTTAGCTGGACAGCTGTTCGACTTAGCAAAAACAGTTTCCATGACTGTGCTAGCTGGGAAGCATCTGCACTGTATGTTTTAACCAGTATCATTAAGTTAAAATAATTAGTAAGAAGATGTTACAGGCACAGATGTTATTTCAGCTAGTCTGCTAAGAAGCAAGTTTGCTTTGGATGTAAGACAGGCAATAAATCTGTATAGTATATCTAATATCTGCAAGATAATCATAAGTTTAACATTAATTTCGTATCAAACTAGGTAACCTCTTAAGTCAACCATATTAGCTGCTTTAATTAATTATTAATAATTTTGTTAAATACGGAATGTGAAGGGGTTTATTTTCACAATACAATAAATTTAGTCTCAGCAACAGCACACAATAAGTGATTATGCACACAACTGGCAAAATATCATAGTACTTAACCATAAATTACCTTTATTAGAAGCTAGTTAAACCACAAAAATACTCAATTACAAAACTCATATTAAGCTTAACACCGACAATGGAAATACTGTATTTTGACAATGTTATCAGTTTTCTTTCTTAATGCATCTGTGGGTCTTTAACGTGTTTAAATGCCGAAAGTTCTGCCCACATTCTGAGCAGTAATATGGTTTCTCTCCGGTGTGAACGCGCTGGTGTCGTTGGAGGTGGCTCAGTACAGAAAACCTGTCCCCGCACTCTGAACAGCGATACGGTCTCTCTCCTGTGTGAACGCGCTGGTGTATTTTCAGAGTACCTAATTCAATAAACCTCTTCCCGCACTCTGAGCACTGATGCGGTTTCTCTCCGGTGTGAATGCGGCAATGGTTTCGGAAGTGACTCGGTGCAGCGAATCTCTTCCCACAATCCGGGCACTGATACGGCCTCTCTCCTGTGTGAATGCGCTGGTGAATTTTGAGATTATTCTGACGATGAAAACGTGACCCGCACTCTGAGCAGTCATACGGTTTCTCTCCTGTGTGGATGCTCTGGTGTTTTTGGAGATCACCATGTTGGGTAAATCTTTTGCCACATTCTGAGCACTGATACGGTCTCTCTCCTGTGTGAACGCGCCGGTGTATTTTCAGAGAGCCTAATTCAATAAACCTCTTCCCGCACTCTGAGCACTGATGCGGTTTCTCTCCGGTGTGAATGCGCCAGTGATTTCGGAAATGAGTTGGTGTGGCAAATTTCTTCCCGCACTCTGAACAGTGATACGGTTTCTCTCCGGTGTGAACGCGCTGATGTATTCGGAGACGGCTCTGTGCGGTAAAACTCTTTCCACATTCTGAACAGGCATATGGTTTCTCTCCGGTGTGAATGCGCTGGTGTATTTGGAGATAACTTCGCTGAGCGAAAGCCTTCCCGCACTCTGAGCACTGATACGGCTTCTCTCCAGTGTGAATGCGACGATGTATCTGGAGATTACTAGGTGCAGTAAAGCTCTTCCCGCAGTCTGAGCAGCGGTGAGTTCTCTTCTTTCCTCCACTTTCCTGCATGTGGTTCTGAGAAGGGTAAGGCTGGAGAAACCCAGAGGAAGTTTGCTCACCACTGGAGCTTCTTATGGATGCCATATTCTCACATGATCTTTGATTTCAGCGGTGTGATGAATTCCTCCCAGTGGTTTCTCCTGATGTGTTTGTGGAGGTCATTTAATACTGTGAAGGAATGTGGATGCCATGACCAAGAGGAGATCTGAACCAGGACACCATTCATTTCTGAAAGAGAAAAAATAACGAACAGACATTTGACAACATGACAAAACTACGAAAGTATTATTGGGACTGCCTCACATGAAAAAGGGTTCAGTTGATTTAAAACTAGGGACTAAAAGATTAACCAATTAACCATCATCCAAAAATAAACAATTGCTCAACCGATATTATTTTTCTTTTCCAATAAACAACAATTCCTATATGAAAAAGCAGGTTTATTATTGAGGTTCAGGCATAATAGCCAATCGTTTATGGCAGATATGTCCAGTAAAAAGTGAAGCATGCAGATAAAAATAGTGGGGTTTGAGATCTCGAAGACGACATCATCAGGGGGCAGCCATGGGAGGTTAGGGAGCCATCCCTGTGACCGGAAGGTCGCCGGTTCGATCCCCTGAGCCTACAGTACGTGACTGAAGTGTCCTTGAGCAAAACACCTAGCTCCCAACTGCTCCCCAGGCGCTGTGGATAAGGCTGCCCACCGCTCTGGGCAAGTGTGCTCACTGCCCCCCTAGTGTGTGTGTGGGTGCACGGATGGGTTGAACGCGGGTTAAATTTGGGCTACTAACTTTAGAATATAGAACTTTCAATAGATACAACAATATATATTGCAGCCAATTGTCAACTTTTCGTTCATATAATCATGGACATACAATTTATATCAAATTTGCCAAAATCTTCATCTCTGCAACCAGTATAACCTGGCATTTCACTGGGTCTGGAATCTCCAGTGACCACTTACGTTTGCATTTTGTGATTGGAGGAAAGGTACCGCCCACATTTATTACAACAGGGTCTCGCTGCATTTGATATCAGATAAAAATTTCCTACGAGTCCCAGTTAGTGTAAATGTACAAGCTAACAACTTATGAACAAACAAAAGAGGAAAAAGCTACACCAGCAGGTGCTTTCATATCAGCTGTGATGACACAGTTGATTAGGCGGCTCAATGCTGATGCATTGTGGGATGCTTAAGCGTACACACTGCAAATGTTACATCTGACTCCTCCTTCACACCTGGCGGTAACATACATGTTGGGTGATCCGATCATAAGTGGACAGCGCCAGGTTCAAATGTTACGTGGTCATATACACCAATCAGGCATAACATTATGACCATTTTATCAGCTCCACTTACTATATAGGTGCACTTTGTAGTTCTACAGTTACAGACTGTAGTCCATCTGTTTCTCTGCATACTTTGTTAGCCCCCTTTTAACCTGTTCTTCAGTGGTCAGGACCCCCTTGGACCCTCACAGAGCAGGTACACTTTGGGTGGTGGATCATTCTCAACATTGCAGTAACACTGACGTGCTGGTGGTGTGTTAGTGTTTGTTGCGCTGGTCTGAGTGGATCAGACACAGCAGTGCTGCCAGAGAGCACACGTCAACGTGACATTTTTCCTGAAAATTTGACCCTGCTGAAAGAAATCACAGAAGCCATTGAAAGTTCCTGCTGGTGTCCAATAGTCTAATAGGACTCTAATGGTTTAACAGGTGTTCTGATTCCAGATGCATTTATCGGTTTCCTAATGGGATCTAAAGGTGTCCTACAGGAAACTAGTGGTCTGTAATTGATTCAATTATCATTAGAAAGCAACACCATGAGGTTTTAATCCTAATGGATCTAAAGGTCTTGCTTCAGCAGGGTTGTACACAAATTTTGTGTGTTTGCTGAGTTTAAATTACTGAAAAAAATAAAACAAAATATCAAAACATGCCAGTTCTATCTTTTTGTGCAGTGTGTAAATGAACAGAATAATTGTGTATTAAAGTGTGCAGTAGTGTGTCTCTGTAGAGGACGTGTGACTTATTTACACTCCGAAAATCAACATGGGATTAGATTAGGGGTGCACAAACTTTATCCGGTTCACTGTTAACGGTGAGTGTCTGTAACATCTGTTCTGCATTTATCATGACGAACATTTGCTCTCATTCATTCTTTAGTAAAGGGAATGCTTCTATTTAGAACCTTGAGTTCTATATAGAACCATTTCATGCTTAAATGGTTCTTCAGATAGATGGAGAATGTGTTGTACATGGTTCTATATAGCACCAAAGGTGGTTCTTCCCTTTTTAATGCTATATAGAACCTTTTACAACACATTCTTCATCCGAGAAACCATTTCACCATGCAAAGAACCATTTAAGCATGACATGGTTCTATCTGGAACTCGTGGCCTACATGCGGCTCACACGACTACTTACAAAAGGTGGTCCTTTTAAGGGCTCTGTAGTAAAGCCAATGGTTCTATATATAGTACCATGAATACTAAAAGAAACATTTGTATGCTTAAATGGTTCCTTGCAGGGTGAAATGATTCTTCAGACCAATGGAAGGGTTCTCTATGGTGCTATTTTTACATAGCACCAAAAAGGGTTCTTCTATTAGTATAAGCTTGCCATCGTAACAATAGCAGAACCCTTTCTGGTGCTATATGGAACCATTTTCCAAAAAGTTCTTTATAGAACCATCTACAACACATTCGCCATCAATCTTAAGAACCATCTCACCATGCAAAATTAAGCATAAAACGGTTCTATCTGGAAGTAATGGATCCAGATAGAACCAGTGCCTTTCTTAAAGAACCCTTGTAGAACCATCTTTAAGCGTGTAGAGTCGTAGGCCATGCTTGCATTACATTCATTAACATTTAACTAATATTTTTAGGAGCGCTAGGTTTGCAAACCATCTCAGAAAACATGATGATCTGAAAATACAGCTCAGTTTCTGTGGCTCAGATCATCTTCAAAAGCAGGTCATGTGTCCGATCAGTTCTCTGAGGATCGATTAAAAACACAGTGAGCAGTGTTGAAGAGCTCATTACCTTCAGATCTGGTCCTGCCTCTGATCTTCTTCTTTACTTTAAAGAACCAGTCACAGAAATAGCGCCCCCACCTGGACTACAGGGGCTTTACACTGAACGACGTTACATTAAACCCACCCGTTTTCGGACAAACCCGCCCTCAATGACCAGGTGGTAGGTCAGCAATCCGCTGATTGGCCAGTTATTTAATAACAATTTCAATGGAATATAAATACCATTCTTAAAATGAAATAAAGATCACTCTTACAAAGGTGGTTCTTCAAGGGTTCTTTAATACAGACAATGATTCTAATTCTCATGCTTGAAAGGTTCTTTGCATAGTGAAATGGTTCTTCAGACTGATGGAGAATGTGTTGTATATGGTTCTGTATAAAACTTTTTTAAAAGGGTTCTTGTAACAACAGAAGAACCTTTTTCGGTACTATATAGAACTCTTAAAAAAGGTTCTATACAGAACCATATGCAATATATTCATCCATCTGAAGACTGATTTCACCAAGCAAAGAACACTGAGCCTGCAAATGGATCTTTGAGTGTTCATGGTTCTATGCAGAATCACTGCCTTTACTAAATAACCCTTGACGAAACGTCGTTTTTTTAAAGAGTGTAGAACAACGTGAAAGGTTCTAGTACTAGAGCTGATCCATCTCTGGTTTGGAAGTTTATTTTCAGCTTTTCCTCTTTCACTTCTGCTGTCTGTCCTACACACAGAAACAAATGTGCCACCGTTACGGGCCATGACGACGATTAACACAATATTTTGACATTATTTGCAGTTAAAAGGAGACTGACCACTGCTGACCAGTGACCAGGATACTGAGTGATAGCTGTTAGTTGGTGCAGTGTAGTGCTGTCCACCCATCGTGCTGTAGACTGGAATGGGGGGGCGTCCTGCACTACAACAATAAGAGTCCTTGGGCTAGACTCCTAACACCACCTTCACCTGCTGCGACCTGTAAAACGATTAGACTGTAAGTCGCTCTGCATAAGCACATCAACTGTAGCCCCATGACACAGTGCTAAGCTACACTTAAAGATGGTTCTTCAAGGGTTCTTTAATAGACGGATTCTAAAATGACCAAAGAACCATTTAAGCATGCGTATGATTCTTTGATGGAGAATGTGCTGTATATGGCTCTATATATGAAACCTTTTCATAAAGATTCTATATAAAACCACATACAATCAATACGAAGAACCATTTCACCAGGCAAAGAACCATTTAAGCACCCAAATGTTTTTGAGTGTTCATGGTTCTACACAGAGCCACTGTCTTTACTAAATAACTTTTTAAAAGTTACGCTACAACTGTTGTTGCTTCTGTTGAGTATAAACTTCAGCTATCACCTACAGATGTGTTTGTTAGCTAATGATTAGCCTGTGAGGTTCGTCCTGTGACAATAAAGCTTAAAAGTTATAAATTACTGACTTTGTTGACTGTTTAAACTCTGCATATGAACCTAAAGCTCCAGTCAGGCCACAAACACTGGTTAATACGGGTTATTAATCTTTGGTAAATCTAAGTAAATAAACTATATCGTGTCACTAGCAAATCTGTTACGTTAGGCTGCTTTTTCATTCAATATAACCTTGTTTATATAAAATGCAGAGCTGTGTTTGATGTGCTTATGGGTCGTGTCCATGATACTGATTTTTCATTACTGACTAATAACAGAACAAAAGAATTAGCCTAGAATTTGCACCCCTAATGGCCACCATTAAGGTAACGTTCCTCTGTCTGTTGCTTAGTAATTAGATACTTGCCATGCACCTTGGTATATTCAGTTGATGTACTGATCTACAATGTTCATTAGAAATTATGAGTGCATTGTGGATGTCTAGCATCCTTAAAATGACTCTGGAATTACATTTTTACAATTTGGACAGAAAGAGAAATATAGCTGACATATTAAATGGTACTTTAATATGCAAACAGGAGCCCGTTTTAGTTCAAACGTTGATTCTTAGCCCACAAAATACCTTCATCAGAAGGTAGTTACACCACAAAGACATGGTAAAACCTAAAAATGAAAACGGAAATAGCATTCACTGCTATTAAAAGAGACACAACTTTCACACAAGTTGTTTTATTAACCAGCTTTTGTTGGTTCCAGCTATGTTATACATAAGCAGGGTTTTCTCCAGAGGTGGGAACAAGTCACCAAGTTGCAAGTAACAAGTAAGTCTTGACACAAGTCCAGAGTCAAGTGCCAAGTTAAGATAGTCGAGTCTCGATTCACGTCCCAAGTCAGTACAGGTGAGTCTCAAGTCGAGTCCCAAGTCACTATTCCTAATCTTCGAGTCCTAAACAAGTCAATCTAGATTCTTTAGCTAATTTTAGGCCACAACACCAAATAATGGTAACAGTACTGTAGCATTTTAATGGCAGCACGTTAGTAGTGTATGGCTGTAGATCATTTTTTTTCCCCTTCCAACTGAAACACAAAATTCATGGTACACAGATAACCATGAGAGGCGTACTGTATATATACAGAACAGTGCAACTACATATGAAAAGAATTTTAAACATTTAAACAATGGGCGATTAAAATAAAAACTAGCTCAGCCAACTAAAAACAACCACTAGTCTGAATTAAATTTAGACAACAGGAGAAACCAAAACGCCCAAGCTGAACAAAGTTTACAGAAAAGACAGTAAAATGATAGTGAATGTACAAAGCTGACGTTGACTTTTTTTGCCAGCAGCTTCTTATTTGAATTTTCTGTTCCACCTTAAATGGCGCAGCACTTACGTTCCGGCGTCTCTCTGCTGCGCCATTTAAGGTAGAACAGAAAATTCAAATACAAAGCTGGCGTATAACAAGTCAACTTCAGCTTTGTGATGAATGTTGTGCTTATTTTACCTGCAGAACCTGTTAAAATCGGTCAAACAGAGAGAGCTGTGTCTCAGTTGTTTTGCTATCATGAGGAAAATGGTCAGTTCGTCTGGTGAGTTCCACTAGTAAGAGTTTAAGGCCCTATTTATGGCACCCGGGAAACAGTTGGGGGTTAGCTGCCTTGCTCAAGGGCATTTCAGTTATTTCCTGTCGGCTCAAGGGATGAAACCAGCGACCTTCCAGTTACAAGGCTGGTTCCCTAACCTCCAGCCCACAACTGCCCCCGCATTGATGACGTTGATGCTTCACTTGTTTCCAGCTTATGGAGGCGAACTTCACTTGTCTTCCGAAATAAAATAAACCAAGCATAAACACAGTGACAGACACCTGATGACGTTACCATATATCAGGTTTACGACAGGAAACGAATCCATTCACATGAAATTAACCGACTGTGTAGCAGTCTGCAGTCAGACTCTCCACGTTTCTTACACTTTCGGTCTTGAGTCTTTCCGAGTCTTAAGGCTGAAGTCCAAGTCACTGGTGTTGAAGTCAAAGTGGAGTCACAAGTCTTTCTCAATTTTCTTGAATCAAGAGCCAAGTCATCAAATTTGTGATTTAAGTCGGACTCGAGTTCACACCTCTGTTTTTCTCTAACAGTTTGCTTTAGCCTCACCTCTTACGTCTTACTCTCTCGGCTGTCAGTGCTAGACTGATATCCATTCTTTCTGATCTACATCAACACAGCCTGCCAACAATTAAATGCGGTTGAATATTTAACCTAAAATTAACATGTCAACATCATTACTTGAACACACGGCAGTAGATCTGTGCCTCTTTAAAGTACTCGAATGCCTGAAGCTCTTGCCGCACTCAGAACAGTGATACGGTTTTTCTCCGGTGTGAATAAGCCGGTGTCGTTGGAGACCACCCATCTGTGTAAAACCTTTCCCACACACCGGACAGTGATACCGCTTTTCCCCCGTAGTGCACTCATGTTCATTTAAAGTACTCGTATGCCTGAAGCTCCGTCCACACTCCGAGCAGAAGTACGGTTTTTCTCCAGTGTGAATGCGCTGGTGTCGTCGGAGATGACCCAGCACAGTAAAATTCTTCCCACAGTCCGAACAGGAATACGGTCTCTCTCCAGTGTGAACGCGCTGGTGTGCTAGAAGAGGACCTACTTCATTAAACCTCTTCCCACATTCCGAGCACTGATGCGGTTTCTCTCCAGTGTGAATGCGCTGGTGTGTTTGGAGGTGACCCAGCTGATTAAAACTCTTTCCACACTCTGAGCACTGATGCGGTTTCTCTCCAGTGTGAATGCGCTGGTGTGTTTGGAGAATGTGCCGATGAGTGAAACTCTTCCCACACTCCGAACAGCGATGCGGTTTCTCTCCGGTGTGAACATTCTGGTGAACTTGAAGATGATGCTGTCGATTAAAACTCCTTCCACACACTGTGCACTGATACGGTTTCTCTCCTGTATGAATGCGACGATGTGTTTGGAGGCTACTCGGCGCAGAAAAGTTCTTCCCGCATTCCGGGCACTGATACGGTTTCTCTCCTGTGTGAACGCGCTGGTGTAGCTGTAGGGTAGATGGTTTAGGGAAACTCTTCCCGCAGTCTGAGCAGCGATGAGTTCTCTTCTTTTCTGAACTTTCCTGCAGATGGCTGTGGGGTGTGTTAGTGTGGTGAGGGCCAGGCGTTGTTTCTTGAGTGCTGGAGCTTCTTATGGATTCCATAATCTCACAGTTTATCACTGCGATGCATTTCCTGTGTTTGTAAAGGTAAATTTAACCTGCGCAGGTAAATGGACACTATGAGCAGATGATGACATGGAACAGGACACCATTGGTTTCTGTAGGAGAAAACAAAAAATGCAGTTTGACAGTGCAATAAGATGATTGTATGTTTCCAACAGAAGGATTTTCTGCAATAAAATCCTCTTTTTTGGCCCCCCCAACCCCCTAGAGTCACTGGTCACTAGCAGGTCATGATTTCGAGACCGCTGGCTTAGCAATTCTCAATCAGCCAAGAGGTTTACAAAACATTTTTTGCAACATACATTGTTAATTGTTTGTGTGATGTTGTGCGGATATGACTGTGTGGTAGATGAAGCACAGATAACTTGTTGGTGTGATTGTTTTTTCTCCGGTTTTATATTACGTTTATTTCATTTAATAGCCTATACATAAGATCTTAACTTAGTAGTTATATTCAGTTATTCACAATGATAGTTAGTAATTAGCTGAGTAATAATTGTCGTTACATTTTCCTTAATCCATGTAGATATTCCCAATAGATTAGCACCTTTTTATACAAATTGAAGTCAGCTTCGTATTCCACCTTAAATGATGCAGACTGAGGCGCAAAAATGTAAGTGCTGCACCACTTAAGTTGGAACGGGAAAATTCAAACAAGCTGGAGATCAGAAAGTCAACTTCAGCCTCGTCCTTCTTGGTGTGTTTTGGGAGTCTAACGCATTTTTATGAGCATAAAGATTAGAAGTGATTCACACTGATGGATTTGCTAATGTGTGTGTGATTGTGTTTCTACTGGAACTCTGAATATGAAAACTATTACTGCTGCTAAACAGCAACATCACAGTTATTAAATAGAAATAAAAGCTGTCGAGAACAGTCCATGCAGCCTAGATTAATCTATGTCTGAAGATTATAACAAAACTAATTTGGTGAAAATCAGTTGAGTAATAAGAATGTTATTCATGATGATCTCCATGGACAATCCACATTGTATCTGCACCACAAACAGACTCACTCTGATCTTACTGTAACTGCAATCTAGCATTTCTATACCTACATATATAGACATGCTTTACATCTTTCATCATTATCTTGTATAACCTGGAATATATATGTCAATATTCTATCCCCTGTGTACCCTGCATTTCATTTATACACCTCAGACTCAGTAATTGCATATATGGAAATGTGTACGACTGTACATATCATAGCTTTTATTTCATTATCTATATAATTGTACATTGGGTTGGTGCAACACTGGTGTATATTAATATGCATCTTTAGAGCCTAATGTGTATTTTTTTTTTAAATATACCTTTTATTTATTTTTGTATTTAAGTACTACAAGGGGGTTACGCACCTAAGATTTTCACTCACCTTCGCACCTGTGTAAATGTGAGGTGACAAACGTGGTTTGATTAGATTATGATCAATTTAACCAAGCAGCAATAAAAGCTATTTAGAGCAGTCCATGTCTAAAGATTATAACAAAACAAATTTGGTGAAAATCGGTTGAGTAATAAGGAAGGTATGGCCGATTTGATCATGAGAACCAATCAGATCTCAGTACAGGGTATTTGTTTACAAGCGGATCTTGACCGCTCCAACATGGCGGACGCGCAGACGTATCGCCTCAGACGGAGAACAACAGAGAACGGGGCGTCTATATTCGCATGTTTATGGTTTATACAGTCAGTTAACAGAACCGTTCCAGCTTCCATCGAGGTAAACAGGCTAACTGACATTAGCCAGCACTGCTACAGTGCAGACAGAGCGCTTTCTCAGCAGAGTTTTTAGCTAATTAGCATTACAGCTTCAAACGGGAGTTAAAACACGCAGAAACAAAGACACAGAAACAAAGACACATCATGAAGGAGGAGGATGGATTACACAAACACAGTTTAGAGACTAAACACCTCGTTTCCGCTCCAGTTTAGCGGCTCAATCTGCAGCTTTTCTCTTCCACCTCACATCTCACCAGCGTTCGCGCCAGGAGCGACTCGGCCTCGCGAGATTCACGCGCTTTACAAAAGAAGAGCGGTGGCAAAATACGAGTCCCTCATCAGTAGAGGATCTCACACGGAAATGTTCTACAGATGAACTAGAACCATGTTTATTTAAAAGGTGTACAGCTCCTGATTCTCTTATAGATTTATTATTATTATTATTATTATTATTATTATTATTATTATTATAATTACGTATAATATTATTGTTACATTTCTTTCTCTTCATCTAAGAAAACACCATCAGCTGAAAACAGGAGCTCACAAACGGCGTACGTCATCTTCAGAAGGTGATCACTTATCTAAGTATCGATTAAAACAGTGCTGTAAAGATCTGCTCCTGTTTCTCTCTCCACTTTGAGAGTGTGGAAGGTTGGACTGCAGATCAGGATCACCATCCACTGGGTTAATTTTGTGCCAAAAGTTTCAAATAAAATACCAAAATTCACAAGCAAAATGTCAAGTATCAGAATGACCAAAATATGTTGCAAATACAAGTAATGAGAGTTAGATAAAACTTAATTTTTCAAATAGATTACTACTCACTTTCTCTCATTCTGATATAAATTTATTACTCATTTTGCCTGTTTTTGCTTTAATCTTTTTCTATTTGCTGATACATTTGTTGCTTCTGGAGTTGCTCTTTTGCTTCTGAGACATCATAGAGAGGAGAACCATGCTGTACTGTCTTCCAGGTTTCTTAAATGCTAGAGGGCGCTCCCGAGTGAGTCCAAAATGAATGGGTTAATATGGAGCATTTGAGCAAAATCATAGTTTATAAATGCTGAAACATTTTTAATATAAAAGAATACATTTATTTCCTGAACACAGAACAGCATAAACATTTTAACACCGCTGCTGAACTGTGCTTTTGAACTGGAGTAGCCAGTAAGCTGCTCCGCCCACCTACCAATCAGCACTCAGTAGCAGTAATGCTAACCAATCAGCATTCAGTATCAGTAGCGTTAACGTCCTGCTGCCCAAAACCTGTTTGCCATAGAAAAACTGAAACATACAGGTAAGTTTTCTTTGCTTTGTTAGTGTAATACATATTTCTACTTTCCAAAATTAAAGTTCTGGACAAGAGGTTAGAAACTATTTAAACTTTTTGGCCATTTAGCTCTTTTCTGCCTCATTCATTTAGGACTTGCTCGCAGGCGCCCTCTGCTGTTTTGCATTCATGTTTTTTTTTAAATAACGAGGGAAATAGGATTACCTGCTGAACTGACAACACACCCCTCTACAAACCAATCAGTGTCAAGTATTGCTAGACCCAGCACATGTAGGTGATGACAACAGGACGTAGGTGTGTGAAGTTCTTTAATGTCCTTCGTAAATTGCAATGTATACAATGTAACAAAACATGAACCTTGGTGCAGACCTTGGTCAAGACTGTCAGGTGTGAAAACACCCTTAGTCAGTTAGAAGTGAGGGTATCTGTTGGTACCTCTGAGGTACAGGTGGTTAGGAGAGAGTGTATCTGTTGGTACCTCTGAGGTACAGGTGGTTAGGAGAGAGGGTTTCTGTTGGTACCTCTGAGGTACAGGTGGTTAGGAGAGAGGGTTTCTGTTGGTACCTCTGAGGTACAGGTGGTTAGGAGAGAGGGTATCTGTTGGCTCCTTTTAATGTTCATTTGGCAAGCATTAAAGTTATCTATTGGGCCACTCCAACGTATATTCAACTAAGAGTTAGGATATCTGTTGGGCTCCTCTGTGATACATTCAGTTAGGAGTGGCGATATCCCTCGAATGTACACTCAGCGTATCTATTGGCTCTCTCTATTGTACGTTTTCTCGTTTAGTAGACAGGATAACCGCTGGGTCCCTCTGATGAATGGGCAGTGAGGTGGGACAATATCTGCCAGTTCCCCCTTTGATGTACAGTTGGCTGGGGAGATAACATGTTGGTACTGTACAGAGTTACAGTCAAATAAGAGAGAAGATCTGTTGGGTCCCTCTAATGTTTAGTTGGTCAGATAAGAGACACCTACAATGGCTTGCATCACATTGAGGAACAGGGGCAGAGTGAAGGGAATCCTTCCAACCCAGAGGGAGCAGATCCAGTTATGCTTTCCTGAACTGCAGGACACAGAGGGCTGGGGCCTCACTGAAGATCGACATTGCAATGTCTCTGATGCTAGAAAGAACACGTACAGAGTTGCACTTCTTGGTGACCCCAAAAATCTGGTGATGAAATTCATGTTTCATCAGTTTTCGCCTCCCTCTTAGTGCACTTGTGCGTCTTTAAAGTATTCGAATGCCTGAAGTTTTTCCCACAGTCTGAGCAGTAATACGGTTTCTCACCGGTGTGAATGCGCTGGTGCGTTTGGAGGTGACTCTGTAGAGTAAAACTCTTCCCGCATTCAGAGCACTGATATGGTTTCTCTCCGGTGTGAACAGGCTGGTGTTTTTTGAGAGTGCCGCTGTTTCTGAAGCTCTTCCCGCACTCCGTGCAGTAATACGGTTTCTCTCCCGTGTGAATGCGCCGGTGTGTTTTGAGAGTACCTATGTTTCTAAAACTCTTCCCGCACTCTGAGCACTGACATGGTTTCTCTCCTGTGTGAATCAGCTGGTGTGTTTTCAGGGTACTTGTGTTTCTGAAACTCTTCCCACACTTGGAGCAGTAATACGGTTTCTCTCCGGTGTGAATGCGCAGGTGTTTTTGGAGATGGCTCTGTCGATTAAAACTCTTCCTGCACTCCGAGCAGTAATACGGTTTCTCTCCTGTGTGGATGCGTTGGTGCACTTGGAGACTACTGTGTCTTGTAAAACTCTTCCCGCACTCTGAGCAGGGATGACGCTGCTTCTTTCTAGCATTATTCAGACAGTGAGATGTGCCAGTGCGGAGAGCACCAGGTGACTGTTGTGGAGAACTGGAGCTTCTTCTGGACGCCATACTCTCACATTCAATCTCTCCTCAGTTCAGCAGCGTGGTGTGACTCTCTTCGTGGCATCTCTTGATGCGTTAGTGGAGGTAAACATGAACTGTGGAGAAACGTGGGCACCAGGAGCAGGAGAAGACTTTGAAAAGGATGTTTCTGGGGGAGAAAATGGGAGAAAAAGAGTGAAATGCAACCGAAGTGTGACATCAAACTAAGGAAGACGTACTATTAAAATAGTACAGTGTATGTTCAGAAAAGCTTTAGATCAAATAATCTAAGTCTGTAATCAGACTGCAGGCAAATCAGATTCTAAGGTCAAATCAGATCTTTTAAGACGACTGTCCGCACCATTATGCACATGATCAGATTTCTTTTTCATCACTAGTCTATCTGCATGGGTTGCCATGGTAACGACGTAGGCATCAGTAACTGTAGCTATGCTGGTGATGTGGATGCAGAAGAGATGGAGGAGCATCATCTCACCCTCCAAACTCTTCAGAATTCTCTTCATAATCATGAATCTTTTACATCATTTTTGTTTGTTGTGTTGCGAGTGATGCAAAAGACGCTTTGAAATCCGATTTGAGCATCCAGAGCGTCCAGACTGAGACATCTATAAAAATCTGATTGGAGTCGCATTTCGAACCTCCTCCAAATGTGGTTTGGATCTGAAGTGGGATTTTGTGTTTTTTGCTGTTCAGACCATCAAAAATCCGGATATGCCAAAAATCAGATTTGGGCTGGCAGTCTGAACAAGACCTAAAATGTGCTGGACACCAGGCTTTCAGGACCTGAGCTGGACATCCCTTCAGTCCACTCCTCCTGGATGAAGGCTTTATCATTGAGGTTTAACTGATTGGCGCTGTAATACATGCGTCTTCAACTCCGGTCCTGGAGGAGTAGAGTCCAGCAGTTTTCATGTGGGTTTTTCACTGTTCAGACTATTAAATCAATATGGACACAATCTGGATTTGCCAAAAATCAGATTTGAGCTGGCAGTCTAAACAAGGCCTTAGCAGCTCACATTTTACAAAATAACCCCACCAAAATCATACAGAGAAGAAAACAGATTCACCAGTAATTCACAGAGGGTCAGCAGAATTTCATATCAAGAAGACAGACTTTATCAATCTGGTTAAAATGCAGGTAAATTAGTTAAAGAGTTTGACTAAAGCACCAGTGGGTCTTGTTGGGATCGGTTAAATATTTAAAGTCCCAGAAAACAGTAAAAAGTAAAAAATTAAAATTAAGTAAAATATTAAAAATGTTTGTATGACACTAAAGTTCAGTGTTATAATAAACATCCAGCAAAACTTAAATAAAAAGGAAGATATAAAAATGATAAAATACAGCCTAAAACCACTGATCAGCCCTATCTGAGAACTTTGTGGGCGTGGCTAATGAGCAGCTTGATTGGCAGCTCTCTGTCCAGCATTCCTTGGATGGTTGGATGAAGCAGCGCATGAATGAAGGAACAGCCGAGTGAACAATGTTGGTGTTGGTAAACAAGTAAACAGGCAACAGGCAGCTACAGACAGGTGGGCTTGCTTGCTATCTTTTGGTTAGGCTGATTTAGCTTTAGCCCGCTAAGCTTCTCTGACTCTGAAACTGTTCTGTGTGGGCGGGGCAAGAGACCAAAGATTAGGACCGCCCAGTTTACACTGAGAGGAGAGAAATATAGTGAAATATATTGGTCATTTATTGGTCAGTGGAACATCATTCAAAGGGTAAACTTAGTACATATTCATTGTTTGCCTACAAGAACAAGATTAACCTGATTGGAAAGAAAACACAGATTTGGGTTCCCTGGTTCTTTAAGGCTCTAATACACATTCCCATCATGGACTATTCACACTCCTCCTCTCAGGGACTGGTCATGGTCTCGTGAGTCACCTCACACTCCAATACTAAAGCATAAAACAGAAGATGAAACCGTTTAATTACACTAAAAGGTTTTTATTTGCTTGGAAAACAAACAAAATGAGCCTTGTTAATGTGTTAATGTGTAATATACTGTTGAGTCTGCCAAGCTACGATCTGACCTTAGATTTTACAGCCAAGATTTGATTTTGTATAAAACAACAACAAAATCCTATTATTGTATATTATTGATTAGAATGTATAACTTCAGGTGCCTAACAACAGATAACAATTCTTCACTTTATTTATTTAGTCGTTTGTACATATTCAGTGTTTTTTTGTTTAATTAATGTTTCTATCTGCAGGACATGGTGCCAAGTATTTAGGCCACCCTCTTAACCCCCTCAACTACCTTGCTCCACACCCAAGAGCACCTGGCAGTCAGAGGCCCTTGAGCTCCATGAGCCCCAGTGGCCTGGTCAGTATGCTGTTGGGAGAGTGACACATTAATCAGCTTCCAGAAGAGTTCTGCCCACCACGCTCCTAAAGCTCTCATCACCCGGAGTAGAAAACTGTGAGTGCCGCTCCTCCCAGCTCTTAATCTGCCAGCTATCACCACTCTGCTGTTTACCCAACACACATGTACTCCCTTGGGCAAGTGAGGAAACCCCCCCCCCACCTCCCCACCTGGCACCACTAAGACTGTCATTGACTGTCAGATGGAATCATTATGACATAAGTTGACGACTTAATTTATTTTTCAAAAAATTAACATATGGAATGTACTTAGTGTAAGTTTTATTTTTTTTTCAAACATTTTGACATTTGAATGACACGTTCTGCAAAACCTACACTCTTAAAAAAGATGGTTCTTCAAGGGTTCTATAGTAAAGACAATGGTTCTACATAGATAGTATTTAAAGAGCCATGTGCATGATTACATGGTTCTTTCCATCATGAAAGCGTTCTTCAGATTGATGCAGAATGTGTTGTAGATGGTTCTATACAGCCCCAAAAAGGGTTCCGCTGTCGTTACAAGCCAAAGAAACCTTTTTTGCTAAGAGTGTAGTTGACAAATTGATGCTGTGAAAACAAAGTTATTAATTTTATGCATCATCATCATAATCATCTTCCTCCTGTTCATGCTCATCTCCTGCATGGACATGGCTTAGCTTTACAGTAATGAGCACTGTTCTTCTTCTTTAGGAGCATTTTCCCAGTATTTTCTCCAGTTACTGCACATTTTATATGCAACATGCAAATAAAGGACCTCTTGATACAGTTTAACATCACAATGAAACACTTAATGATGATCAAACATAAAAGAACAAGAAGCAAAATGATGATTCTACTACATTAATGATGTAAGTGTGAACACAGGACAGCTCTGACTCTTTTCCAGGGGGAATATCTTCCTAACCTTGTCTCTTAGGATCAATAATGACTCAGTGTATGAGTGCGGGAGGTGTAGAAGATCCTCACCTTCAGCAGCTCCTGCTCCTCCAGCAGCTCTGTGGAAGCTGGCGCTGATCTTCTTCTCTGCTTTATAGCAGTGGGTGAACCACAGCGCCTCCACATGGGCTGCAGGAGGACTCACACTGGAACCATGTGATCTATGGTGCGTCTGGGGTGCAGTTATTGCGCACTCTGGCAACATGAAATGTAATCAAAGTAAAAATATGGGTGCTGAGTAACAATATTCTTCAATTACAAGTGAAGATATGCAACCAAAAATATGACATGTATTTACATTTAAACACACAATATAAAGCAAAAAGTCAGAAAAGTCCATTATATCAGCTCCACTTACTATATAGGTGCACCTTGTAGTTCTACAGTTACAGACTGTAGTCCATCTGTTTCTCTGCATACTTTGTTAGCCCCCTTTTACCCTGTTCTTCAGTGGTCAGGACCCCCATGGACCCTCACAGAGCAGGTACTATTTGGGTGGTGGGTCATTCTCAGCACTGCAGTCACACTGACGTGGTGGTGGTGTGTTAGTGTGTGTTGTGCTGGTCTGAGTGGATCAGACACAGCAGTGCTGCTGGAGTTTTTAAACACTGTGTCCACTCACTGTCCACTCTACTAGACACTCCTACCTTGTCAGTCCACCTTGTAGATGTAAAGTCAGAGACGATAGCTGATCTGCTGCTGCACAGTTTGTGTTGGTCATCCTCTAGTCCTTCATCAGTGGTCACAGGACGCTGCCCACAGGACGCTGCTGGCTGGACATTTTTGATTGGTGGACTATTCTCAGTCCAGCAGTGACACTGAGGTGTTTAAAAACTCCAGCACCACTGCTGTGTCTGATCCACTCGTACCAGCACAACACACACTAACACCACCACCACCACGTCAGTGTTACTGCAGTGCTGAGAATGATCCACCACCCAAATAGTACCTGCTCTGTGAGGGTCCATGGGGGTCCTGACCACTGAAGAACAGGGTAAAAGGGGGCTAACAAAGTATCAGAGAAACAGATGGACTACAGTCTGTAACTGTAGAACTACAAAGTGCACCTATATAGTAAGTGGAGCTGATAAAATGGACAATGAGCGTAGAAACAAGGAGGTGGTCGAAACGTTATGCCTGATCTGTGTATATATACATATATAAATCAAGCATGCAAATGGTTCTTTGAGTGTCCATGATTCTGTACAGAAACATGTCTTTACTAAAGAACCCTTGAAGAACTATCTTTTTAAAAATGTAGGAGGAAGGATAGATCTTTTTGGTGCCTCAGAGGTACAACCAGTTAGGAGACATCGGGGATCTCTATTGTTACAAATATAATCCGGGAGTGATATTTATTTGTGCACTGGAGCAACAATTTACACAAATTTGTAAGAATATAGTTTAACTGACAATTTAGAAAAATCAGTCGACTTGAATAGAAATCAAATACTGTGTTTTGATTCGACAGTATGATTCTATGGTACACTTAAACAGCTCCTGTCCCAACTTTTTTGGAACGTGGCATCAATTTCAATTTTATCAATTTTAGAATGAGTGTATATTTACAAAAAACAATGAAGTTAAAACATTAATCACACAATCATACAAATATAAATCGCATGACTTAAAATAGTAACAATAGCATCAATCAGAAACTTTATAAAAAGGTTACATCACTGATGTTCAGAGGTGAGCAATAACTAATTACATTTACTCAGGTACATTGCTGCTGTCGGAACACAACCTCGTATCTCCAAAATGGTAACTTTACAGGAGACAGAAAAAAACTAATTTTTTCATGTTAAAGTAAGTTAATGTAAGTTTACTTTTGTGTTAATTTTATTCTGCTTTGTTGGCGCCAGCATCTATTGGTCACAGCTCTGACTTTGGAGCTTTAGCATTTTATTTTAGGCCAAAATAATCTAAAAAAACACAAAAAAGAGCCAAACAAACTTCTATTTCCGTGCTGAAAGATGCTGGATTTACTAAGAAACTCCGCTGCAGTTCTGTACGTTACTCAGTACTTAAGTAGTTTTATGACCTGCTATTTTTGGACTTTTACTCAAGTCTCATTATTTTACCCAAGTATCAATACTTTCACTTGAGCATTGTTTATCCTACTAGACCCACCTCTGTTAATGTTTTCAATTAAAATCAGGTGTCATGAGTATTTCATCATCCTCTCAGAGCACTTATGTCTCCTAAAAGTACTCAGATGTCTGAAGCTCCGCCCACACTCTGAGCAGTAATGCGGTTTCTCTCCGGTGTGAATGAGCTGGTGTGTTTGCAGAGAACTTTTCAGGGTGAACCTCTTTCCACACTCTGAGCAGTGATACGGTTTCTGTCCTGTGTGAACGCGCTGGTGTTTCCTGAAGGTGGCGCTGTCTCTAAAATTCCTCCCACAGTCAGAGCAGTAATACGGTTTCTCTCCGGTGTGAACACGCTGGTGTTGTCTTAGATGGCTCTGTACAGTAAAACTCCTGCCGCAGTCTGAACAGCGATACGGTTTCTCTCCCGTGTGAAGGCGCTGGTGTCGTTGGAGACTGTTCTGCAGAGTGAAGCTCTTCCCGCACTCCCAGCAGTGATACGGTTTCTCTCCTGTGTGAACGCGCTGATGTTTCTTGAGGGTTCCACCATCTCTAAAGCTCCTCCCGCACTCTGAGCAGCGATACGGTTTCTCTCCGGTGTGAATGCGCTGGTGTTTTTTGAAGGTTCCACTGTCTCTAAAACTGTTCCCACACTCCAAGCAGTGAAACGGTTTCTCTCCGGTGTGAATGCGCTGGTGTACCTGGAGATAACTGTGATGGTGAAAACTCTTCCCGCAATCTGAGCAGCGGTGAAGTCTCTTCTTTACTGTGTTCGGCGTTCTTCTGGGAGATGTAAGAGCACCAGAGGATGTTTGCTGAGCAGCCGAGCTTCTTCTTAATGCCATATTACCATCAAGCCTTGTACAGTTCCTCTCTTTGTGGCATCTCCTGGTGTGTTTGTGGAGGTGACTTTAAACAGGGTGGATTCTAGAAGCAGATTTTCCAGAAAACGTCATTGATGTCTGGATGAAAAAAGGAAAACATTTCAAACTGACAATTAATATCATTTGAATAGCTCAGTAATTTAAAAAAAATTCCAGTCAAGTGATTTAATGGGCCCTCTCCTCAGCTATGGACCAGACCCAATTTAGATGTATCCTGGGACATGCTTGCGAACTGCTGGAGGCAAAGGAGATTTAACCTGCCCCCCAGCTCCTCAACAGTTTCTACAGCTCCACAGTGGAGAGTGCACTGATCAGAGGCATCACTGCCTGCTTTTGCCACTGCACTGCACCCCAGAGATAGATAGATGGATAGATGGATGGATGGACGGACAGATAGATAGACAGATAGATAGGAGCTCCAGAGGAGGGTAGGGACTGCTCAGTTCATCACCAGAGCTGCTCTGCCATCCATACAGGACACCTAGCATGACAGATTCCCAAGGAGAGCCAGCAGCATCATCTCAGCCTGGTTCACCTGGTTTATCTACCATCTGGAAAGCCTTACCGGAGCTTCACAGCCCAAAACACCAGACTAAAGAACAACTTCTACCTTCATGCAACTGCAGCCGACTCAAGCGACTGCACTCAGTGTTCTCTATTTTTGTACATATTCATATATTTGCCATTAGGGGTGTAATTTTCCAGTTTCAGAACAGTCCATTCCTCAATTCTTTTAGCCATTTCCCATTAGAAAGCAAAAACATCAGCAGGGACAGGATAAGCCTCTGGTCCACGCTTCTGAAAAAAGACCTCTTGAACCACTTAGAAGCATTAGAACCGGATGATTTTGTTTTCTAATGAGAATTGGCCTAATGGTTACCATTACAGACCAATAGTTACCTGTGGGACATCTTTAGCTCCCATTAGGAAACCATAAGATACATCTGGAATCAGAACACCTGTTAAACCATTAGAGTCCTTTACACTGTGATATCAACTCAAACAACCCAAAACACATTACAGAACCACCAGGAACCAACAGAAACATGTAATGGTTTCTAAGGTGTTCTGTTTTTCAGCAAAGCAACAGAATAAAAGAGCACTGAGACACCAAACCACAGAGGAAAATAATATTTGTGACCAAAAAGTCTGTATGACAGCTGCTTCTGAGTTGGTTTACATATTTTCCATCTACAGTTTACAGTGATCTCTCCATCCATTCCTCTGAGAGTGTATCAGTGTGAGGTGTAGAAGATCCTCACCTCAGCAGCTCCTGCATCTCCAGCAGCTCTGTGGAAGCTCGGGCTGATGGTCAGACCTTCTTCTCTGCTTTAGTGGAGTTGGAGAAGCACAGTTACAGAAACAGCGCCTCCTCCTGGACAGCAGGGGCTTCACGAGTGCGTTATTTTTTTTTATCCCACCCGTTTTCCGGTGAGCACAACTCCCTCACCGATTGATTAGCTTAGAAGGCAATTACATCACCATAGCAACCATAAAGCGTAGTGAACTCGAGCTTCCACAGTCATTAGAAATAATTCATCCCAGCTTTTACACATTTGTATTCAAGTCACTAATGGTATTCTGTCCCTGCTGAAAAAAGACCATTGGAACCATTAGGATTAAAACCTGATGGTTTTGTTTCTAAAGGGAATGGGCTTAATAGTTCCCATATGAGACCACTAGTTCACCTAGGACACCTTTAGATCCCATTAGTAAACCATCAAATGCATTTGGAATCAGAACACTTACAAACCATTAGAGTCCTTTACACTGTGATATGCAACCCTGCTGGTTCCTGCTGGTGTCCATTCGTCTCCAATAGTGTTCTGATGGGTTGATATCACAGTATAAAGGACTCTAATGGTTTAACAGGTGTTCTGATTCCAGATGCACACACATCCGATCTGATCACTTGCAGATAACAGTGTGGACAGTCGCCTCAAAAGATCTGATTTGAGAAATCTGATTCACCTGCAGTCTGAACACAGATTAGGGAAACACAAAGTTGTGCAGAGTAAGGGGTCTCCAGTTCTGGAAACCTCTGATCTAAGACCTACAATGGTTTATGAATGAGGACACCCCTCTGATGTCAGGTAGGAGAGAACATTTGATTGGTCTTTCGAGATACAGTCAGTTACTAGAGAGGACACCTGTTGGGTCCGTCTGATGTACATTCGGTCAGGAGACAGGACACCTTAGACAGATATCTGTCTGTTGGGTCAGCTGATGAACAGTAACCAAGGAGAGAGGGCACAGGTTAAGCCGCTTCTCAACCACATGGTACCAGCTTGACTCGACTCAACTTTTTCTGGTTCTCCATCAGGCAAACCTGGTACCTACTATTTTTGGTATCACCGCCATTGAGGTTCCGCGCGAGCTGAGCCGATTCCATGGTGACATGGAAAATCTGCAGACTGCTGATTGATTGGAAAGAATCATCACCATCACCCTAAACACATATGCTAACGTTAGCTACCAGGTTAGCGTAGCCTCTTGTGCCACCTTTGAGCACCAGAATCGTCTTGTTGTTTGAACTCTGATGTAGTTTTCCCCCCAAACTCTCCTGTTTTTTTCAGCAGTCTTTTGTCTCGCTGCCATCAGCCTTGTCTGAACAAAGTTTGTCTCCTTCATGTCTCGGCAGTTTCATGTGGTGTCGCTATAATGACCAGCTACATTGAGGGGGCGCTATATCTGCAGTGGAGAACGAAGTAGCTGGTACCAGAAGTGAGTAAAGTTGAGTCGGGACGTATCATGCAGTGGAAAATCTCTGATGTACAGGTAAGGAAGAGACAGGATGGATGTTTGGTCCCTTTGATGTACTGCTGCTCCCACATTGGGTCCCACTAATGTACAGTGACCTCAAAGAGGATATCTGTTGGGTCCCTCTGATCATTAATGTTCTATGTACATCAACTGCAGACAATGTAAATAAATAGAATATATATGTGGAAAGCAAATTATTAAATCATTCAAACTCTTCAACTAGACAAGGTTTCATTACTGTGACACACTTTCTTTGTTAACTTACCATTTGGCTGGGGGCTCCTGAGTGGCGCAACCATCTAAGCTCGATCCCCGGTGATGCTACAGCTATCCGTGCCCGGGAGTCCAAGAGAGCACAGTTGTCCTCGCTCTCTCTGGTCTCTCTGGGTGGGCAGGGTTGCCCTGCACCTCCCCCCATCACTCAGCGCAATGCTAGTCAGCATCTGTTAGCTGACGTATCAGAACTAGTGGTTAGTGATCTCCTCTACGTTCAGCTGTACAATGACGCTGCGTTAACGGCAGTTTGAAAAGATGCGGTGGAGCTTCACAGGACTTGGAGGAAGCCTGTGTTTGCCTTCACCCTCCTAGCGCTGGTGGTATTCTATGATTGGTGGAGTTCTAACTAGTGGGTGGAATTGGATACAACTAAATTGGGGAGAAGACTGAGAAAAATCCAGAACAAAAAAAAAGAAAACACCTTACCATTTGGACAAAAACCAATCTGACATACAAGTAATGCAGGGCTTTTTTACTTCAAATTGCAACATCAAATTTGGCACATCTGTTAACTAAAACAACACAGTCTTTAAAGACAATCACACTTCATCAAAGTCATACAAACAAAGTCAATAACTTTTGTTATAATATTAACCACTGCCTTCATCAGAAGCAACATAATCAGCAAAAACACAGGTTAATCATGTCTCACGAGTATTTCATCTTCCTCTCAGTGCACTTGTGTTTCTTTAAGGTAATCAAATGCCTGAAGTTCTGTTCACACTCTGAGCAGTAATACGGTTTCTCTCCGGTGTGAATACGCCAGTGTGACTGGAGAGAACTTTTCAGAGCAAAGCTCTTGCCACACTCTGAGCACAGATATGGTTTCTCTCCGGTGTGAATGCGCTGGTGTGTTTTGAAGGTAGTGCTGTCTCTAAAACTCCGCCCACACTCCGAGCAGTAATACGGTTTCTCCCCTGTGTGAAGGCGCTGGTGCCGCTGGAGGCTACTGTGTAGAGCGAAAGTCTTCCCGCACTCCCAGCAGTCATACGGTTTCATTCCTGTGTGAATGCGCTGGTGTACATGGAGATCACTCTGTTGAATGAATCTCTTCCCGCACTCTGAGCACTCGTACGGTTTCTCTCCGGTGTGAACGCGCTGGTGTCGGTGGAGGGAACTCTGCAGAGTAAAGCTCTGTCCACACTCTGAGCAGTGATACGGTTTCTCTCCGGTGTGAATGCGCTGGTGTTTTCTAAGTGTGCTTCTGCCCCCGAATCTCTTCCCGCACTCAGAGCAGTGAAAGGGTTTCTCTCCTGTGTGGGTGCGCTGGTGTATCTGGAGATCACTGTGTTGAGTAAATCTCTTCCCGCACTCCAAGCAGGGATACGGTTTCTCTCCGGTGTGAATGCGCTGGTGTAGTTGGAGACTATTCTGCTGGTTAAAACTCTTTCCACACTCTGTGCACTGATACGGTTTCTCTCCAGTGTGAACGCGCTGGTGTGTTCTCAGATGACTCGGATAGTGAAAACTCTTCCCGCACTCTGAGCAGTCGTGAGGTCTCTTCGCTCCTGTGTTGTTCTGTGTTTGACTGTGAGACGTGTTAGCGTGGAGAGGACCGGAGGACGTCTGTTGAGCGCTGGAGCTTCCTCTGGACTCCATATTCATACAGTTAATCTCTTCTGCTCTCAGAAGTGCAAGGTTTTCCTCTGGATGGCTTACTGAAGACTAGTGCTGCAAATGTGGACGTGAAACAACATTCAGCACCATTTTTGCTGAGCCAGAGAAGATGCTGCTTACATGTAAACACCACAGGTCTAACTATATATTATTACTCTGTTCTGTTTTTAGCTATTTTGCAAAATGAGTTATTTATTAAGTGTGTGTGTGTGTGTGTGTGTGTGTGTGTGTATATATATATATATATATATATTAAAATGGGTCTACAGAAACATCCATTTTTTTGTCCCTAGCGTTTACAGATATATTATACTTAACACCTAATACTTATACTAAATATTACAACAGGGTTACAATTTATATTTTAAAATAAAACTATATTATACATATTATATATATGATATATATTATATATCTAAATAATAAGTTATTTTAACAATTACACCTTCTTGAGCCTCAATTTAGCAACATTGGTTATTAAATCAATTTTTTAGAATTCCAAGCACCACAGAAATGGTTGTCCCCACAGTCATGTGTGAAGGGTGAGGCCATATTTTGAGGTAAAAAACATGTTTTTCTGCAATTTTAACCACAATAATCTGTACATGACTATGGGATATATAAATTAAATGACATAAAGAAAACAAATGCCAAACAAATATAAAATATATGATGAAAGTTGTCCCCGGGAGTCGTGTCACTGGTGTTACTGCGCAACAAAAAATCTCTTACTTTGAAATAAAAGTCACACTGATGACATCACTTGACTTCCTTTTACCTATTTTCTGAGGATCTATGAAGAAAAGCACATGGTGAGTCCACTGTGTCTTTCAGTTATCAGAGATTTTCTCATTTAGCTCATGATTTTATATGAAGCTTTTAGCTGAAGTCACTGGTGTGACCGACTTTATTCTGAGGTAATTGTGAAAAAATAGAATACAAATGAATTAAATTACATATTTTAGTGGACATTCCATGATTGACAACATGTGGTTTGATGCTCTGTAGCAGTTATTTTTTAAAATGCATTTTTCATTAAAAAATATGTGTATTACGATTTTTTGATGCTACAGTTCAAACTGTTCTCTCTCTAATTGATTCTCTAAGGCTCAATACAAATCATACTGTTAACACTGTGTAGTGCTGAGCATCTCCTCACCTTCAGCACTGCAGCTCCTGCTTCTCTCTCCAGCAGAACTCAGGAGGCTCAGGCAGCTGATCAGATCTTCTTCTTCTCCGCTTTACTGGGGTTGGAGGATCCCAGACAAACAGCGCCTCCACCTGGACTGCAGGGCATTTACACTGGAAAGACCACTGGAGACTCACAGCAGCAATGCAGGGCGCATTGTTTTTATCCACCAATATTACCAGAAGCCTCACTCGCATCCTGAGTTATGAATGGGTATCAGTTTATATGAGCATTTAATTGACTGATCAGATAATAAAAGCAAGCATAAATGGTCAGAACTATGGTCAGTGAGCAGTGAGGGTATCTGTTTGGTTCTTCTTAGATACGGTGAGTTAAGATAGAGGGTATCCGTTGGGTTCTTTAAGATGTAGTCAATTAGGAGTGAGAGTATCTGTTGGGTTCCCTCCGAAATACAGTTCTCAGGTGGGTTTCTTAGAGGTGGTTAGATAAGAGAGAGAAGATTTCAACTGGTTGGTTACCTATGAGATACGAGCTGCATTCCAAAGCCTAGGCTGCAGCCGAGGTAGGGTGGGGTCCTCAGTACGACTGTCCTATGAAGACTCCACCTTAGTAGCCTATCGGTCACACAAATGGAACAGTCCTAACGAGGCTGCGTTATGATGTCACCAGAAAGGTCCTGCCTCTTGAAATTGCAGCACAAAACTTGTGAGGGAACTGGTGAGAGAAAATGGAGCCCTTGTGTTGGTTGCTATGGTAGCTAATATGCCAACAAGCTTATGCAGTATGATAAACTACATATGTTAATCAGAAGTATTTGTGTATATGATATACACACCGATCAGGCATAACATTATAAAGTGTGAAATGATTGATTAATTAAAGCATTCATCTATACACTGATCAGGCATAACATTATGACCACCTCCTTGTTTCTACACTCATTGTCCATTTTATCAGCTCCACTTACTATATAGGTGCACTTTGTAGTTCTACAGTTACAGACTGTAGTCCATCTGTTTCTCTGCATACTTTGTTAGCCCCCTTTTACCCTGTTCTTCAGTGGTCAGGACCCCCATGGACCCTCACAGAGCAGGTACTATTTGGGTGGTGGATCATTCTCAGCACTGCAGTAACACTGACGTGGTGGTGGTGTGTTAGTGTGTGTTGCGCTAGTCTGAGTGGATCAGACACAGCAGTGCTGCTAAACACTGTGTCCACTCACTGTCCACTCTATTAGACACTCCTACCTTGTCAGTCCACCTTGTAGATGTAAAGCCAGAGACGATATCTCATCTGCTGCTGCACAGTTAGTGTTGGTCATCCTCTAGTCCCTCATCAGTGGTCACAGGACGCTGTTGGCTGGATATTTTTGGTTGATGGACTATTCTCAGTTCTTGGTGGACTATTCTCACCTCAGTGACAGTGAGGTGTTTAAAAACTCCAGCAGCACAGCAGTGTCTGATCCACTCAGACCAGCACGACACACACTAACACACCACCACCACGTCAGTGTTACTGCAGTGCTGAGAATGATCCACCACCCAAATAGTACCTGCTCTGTGAGGGTCCATGGGGGTCCTGACCACTGAAGAACAGGGTAAAAGGGGGCTAACAAAGTATGCAGAGAAACAGATGGACTACAGTCTGTAACTGTAGAACTACAAAGTGCACCTATATAGTAAGTGGAGCTGATAAAATGGACATTGAGTGTAGAAACAAGGAGGTGGTCATAATGTCATGTCTGATCAGTGTATAGATGAATGCTTTAATTAATCAATCATTTTACACTTTATAAGGTGATGAAGACGTTCAAGTATGTGAACAACTTACATGTTAAAACTAGCTCTGCACCAACAGCTTCACTTTCCTGGTGCTGTTTTTTTTGTCCTTCATGTCATTCGTGTGCAGAAAGAACTGGGGGTAAACGAAGGCCTGTAAGGATACATCAGTTGCGTCCTTAAAATCACTCAGAACGTAGGCTGCATTTCTAGGCTGTATATGAAGGGTCCTTCACTTTGGAACGGTCTTCTATGACGTACCGGCCGAGAAATGCAGCCTAGACTTCAGAACGCAGCTACAGTCAATCAGGAGACAGGATACCTGTTGGGTCCCTCTGATGCAAATCATGAACATCATTGATGTCCTAGTTACATCAACTGGCAGGCAGTGTGAGCTTCATCATGGAAAGCAAATCCTTCAATTAACCAAACGTTTTAAGCAGACAGGGTTTCAGACTCTCTCTCAGTTATATATCTGAGCACTGGAGCAGCAGTTAACAAAACTGGTGAGTATAAAAACTCCAACAGTCATTTTTTCACTCCAACCTCAAATTTGGTGCATATTAACCAGGAAGTCGTTCAAGATATAAATCACACATAACCAAACAAATCCAAATTCAGGAGTCCGAAACTCCTGAAACTGCCTTCATCAGAAGCAAATCAACAAAACCACAGGTTACATCCATTAAGGTTTTTCCAAAAATTGCTCATGAATTGTGTTATGAGTATTTCACCGTCCTCTCAACACACTTGTGTTTCTTTAAGGTAACCAAATGTCTGTAGCTCCGCCCACAGTCCGAGCAGTAATACGGTTTCTCCCCGGTGTGAATGCGCTGGTGTGTTTGGAGAGAACTTCTCAGGGCGAAGCTCTTCCCGCACTCTGAACAGTGATACGGTTTCTCTCCGGTGTGAATGCGCAGGTGTGATTTCAAGGTAAAACCGTCTCTAAAGCTCCGCCCACACTCCGAGCAGCAGTACGGTTTCTCCCCGGTGTGAGAGCGCTGGTGTTTTTTCAGGGTACAACTCTCTCTAAAATACTTCCCACAGTCTGAGCACCGATGCGGTTTCTCTCCGGTGTGAATGAGCTGGTGTGTTTGGAAATCGTACTTCTGAGTAAAACTCCTCCCACATTCAGAGCAGGAATACGGTCTCTCTCCGGTGTGAACGCGCTGGTGCACTTTGAGTTCACAGAGTTTAACAAATCTCTTTCCACACTCTGTGCAGAGATGCGGTTTCTCTCCAGTGTGAACGCGCTGGTGTGTTTTGAGATGGCTCGAATATTTGAAACTCTTCCCGCACTCTGAGCAGTCGTGAGGTCTCTTCGCTCCTGTGTTGTTCTGTGTTTGACTGTGAGACGTGTTAGTGTGTTCAGTACCGGAGGACATCTGCTGAGTGCTGGAGCTTCCTCTGGACTCCATATTCTCACATTTAATCCCTCCTGATTTCAGCGGTGTGATGTGGTGAGAGGCAAATTTAAGCTGAGCAGTAAGGTGGATAGTAGAACTTCGTCCATTTCTAGAGGAAGAAAGAAAATATGACAAACTTAGTGGGAAAAGCAATAAAAGCATGAAAGTGTAAAACTGCTGATTGTGCCCAGGATAAAAGAATATTCATATATTTTTTATGGGACGGGCCCTGCAAAGACTGGTGGCCTGTTCGGGATGTTTCCTGCTTTATGCCCAATGATCGGTGTTTATTTAAATCAAGAGAGAAACAATAACTCTGAAAATTGGTTTAAATATTATAAATATTTCTTCTTTTTCTTCGCTGATACCAACACTGAAAACGTAAGCACTGGCTGATACAAAGAACAGATATCTGAAATAAAAATACTACACTGCACATTTTAGGACATCCTCACACCACAAGAACTGCATTAAAAATATCAATATGACAATACATCGTGGTTAAGCTCACGATGGCTGTATCAATATTTATACATTTACATTTTTATGCTGCGTGTACTCAGAAGTCAAACAGATACTGCAAGTTTGAGGGGTAAAACAGTTATGGATGAGCTCTTTATTTATTATTATATGTATATGTATAGCGCTCAGGTGTTAGCGTTTAGGTTAAGTCTTTGTAGAGCTACTTTGTGTTGTAGCACTGTGTACTTATCTAAAACGAAACTAAACCTTTTAAGGGTCAAATTTGAGATTATAACTCTGTTAGAACAACCAGCAAGACCCTCCTTGGTGACCAGTTTAACCAGCACAAGGCCAGCATGAACCAGCTTTGGCCAGTGCTGTTTTTTTCAGCATGGAAAACAAATGCAATTAAACAAAATTAACTACAAAATCAATGTGATTAAATATTTTAATCGTCCTAATTGAAATAATGTCTTAAAAATGAACATCTATAGTGACAAACCTGAACTGAACTGTACCTGCATGTTCTGAAAGGCTTTATTTTATTTTTTTTTACACATTATTTTTATATTATCTGTTTTATGTGCACACAAATAATAATGAAGCCAGTGGAGCCCTCTGTGCACACAAAACAACAGATTACTGGAAAAGCTTCTCCCCATAATTCAGTGTGTGAGATGTAATCAGAGTGATTCAGAGTGGTTTGGTGTGAAATGGTTCAGATGTCTTTACAGTGGTGGTGATAGGAACCAGGGGTCGCCATGAGTACAACACAAATATAGACATTTTATTTACTATCCAAAACCATCAGTGAACCTACACGAGTCTTCTGAGTTTATATGGAATGTTGATGATGGAAAATAGTGGAAAATCTGAAATAAGTTTTCTTTGGGGACTATTTTGCCTCAGCGCCCTGCATGTATCCCTCCACCATGAATGGAGTTTAAGTTCTCAAAACTATCATAAAACAGTGTCTCAGTCGTCAGGCAGTGAATTCATAACCATTTCATGTAGTAACTTTCTGTGAGGGAGCTTTTAGAGGTGGACGTCTGGTTCCTATCACCACCACTGTGAACAACCCAGCTGAAAGAAATCATAGAAAGCATTAAAAGGTTCTGCTGGTGTCCAGTAGTCTCTAATGAGGTTCTGTGCTCTACTGATTGGTTAATATCACAGTGTGAAGGACTCTAATTGTTTAACAGGTGTTCTGATTGCAGATGTATTTGATGGTTGCTTAAGGGGGTCTGCAGTTGTCCTAAAGGAAACTAGTGGTCTCTAATGATAACAATTAAGCCAATTCCCATTAGAAAGAAACGCCATCAGATTTTAATCCCAACGGTTCTAAGAGTCTTTTTTCAGCAGGGAATTCTGAATCGGTAAGTTAATCTAGAACAGAGCGTTTCACATCAAACCACATCAAACGCCTCTGTTTACATCTCAGCTGTTTAATGATCGATATGTAAACCGCGAAGGTTATTAAAGGTTAAGAGGTCAAAATGTTCATCTCTCCATCCGTTTCTTTTAGGATCAATATAAACTCAGTGTGTGAGATGAAGAAGATCCCCACCTTCAGCAGCTCCGGCTCCTCCAGCGCCTCTATGAAGCAGCACTGACCATAGATATACATACCTAGATGCCGCATTGGGTCCAGCCAGGCACGTCAACGGCGCCGCCATTTTGGAGCGGTCAACATCGCTGCTGGACTGCATTCAGCACCATTACAGAGCGGCAGTTTAAGTAAGATACTGTTCAAAATTACACAATTTCAAGAATATTGCTCTCAGAAAGCGGGATAGGATAATATAACGGAGGGAACGCAGCGATCCACGCTCATGTTTGTGTGATGCGTATTGTCTGTGTGATGTTTATGTGTGAACCTGCTGATGTGATTGTTTTCTCTGTGGTTTTATATTAAGCTTATTTCATTTAATAGTCTATTCAGGAGGTCTTAACTTTATGTAGTAGTTATTTATTTATTATGATGGTATGTTGTAGCTGGGTGAGCTATAGCATTCCTTAATCCGTGTAGATATTCATGATAGATTAATGTTAGCACCTTCTTACACAAACCTGAAGTTAGCTTCTTATTTGCCAGCTTCTTGTTCGAATTTTCCTGTTCCACCTTAAATGGTGCATCTGCACTATTT